TGCGTAGCTGGACGATGAAGCTGATCGCTGGATGAGCATGATTCTGGTTGCAATTGGGTGATGTGGCGTGTGGCGGATGGGTGGGATCTGGGTTCGGCTGGAGGGATCTTACCTGGGGTTCTGGCCGGCGTGGTGCTCAGCGAGCCGCGCGAACCATAATGCCCGTCTCGGGGGCTGGGTATTGTCGGCATGAGGTCCGTTTTCCTGCGGTAAACGCTTCGGAACACCATGGGCGATGAGTCAACGCTATCCTCTGCAATATTCGGTTTTGGGTTGTTGGTTTTTGGTTTGTACATGATTTTGGATTTTGATATACGATTTGGTGGATGCAATTGCCGAAATAATCAATTGGCGATTTCGGCCTCAAAATTATAAAAGAAAATACTTAATGACTAGGAACGAGGGGAAACCAAAAGCGAAAATAGCTAAAACTTTGAAAGTGGTTACACTTGGATTTTCTGATGATGATAATTATTTTTTAAGACTTGTTTCCAAAGTAACCACTTTCGGTACAAAAGAACCATGCTGTTGGGGAGCTACGTTGAGTTCTTTAAAGACGACCGATGCTGCTTTCAAGGGGTTAGGTTCTCAACAGGGAGCGCTTGGAATCTGTACAATCTGGGGGCGTAAGAACAGCATGCAAAACTTTTGGGGGCTCAAGACATGCCATTGATCGGGGTTAGGGGGTAGAGACAACGAGTTAAGAGCTTACGGCGGGGTTACGGTTACAATAACGGGTTAACAGGGGGTTACGGGGGTTAAGGGGTTACGGCAAAACAAAAATCGGGGTCAGAACGAGGAGTTAAGAACAAGTAGGAGCTGAGAAGAGTTGAAGTTGAAGAACAGAACCCTCACCCTTACGATACGAGTTATGGTTGTTAAAGTTGTTGTTGTGGCCTGCAGTTGTGGTGCTTGTTGTTGCTGTGGTTGTTGTGAGATTTGTAGGTCTGTGCGCGTTGGCTGTTTGTTTGCAAGTGGGCGGCGGATTGGGAATGGCCGGCCCATCGATATTTATCTCATTGCCGGCGATGGAGAGCGAGAACCGCTTGGGCGGCTCGTCATTGGAATAGCCCCAATTGAACACCTCGTACATGGAGGAAGACTTGCGTCGGTGATCTGTGGTGTGAAGTCGGTAGGTTTTTCGATTTGTTTTCAGAGAGAGATAGAGAAGTGAACGTTACAGAGGTGTGCTTGGCTGTTTGCTTTTCGGTGCAAATCATATTGGAAAACAGAATTTCAAATAAAGGAAACTAAATCGTGCCGTGTGAGAGGAGGTCTGTGGGTGGTGGTGGTTGGTTGGTTGCTTGGGGGGTATAATCTATATAACAATAGTTGTAATTCACATGTACACCATCCGGGCACAGTGGGAGATAACATAGTAGAGGGTTATACAAATCTGTAATTTGCGGGGCACATGTAAACAATAACTGGGACTTATCAATTACAAGAGTTACGAGTGTGTCTAAGGTAACGAAAACGATAACTGCAAAGTAAAATTTAATCTCATTATGTGTGTCTGGTGTCTCGGCGAGTGTGTAGTGTTCAAGGGTGTGTGTGTAGTGTATATCTGCTTTTGGGGGTGACTGGAATGCCGCCTGGGGCATCGGGACTCACCATCTTGTCTGTCCGTCGAGGAGGAGGCACGCTTCTTAGCACCACTGTCGGCAAGTTCACGCTCTGAACTTCGACGTGAGAGAGAGGCGCCCGCTACGTTCGATATAGATGTGGATCTGAAAGGGGAAAATGAAATATAAGTTTCAGAAATTTATTTAATAAGCCAGGAGCAAAATTAGAGTTTTTTTTAGTTTGCCAACTTCTACTAAAAAGTCAATATGTATATGCGTGCACTATAAATATTGACTGTTCATGCTGAAGCTAACAAAATAATTTCAATTTCTGTTCTATTCTAAGACAAGTACAAAATAATTGCCAATTAATCATTATTATATTTTATTTGTTCAGCATTAACTAAGTCAATAATCATTTTTAAATATTTTGATTGTTTTGTAAACAAATGTGTCATTAGAAATTCAAATACTGATAAAAAAGAAATTAAATAATAAAAAGTCTAGGCTTCAATTTAGCATGTCAATCAAAGTACAGCGATAATTAGTCATGTGCAGCACAAAGCTCAGATAAAATCGGTCAAAATACTAGCTTAAATAAACATGAATGAAGCTAAGAGCAAGTGTGTGTGTTTTGTGCGAGCTTTTGGCTTTGTGCTGAGATAACTTTCATTTGGATCTCACCTCCGCTGACCCCAAAAGGCACTGGGCGATACTAGCCCGTAATCCGCGGGCACATCCAGCAGGCGGGGAGTCGAGGAACCAAATGCGAAGCCAATGGAGTTTCTGTCCCGCCTTTTAACTTCTATCCGGGATTCGCGTTCCTGTGAAGGAGTGAAAATAAATTAATATAATGAACAATGGGAAATGGATACCGAAAAACCCACCTGATTCTTTTTGAGGATGTACTCGCGACGCTCCTTCTCGGCCTCGTAGATGGCCTTCTTGCGCTCCTCCACTTGGTGGCGCTTCTCTGTGTCCCGTACGCGGATCTCCTCGATGCGTCGCCGGCGCTCCTCCTCCTTTTGTTCTCGGTACCGCTGGGCGGCTTCCGCCTGGGCGCGCAGCTCCTCGATCTTCCGGTGCCGCTCCTCATTTTGTCGATCGCGGGCGTATTTCAGCTTCTCCTCGCGGTCTTTGGATGCTAAAAGCATTGCAAATTAATAGAGGTTTCGCACGTATAAGGGAATAAATCGAATTTGGATAAACAAGTTACGGTTCGCAGGCAAATAAAAGTGGGAATATTTTCAGCAGTTGCTACCTGTGGCCGAAAAAAAAATCAATAAATATCTGCTTAATATACCCCATTTTTCGTATTTTATGCCGGCGAGCTATTTACATGAAGTGGGCTGACGTCATCGACGATGTACGTTTGCTGTTTGTGGGTCAATTGACAAACTAGCAGCAACAATAGCAAATATGGCACAAATACACGGACAATAAAGCCGCCGCCCCCGCGTGAAATTTGCCTATGTGCAAAATGGGCGACAAAAAAACAAAAAAAAGAAAGCAAATGGCAAATGCAAGCGCACATTGTTCTATTGAAATGACATTGGGGCGGAAAAATGCAAAAATAAACAATAATAATAATAATATTGTTAACATGCGGTTCTCGGCGAAAGTCTGCATAATCGAACCAGAAACCGGTTCTTATCGTCTTATCGGTTAAGATATTTTTGGAATTCCATGACGTAAGTGAGACTACAAAGGAACAACTGCAAGTCAATCTTGTCGCTCGTTACAGGTGCGAAAATTTCAGACATATGAAAATTATCAGCGGCCAAGGTCGAAGGCAAATTTCGGTGGGTTTTAACCCTCGGCGTTCGTGAATTGATTTTTCACTTGAGAAAATCAATTTTGCATTTTGTGCGTTTGATATGAAAAGTATAATTTTTCTTTTCCCTTTGGCGTTTAATAATATTTAATTTCTTTTTACAAATTTGATGTACATTTAAGGAAGCGTGATTTAAGTTTATGAGCAATTTGATTTAAGTGTTGACGAAGCAGACAGTATGAGTTAATGGATAAGAAGTGTGTCAGTTTTCAAAACAAGACTGATAAGAAGATTTTCCTATTAGCAAACAAAGATTTTCAGTGACTTCCAGTCTTGTAATAGACCAGTGACATGGGTATTCCGGGGGTTAAAATCGCGATAAGGTGGTCTATGGGTCTTATTTGTTAGTGAGATCATGCGGCAAGCATTTGGAGCATTCGTTGGAGGGCGAAGCGGGACGGGGGGCGTGGCTGTGGCTCTGTTTGAGAGGCCGTATTGGAATGCCAACTACCTTGAGAGTCGTCTTCTTTGGAACTGATTTGCCCGCCCACCTGGGCGAACCAATGCAAGGTTGCGCCGGCGCTGCAGAGTGCGTGGGCTGTAGTTGATTTAAAGCCGATTTTATAGAGTGCAAATATAAGATATAGATGTGTTCGTTTTATATAACCCCCCAGATAATCCCCATCGAACGGTGAGCCTTACCTTTTCGCTCTACGCTGCCCTCGCGACTTTCGACTCGCTTGGATGTGTTTTCCACTGCAAAGAATCACGGAAAATGTTTGGCAGGTGAGAGAAGTGCGGTATTTTCCGGAGTTTTACACGAGGACTACTTGCGGGGAAAATCAATTGCCGTTCCGTTTTGGCGAAAAAGGAAAGGTGGAAAAAGGGAAACACAAAAAACACAGACACACGCACACACAAGCACAAAAGCAGCAGCTGCGATGACGAAGCGAGAGAAAGAGAGAAATAGGGGAAAATGTATGTTTCCTTCTCTCGTGTTTCCTCAGACTGGAACTTATTTATAAACTCAAAACTCCGAATCGGACAGGGAATATTCCACCCGTTTTCGAGGGGGCAGACACTTCTGACTTCTTGGCTTTTCTTTTTTTCTCTCTCTCGGTTTTTTTTTCACTCCGTTTGCTTTTTGGCCGTGGTGTGAGTGCCGTTTTGCTGCGCAGTCGACCAGCACTTTTTGGCCATGTAAATGGCCCCGAAATCGCGTATATCCTGGACGATTTTCGATCGCCGCCCACGCACCGGGCTTTGTACTTCGATTTCGTACTCGTGGGGGCTGTTTTGAATGCGTACCTTCTGGATTATTCGAAATATTTTCGTGTTGGCCCCCAAGACTCGCCATATTCACTTTACTCTAGAGCGATTTTAAGTGTAGCCAGTCGACGCAATAGACTTTGCACTAAAAATTACCGACTTCAAAATGCACTAAAAATCCTTATTTTGCATATTTCAATATTGGTTTGAGTCTCTGATGTTAACATAAACACATATTCGGGTAGATCCTTTAACGGCTCATATAGTTTTTTAAAAAATATCCCTTTTTTTATTAATTCTGTTAAACTATTTTTAAGATTAGTCAATTCAATAGAAAAGCTTTTAAATAATGAATGTCACAGCCTTGCCCTTCCAGTTTGTGCTCTGTCTGATTTGTTTTTTAATTTATTCAGTAACTTGACCTTAATCTTAAGACCCTATAAACAACGTTTTTGTAATTAGTAGTTAATGCTTTTCAGCAGCGATGCAGAGCTTAGCCAGCAGTGCGGTGAGTTGCAACAACGAGTTAATGCCGTCGACAATTTTCATGTGGGTGATACCGATCTCCCGGATAAAGTCCAGCTTCAGGTGCTCGTCGATGTTGATGCGCTTGCAAACACGGAATATGTTGCCAATGATGTCCTCCGGCGAGTATCCCAACTTCCATAGCTTGGCCAGGATCTTGTAAGCTTTGTGGATGTCGTTGGCGGCACAGTGATGGATCATCTCCTCCAGAAGCTTGGGATGCGGTTCATCGCAAACCTTGAACACGTTCTCCGCATTAATGTCTCCGAATCCCTGAGCGGTAGACTGCAGGTTGTTCAGGCCCTGACGCATATCTCCTTGGGCGGTAAATACAATGGCCTCCAGTCCATCCTCTGTGTAGTTCAGGTTCTCCCACTTGGCCACCTCGATGAGCTTGGCTAGGACCTGGGCATCCGAAAGTTTGGTGAATCTCAGCATGGCACAACGCGATTGGATGGGCTCGATGATCTTTTCGCTGGTGTTGCAGGCCAACGCGAATCGCGTCGTGTTGCTGTAAATCTCCATGGTGCGACGAAGAGCTTGCTGCGCTCCCTCCGTCATGCTATCCGCCTCGTCTAGGATCACAATCTTATGTCTACCGCGTGGAAGAGTAACCTTTTGCTGGGCAAACATCTTGATTTTGTTGCGCACCACATCAATTCCTCGCTCATTGGAAGCATTGAGCTCGAGGACTGCCTCCTTGTAACTATCTCCTAGAAGGATTCTTGCCAGGCATTGAATGGTGGTTGTCTTGCCCACTCCAGGCGGACCCTAAACACCATAGTAAGTATCCAACTGGACATAGAAATCTTAAATTACTCACCGCAATTATGATGTTGGGTGCATTTCCCTGAGTAGCAAAAACCGAAAGTCTCGCCACTGTGTCCTCATTTCCCACAATCTCCTTGAACTTTTGCGGCCGATACTTTTCGATCCAAGGCAAATGACTACGTTTGTCGTCAGCCGTAATCACAGGTTCTTCCGGCATTTTTCTGTTTTGCAATATTTATCAAAATTTGCAAACCAAACAAATTTAAGCGTGGGGCTAAAGTGTGACCGTAGATATGGCGCCAAAATATAAGTGTTCGGTATTTTTAGCAGTATGTTTTCAAGGTTTAAATAGATTTCTGATAACTTTATCGATTTCTGAATTTAACATTTTTTTAAACACATAATTTATTTATAAATATTTGGTGATGGAATGATGGATTTTACATTTCTTCATATTTAAGAAATCTAATTTTTGAAAATTGAATTTGGAAACAATTTTTTTAGTTTTTTTTTGTAAGCTTTATTGGGTATTGAAGGAGTTACAATACATTTAGATGCATCGGGTGCGAAAAATTTGAACTTGCATTTTAATATTGATCGAATTTTATCAAATACATACTCTAATTGAACCATTTATAAAGTATCTGGATTACAAGACAACTTGGTACAATTTACTATGTTTAGTGTTAACATTTAAATATTTTGATGTCATTTTGCCGAATATTAGACAGGCTCATTCATAATTAATTCTTTCAATTTGACTAGTTTCGGAAATACATTTTATTTTTAGTAGTCCGAGGTGAATATATATTATGGTGCTGTGAAATCCGTGTCCCATTTTCTTTCTAATATTCATACTACAGTATAATAGCCAGTATAGGGGCCTAATTGAAATAATACTACGCGTATTATTGAAGTTAATATTTATTTATATTCGGCTAAGAATAAAATACTTTATAATTTTAATATATTATGTAATGCGTATATAATTTATGTCTTGTATTATGTTTATATTGCAATATGTAATTAGTATAATAATTTCTTAAGGAATCATTTTGAACCTTCGGTAAGGAATAACAATCTATTTTTAAACACGATAAATGTGACAAAATCGTTAACAAGAATATGATCCAATAAGCATTTAGTCCTCCTTGGAGAGGCTGCCCAAGTCGCTGAGGAAGATTTCGGGCGACAGGATGTGCGAGGAGCCGACGAGGACCTCCCAATTGCGAACCGCATTGGTCACCTCGTAGGCGCACCGCATCTCGGACATGCTGACGCCGCCCACGATGAAGACAATGAGTCTGGGGACGTTCTTCACTTGGGCCTGGCCCTTGTCCTTGTGCCAGTGGCCGTAGCGAGCACTGGTCGGGGCGTGGTAGTTGGTGTTCTGGGCCCTGCCCTCAAGGAAGGGGAAGTGACGGAGATCCAGCTTGTCCTCTATGCAATCCTCCATGATGTCCTTGATGACCGGGGTCCAACGGGACATCTGGTAGGTGCTCTCGGTAGTGCGCTCCTTCCTCGGCACCGAGTACACCTTCTTGCGCGAATCTGCAATGACATTGATGCCCAAGCAACTGAGATTACGCACCATATCCTGATCCTTGGGCGACAGCTGGGCATGCGTAAAGAGCTTGGTTAGATTCTCCTCGGAAATTCCGTTCTTGATCATCACATAGAGAGCGATAATGCGCACTTTGTCGTAGTTCGAGACATTGGCATCCAGCAAAATGGGCACAATGTTGCGCATATGATCCTTGATCTTCTCGCCCTCGGCATCCGTGCCCATGGCCAGATCCTGCTCCACGCGGCACAGCTTGTCCACGTAGTTCTGGTACGACTTCATGCAGTCCTCGGCCAAATGCAAGTGGGTGGAGTACTTGGACAGCTCCTTCTGATACTGCGGCATCTTCTTGATCATCTGCGAGAGATCGCGCATCGACGACTTGTCGGCCGAGCCCATTCGCTTCGAGTCGGTGAACTTCTTCAGATTCTGAGTCACCTGGGTGGAGACCACGGCAATGTGCTCGTGGCGCAGCTCCACCCACAAGTCGTCGTTCTCGTCGAGCAGCACCTCCTTATCCGGCTGATTGGGTCCGGGTGTGTAGCGATAGACATCGTTCACGATGGGTAGCAAATCGTAGGCCATGGCCTGGAGTGTAAGTTCGTGAAGAAGTGGCGAAACACAGTCAAATCCTCTATCGAGGATCAGCAGTTGAGATCGAGCCTTCTCGGGGCCCTCGCCCATCGTAGCATCGTCGGCCTTGTAGGCATCCAGCTTCTGCTGAACGGACGCAGCCAGATCGATGTTCCTGTCCCAATCGCTGCGGTATCGCACATTCGGGTATTCGCCCAAAGTGGCGCACAAGGTGGCTATTTGCTCGGCAATCCGTTCGATATGCTTGCTCCTTATCGAGGCAAAGGCCGGGGAGTACAGACACTGGAAAGTGTCCGGGGAGTCCAGCGAAAATACCTGGCACTCGTACGGCAAAAATGCAATGTTGATCTCCTTGAGGGTCTTAATCTTTCCGGCTGCACAGGACTTGCACAAATCGTTGAACAATTCCTCCGGGCAAACCTCGGTGAAGAAAACATGGGCATAGCGATACATCGGGCGAGCGGGGTTCTCGAAGTCTCGAATCAACCCACGCACTGACTCATCCGATGGCGTTATCAAGTAAATCGCATCCATTGTGGGCAGGGGCTCCCGTTTTTTGTTGATGTCTTCGACCAAAGTGATTCCCTCGGCGCTGATCTCGTGCATTTTGGTGCACGCAGACACCATGCGCATACCCAGCTTGTCCACCACCAGAACCCTCCATTCCATACCACCCGCACCCGCCCCCGCGGCCGTAACACCCTGCTTTTTAGGGGCTGGAGGCTTATACTTCACCACCTCATTCATCAGCTTTTGGCCCACAAGCACTTTCAAGGCCATTTTTCACTGCGTTTTATTGGTCACGGGCGCAAAGGCAACGAGTTATGAACACACAAAGAGTTTATTTATGTTTTTTGGGGTTTAACACTTGTTTTCCCGTGTCTTAACTTGGCCTTTAGAATTTTATCTACTCCTTGGCCAATTTTCTGTATTTTTTTCGTTTGATGACTATACCACAGTGTGACCAGGATTTGCAGGGGACGTTTATAACTTTACCAATAAGTCAGTATTTTTTAGAACAGGTCTGAGTACAGTGAAGCCTAATAAGCGATAACATTGTTTTACATTGAACAAGCCATATTAGGGAACACAAGAAATATCAGAGCATGCTTGTTAATTAAGTTATGACGAAAGTATATTATGGTGAAATACAGAAAAATTTTTTAATTAATGAATGTTTGCAACTGTTCATCATATAAACAAATAATCAGGGTCACTTGAGCAAAAAAAATATTTTTATAATAAGATAATTTGAAATAGAAATTATAAATAAGTGAGCAATCCATGTTTTTACCAATCTAGGGCTCAAACCAATGGTTTACTGAGATAAAGATACATTTATAAAAAGGAGGTATTTTTTAGTAGGTTTTCATAGTTTGGAGCAGTTGGGGGAAAGCCAATTCGCCATCTGACAACACTGTCGCGGAGGAAAATAAAGGAATTTAGTTGGCCAACTGGTCGAAATAAACGCGGAAATGCAGATGCAAACGTACAAACTGGTAGTTGTCGGCGGCGGCGGAGTGGGAAAGTCGGCGATAACGATACAGTTTATCCAGGTGAGGTCCGCGTGAGTCTCGAAAGTCCGTGGTGACGTCGCTTTACACAGAGGCGGCGAGGGGACGACGGTGATGACGGGGGCGGGGCGGCCCTTGTTTTGGGCAGAGCAACAAACAAGCAACAAGCGACTTTGTTTTTGGACATGCGTGTGCATAGTTTCTCGCAGAGATCACCATAGGCCACACCCCCGTATCTGCAGCTCCATTTTTGGGAATTAAGCGGCCGAAATAACTGAGGAGTTGTGGTAGCCCCCAGTTTTCTGGGTGTGTCGATCAATTCCGAGAGTGTGTGCCATGGTCACGACCACAGAGCCCGCCCGTTTTCGTTTATTTTTAGTCATTTGCGTCATCTGCACATCTTTCGTGTATATGCTGTAGCTTTTCCTGAAGATATATAGAGCATAGTGGATGATAAAAGTGACGTGTGTAAACAAATCAAAGGCGGAATGATAAACGCACCGCTCTTAAGCTACAAGTACATATAAATCAAGCTCTGAGATATAAATTTCGTATACGGTCGTTATAACTAAAAGTTCTCATGCTAGAAATAGTTTTATAGTCATATCAAATCTTCAGATATACATAATATCTTTATCTTGCAGAGCTACTTCGTCACAGACTACGATCCCACCATTGAAGATTCATACACGAAGCAGTGTGTCATCGACGATGTGCCAGCCAAATTGGACAGTAAATACTTCACTTTACCTTCCCTAGATTCTTTGTAAAAAAACTATTTTCGCAGTTTTGGATACGGCTGGACAGGAGGAGTTCAGTGCCATGCGGGAGCAGTACATGCGCTCCGGCGAGGGCTTCCTGCTTGTCTTCGCGCTCAACGATCATTCCAGCTTCGATGAGATCCCCAAGTTCCAGCGCCAGATACTGCGCGTCAAGGATCGCGACGAGTTCCCCATGCTGATGGTGGGCAACAAGTGCGACCTGAAGCAACAGCAGCAAGTTTCCTTGGAGGAGGCGCAGAACACCAGTAGGAGCCTGATGATCCCCTATATTGAGTGCAGTGCCAAACTGAGGGTCAACGTCGATCAGGCCTTCCACGAGCTGGTGAGGATCGTGCGCAAGTTCCAGATTGCCGAGCGTCCGTTCATCGAGCAGAACTACAAGAAGAAGGGCAAGAGAAAGTGCTGCATGATGTAAAAGAGGGTCATAGGGAATCTCCTGAATGCCGCAGCGGAAGCAGGAGCCAACATTTAACGAGTATAACACCAAATTTTTGAAAAAAACACGCGTCGACTGAGCTTTTAATTCCGTTGAGAAGACGATAAACCAGTAACCCGATACCAGTAACCGCGCAAACGTGTCAACGAGCCCAAACGAAGTGCATTTCTTACCTGCCCAGGTGCATGCCGCATTCAACGAACGAATCGAATAAGCTTCGCCACTTTTAAGTAGCTACGAAGAAACTTACAACTAAAAATTACAAAAAGGCCACATGCAAATAGACACACAAAACATAGTTAGATATATACAACAGATTCACACGGATAACATATATATACATACATATATATATTTCTACATATATTTTTGTAATTTTATTTGTTGATTGACGACAAAAATTAAGGACGAATGTTTTCTATAATTATTACCAGTCGTGGCTCGCAGGCCATTTGTTTTTATAATGCAATAACTAAACCCAGAACGTTTGTTTCGATTAAGCCAAAACGTAATAATGTGTTATTGTAATTTGTATTGTTATTTACTACTAATATATACGTATACATATATAAACTGCTTACAATCCGATTTTGTTGTAACAAATTGAGTGCCTCGTTCTCGCGCGTAGAAATCTAAAACATCAAACTCTGTAATTCGCACAAAACATTTTTGTACCATATCCGCAGCTGTCGGGCGCACAACAACTCATTTAACGATATTTTTGTACATGTCCTCAGCCGGATTCTTTGGTTAATTGTTCGCCAAATGTATTGCAACCAATGCTTAAGCCGCAATCTCGTTTAACTCTTATACACTGCTTAATTTAACGAACTTATTTAAAGGTATACAAATAAATACATTATTATATTTAATATTAAACATATGCGCAATTCTAATAAACACATGGAGAATCACAAACGCTTCCACCATAGTCGAATGTTTTAATGGCGATTGCTTCCGATTGGAATTGAAGGCGCAGACGAGAGTCTAATTATAGAGAGAATCCTTGCAAGTGCTGGGTTAATTAACTGCCAGATGGCTCCTCTTGCAGCTGAAGGAGTATAAAAGCAGGCTGAGCTGAGATGAATCGGTATAGAACACAGAATGAATCCCAGGAGCGAAGGACTCATTGCAGCCGTGCTTTTCCTGCTGCTGGCCTGTGTCCAGTGTCAAGTGAGTATTTCTTAGATATTTTATTTGCTAATAACTTTTGTGATTTATGCATTGAATAGCTGACATACTCGCCGGATTGGGGCAAGCGATCGGTGGGCGGGGCAGGTCCTGGATCCTTTTTCGAGCCCCCGCAGGGCAATTGCAAGACATCCAACGAAATGCTGATCGAAATCTTTCGCTTCGTGCAGTCGCAGGCCCAGCTTTTCCTCGACTGCAAACACCGCGAGTAGGAGGCTGTATCCCAGCCAGATCCTGGTCTGGTTCTCGGACGATGTCTAGCACGCACACACATACACTATCTATATATATACCCATATATGTATATGTAAACAGCACGTTATCAAGGTAGTCGTAGTCGGCATTTAGATTTAATGGATTCTTCCTTTCCCAAACAATAAATAAGCGCATCTAAAATGTAACTCAATCGATTATCGAGGGGAATTTCGAGCCAGTGCTTTACCCATCCTTCACCTTTTCAAGTTCATCCCTCTAAAAAACAGCGACAGGTGGCTGTCAATTAAATTAAATGTGATTTTGAAAATTGCCACAATTAAATCATTTGCTGACACCCACTCCATTGGCGCTTAAGTTCCCGTGTGTCAGTGGCCCACGGGTTCAGTTCGTCGGTGGAGTTCATAGGATCAGAATGTGTGCGATCTCCGGCTGCCCAAGTTCCCATAAATCTATAATAATTCTGCTGGGCGCCTTTATTTTCTCCTCTGTCAAGTGTAAGTTGTGTGAATTCTGTTTTAGTCACCCAACCATTTTGTTTATAAATACACCCAGATCGTGCCAATAGATCTGTTTGAGTTCATGTGATCGTGTCATTCCGCTTAATGTGTCAACATAAACAAATTCCCCACATAGCACATCATCATCCATCGGCCTTAATGGTCGCCATCCAACACCCATCAAATGATTTGAGCAGACCTCCCTTCCCAAATGATTTCAATCGGATTTCAAGCGCCACTGGCCCAGTTATTTTAATTCCCCCAGAATTAACGATGCATTTCGGTGTGAATAAGTTGGAGCTGCAATTAAGGGATTGAATAATGCACAGAATTAAGTTTTTCAAAATGTGCAATTCCCGTTGATCATTACCTACCCCGAACTGATGTCTTTATAATATGAGTAATGGGTCATAAAATATTATACATTTGTGTGTTTGCTTTTAGTTCTTTAGTCATAAACATTTGTGAAAATATTTTTAGAATCATTTTGATAGAAATTAGTAAAGGCGTTGGTTCATTTAGTCACAAATATAAATAGTTTACTTAATTTATTTTTTCAATTATTGAAAACAGAGAGTTTAGTAAACTTGCAATTTGGATAGTTAAATATATATTTTTAAATAACCAACAACCCGTGAACCGCTCCTGATTTTGGGTACGTGAAAAAGTTCTTTGGATAATTGCGTCCCACTAAAACACAATTGAATTATAATCATTATGGGCCGCCATGCTCCACTTGGCCAAGCTGCAATTGGCCGAAAAGCCAGGGTTTCGTGGACAGTTGCCACCTGGTGGCCGAGCAGAGAGCAGCGAGCACGGATAAACGGATAAACGGATACGGATACGGATACAGTTACGGATCGGAGATGGTTCTGCTGGACGAGTTCTGTGTGAAGGTGTACTTCTGGCCGTTCCTGTCCTACTTGGCCAGCATCAAGGGCTGGTGTCCGCTCTTTCCGCCAGGTTACTATCCCATCTACGCACTCCCACCGCCACCGCCAGTGCCGCCGGGAGCCCAGTTCCCGCCACCGCAGCCGCTCCAGCCGATCGGTCCACTAATCCCGCCTCAACCCGCTCTTCCGTCCACACCTGCAGTGATCCCGACGTTCCAGCCCACGCCGCCGAATCCCCAGCCACCGTTTACGCCGCCGCTGATCACCACAAGCAGCAGCACCACCACCAGCACCACTCTCTCCACGACCACCGGACTGAGCACCACCAGTACCGCTGGCACCACTCTGCCCGTTCCGGTGGCCACGTGTCCGTCGCAGCCGCTGGTCTGCCTGCCTGGAGGAGCGCGTCCGCTGCCCAACTGCCCCTGCATCGATCCCCGCCAGCAGCAGAACTCGCCGCTGGTCTCCTCCTCGGGTCCTCAGATCGGTTCGGATATGATGGTTTTCATGCCGCTCAATTCCGGACGTAGGCGGCGTCGTCGCCGAAGACTTCGGATACTCTACTAAGATCACCTCCCAAAAACCTAAATAATATCAATCACCTTTCCCCAAAAAAACACACACAAAAATCAAATTGCATATACACCTCGAAATTAGTCAAAATAAAAAAAAAACGATCACGAAATCCAAAGCAAATCGAATTGGCCAGATAAATTGGAACTATACCTTCCCTGCCACGCCCCGCTCCCAATCACTTACTTATCTTACAGCCCAGTCCTGCCAGGATGCCAGATCCCGACCTGGAAACTGTCTGCCCCTGACCTCCTGTCCCCAGCTCATGGAGGAGCACCAGGCCCAGGGCGACGAGTTCCACACCTTTCTGGGTCAGTCCATATGCGGCTTTGATGGCTCCACTTTTATGGTAATTCCACAGATCTGTTTCGCTCTTTGTTTAGTTTTTTGTTGATTGAAAAATTATCTGCAATTATCTTTAACTACGTTCTGAATTGCATTTATTTTTTGATGCTCTTAAATATTATATAAATTGCGGCTACAGCGCAAATAGCAAAAAAAATACAAAATAGTTTAGTTAACTTTAGTTATAACAACAAATATGATCCAGATATGATCCAGATAAAACTTTTGAAGTACTATCAGTATTTTAGGAAATTTTCTAAAACTTCTTTAAAACAGTTTAAAATATAAGGATTATGTTAAATTTCTTGGCGTGCAGGTTTGCTGTGCCTCTGACCGAAGTGGAAGTGCCAGGAGCAGGAAGGACCTGCTGCAGACCACCGCTGCACCCTTTGGCTTCTTCCATTTCTCTCCATTAAGTGGGGGCTCCACTGCCACTCCGATGACCTTCCAGCCCACTCCGCCACTGAATCAAGGGGTGATCAGCCCCAGCTTTAATCCCCAAGCTCCACCACCGCCGCCTCAACCACAAAATGGCCAACGAATGGCGACGGTTTGTGGCATCAGTGGTGCCACTTCCAATCGAGTTGTGGGTGGAGTTGAAGCAAGGAAAGGTAGGAAATATTTTAAACATCTGAAAGTATTTTAAATACAAGTCCTGTTTAGGAGCCTATCCTTGGATTGCTGCCTTGGGATATTTTGAGGAGACCAATAGGAATGCATTGAAGTTCCTCTGCGGCGGCAGTTTGATCCACTCGCACTACGTGGTCACCTCGGCGCACTGCATCAATCCAATGCTGACTCTGGTTAGACTGGGAGCCCATGATCTCTCCAAGCCTGCTGAACCGGGAGCAATGGACTTTCGTATCCGCAGGACAGTGGTCCACGAGAATTTCAATCTGAATTCCATATCGAACGATATAGCCCTGATTGAGCTGAACGGAGTGGGTTCATCGCTGCCTGGTGAGTAAAAAAAAAAAAAAAAAAATAATAATATATTATATTAATTATATATATATTTGTATATATTATTTATTCAACTCTCTTTCCATTGCAATGATTTTTTTATCGAATAGGTAACATTTTGCCGATTTGCCTGCCTGAGGCCGCCAAGTTCCTGCAGCAGGACTTCGTGGGGATGAATCCTTTCGTGGCTGGCTGGGGGGCAGTGAAGCACCAGGGAGCCACCTCGCAGGTGCTCCGCGATGCCCAGGTGCCGATCGTGTCCCGCCAGACGTGCGAGCAGAGCTACAAGTCCGTCTTCCAGTTCGTCCAGTTCAGCGACAAGGTGAGTTTGGCCCCTCCGGAGCCAAGGGGAATCCCCGAGAGGATATTATCCACTAACCAATAAATCCTTTGTGGCAGGTGCTGTGTGCCGGCAGCTCGAGTGTGGACGCCTGTCAAGGGGATTCCGGTGGACCACTCATGATGCCGCAGGTCAGTTACAATCTCCTCCCCTGTGAGTCATCGAACCTGTTTTGGCCAAGTCTTCAGCTCTGCTAGGTGGTTCTCCAAGGTGGTTCACTGAACACCGCCCGCTAATTGTCCATTTTCGTGACGCAAACATGATTTCGTTGGTTTACGAAAAATGTCGATGACTTGCAAGAAAGAATTTTGTATTTATGGTATATTTATTAACCATTCTTGTTTGTGGTTCACCAGTTGGAGGCCAATGTTTATAGGTTCTACCTTCTCGGCCTGGTTTCCTTTGGCTATGAGTGTGCTCGTCCCAATTTTCCGGGTGTCTACACCAGAGTGGCTTCCTATGTTCCGTGGATCAAGAGACACATTTCAGTGGCCTAGAATATGACACATGCCAAATCGGATATCTATCTTTGATGTGTCATCCAAATAAAGAGCACTTAACAACCACTTGCATTGAAATCCTAAATCCCAAATACACAAGCCCACCGGAAGTTCCTTAATAAATTTTTATGTTCTTGTTTGATTTAAGGCTAATTGATCTGGCAGTAATTTGTGTACATCATTTGCATAAGTTAAGTTTAATTCCCCTTTTAAGGGGTTTTCTGGTTGGACTTATTTTTACCTTTCAAACAAATTAAATGCATATTGGCGGTTAACTTGTGCCACACATTGGAAACAAGCAACTGTAATCTCAGTTTATATAAAATTCTTAATTTAAATTATACAATTAATCTTTGTTATTTCCTAAAATAAATTACATAAACTTCCCTTTATTAATTGTGAATTCCAAGGTATTTTAAAAATGTTTTCCACCAGCCAAGAAACCTGTTTGTTTTAATTTTAATGCAGTGAAAACTTAATTAACATAGAAATCAAGATAATAAACCTAGGAATTCTCACAGTCCAATTAATAAGAACCATCTTTACGGCAATGCAGCTTTATTTTAATTTAAACATAAAGCTTTATCTGGAGAATAAGAAGCCAAGTTTATGGCACATTGACTAATATGTATATATTGTGGTACAAGTTAAAATAAAATAGATGAAACTTTCGAGCCGGAACCGAAAAAGAGCAATTCTTTTGTCGCCAGGTTATGGAATTTCCCGCACTTCACCTCGGACCCCTGCTGATTCTACCTGCACTGCATGGCCAATTGATCCGGATTAGTCATTATAGAACACCGATCGGTGTTATTATCCCCCAGTTACTGCATCGATCGCATGCCAATTGGGTTTCGGCGGAGGCTCCTCGGAATTCTAATTGAGTCGAGTGCCCCCAGCATTTTGATGTTAATATTGAATCGGAGGAGACTTGGATTGTATTAAGTGTGCTATAACTGTGATCGCACACCAGATGCATATTGCACGTAGATTACGTCACTTGTGGAGGTTCCCTATCTCTATTTTTAATTGATTTTAAATAGTCCTAATCAAGTTTATAATATTTCAATGAATTAAAGCACATCATTCAATATTCGATTGAGTGAAACAGTTTTTAAAACTGCTTAAAAAATAATACATTTTATAGAAGGTATAAACAACGAATGAAGATTCAAATGTTTGCTCTAAACTACACCTCAAGTATTTGTTATAATTGGAAAATTAATATTACTGGTACTCACTGTAAATTTAATAGTTACGTAGGCTTTATGGGAGGCTGCTATCTATAGAATCAGCGAAAGCTTTTTACGCCACTCACATACGAATAGAATAAGTACTTGTATGAGAACATTTGATTGCTAATCATGATGCTAAAATAGAACTAGAATGTCGCCGGAGGCTTAGGTCAGTTGGCCAAGTGATTCCCAATTGACATGTCAACGGAATCCGTTTTAATTTACCTTATTTATGGCATTTATCATTCTTGTGTAGTCGGCCGACTAATTGAGTCACACAATTCTTGGGACTAGATCCATGACAAATTGAGAACGGCGCAAGGTCAACAATTTGGCGCCTTGACTTGACTCATTGGTTTAATTGTAAATTCCCAAATTTGAACAAACCTGGCTTTGTTGTCCTATATCATTACCGAACCCAGTGATTTATATTATTAGGCCGCAAAAAAAAACAGACTAAATGTTTGTTTCCATTTGGGAAAATCATTTCCTAATCGGAGTGTGTGAATTTGTGGCCTTTTCCACCTTGATTATAATGATTGGAAAGCTGACGGCGCTGTGAACCCCACTCGAAGTGCTCTCCATTGCAGCCCCTTTCGCGGCGGGAGAGCTTACAAGAGAGAGATCTCTAGACTGCGAGATTGGGGAGATCGCTGGATTCGATGGGGAGACTGCATATAAAGCTCGGCTTTGGGGGCCGAGCGCTCAGCCGAATTAAAGACGCGAACGCTTTGGTCACGCAGGCCACGAAAGCCAGAAAAACACGGCAATCTCCGAAGACGCTTTGGATTCTCCGGTTGTCCCCGGTGTTCCCCAAAAAAAAGATTCAGTTTGATAACGCCATTCGAACGGCGAAGATCGCGCGGTCCGATATCACGGATAAATAAAATATATAATATATAGATCGATCTCGCCATGAAGTCGATGTGCTGTGTTAGTGCTGTGATTACACTCCTGTCCCTTGTGCTCCTGGATCATCCCGCTGCCGCCCAATTCAATCAGCGCAGGCCAGGTAGTCAAAGCTACTTAGTTAGTTAATCGAGAGCTTTCCGCTTCGCCAAATCTATCATTCTGACTATCTAATAACCGTGTATAACTTTTACGACTCGATCTGAACAAACAAAAAACCAGTTCCGTCTACAACGCATCTCGGACTTTAATCAGAAGCCACTAACAAATCAACGCATTTAAATGAGTCTAAGCCAGTTGGAAAACAATTTAAATCGGTGCAGACCTCTAAACTGTGATTTCGTCGACATCTTCAAGTTCAATGGCAAGTTCGTTGCCTAAGTCTTTCGTTTTCGCCAGCTGGCCAAATGCGGCAATTTGTGTTTACTGCACATGAACTGATCATCGCCAGTTGTTCACAGCCAAATTTTTGGCACATTGTGTTCGAGTTCAATTCCAGTCCAAAAAAACCAGTCACCAAGGTCGGATTTCGACTCGGACACCGACTCGGTCAGGTGTACACCACACGAGTATATTCCCCGCGGGGCGTTCCCTTAGAGCACGAATCGCTTTTTGTGACCGGTACTCGTAAAGTTTTAGTCTATAAGTCGAATACAACTGGCTTGACCAGCACCCGCCGTTACGACGAACTTTGCTTTTTGAATTTGGTGATAAAGTTGTCAATATAAGTGATCGTGCCTTCAGCACTTTCATTATATTTCAATCAATAAAAATGTTAAACCTGAAAAAGAACATATTGTTTTCAATATTTTTTCACATTATGAATCACAAAAGAAGGAGTTTTTGCTTGTTAAGTTTGACTATTAATTATGGTGTTTATGCAAAAAAAGACTTCGTAAGCAAAAAATGTTGTTAAGTTGTGTTTAATTGAAATAAATCGTTTAAACGTCAAGAAAACAATTTGTTCTTTTTGTGAATTGTGAATTTACGTTCGTACGAATTTATGTACGAGCTACTTTACTGATTTTGTTAGGAGTTTTGTGTTCTTGCTAGGGACTCTCATAGATTGTTGATTTTGTTAGAGGTGCGACAAAAAAACATAAATAAAACCCCCATTTCCATATCTGACACATCTAAAGGTGAAAGTTCTAGTTGTAATTAACATTTAAAATATATTCAAATCATTTTCTTCTACGCTATCACCAATCCAATCTGTAATATTGTAAAACTTTAAAGAACCTTTAAATTTATGCTAAGCAAGTGAATAATTTTTGAATAAATCTTCCACTTTTTAACTAATTTGTTGATTACCGCTGGAAAGCTTTTAACTCAAGAACGTAAGGGGAAAAATTTCTAAACTTAATCTACACCTAAAAAACTTTCGAAATGGAAGCCAAGTGATAACCCATTTGTTTTGTTTCCCTGTCCAGTTCGCCAGAACTGCATCACCCCCGAGAATTACTATGGGAGTTGCGTGGTCCTCAGCAACTGTCCCCAGGTGGTGAAGATTTTCCAGACCACCAACTTCGAGTGGGCCCAGCGATATGTGATCGCCCTGCAGCGCAGCTGTAACACCCGCAACATCAACGGGGATCCGGTGGTAGGGACACATCCTCAGTCTATCCTTTCTCTTTCCATGCCTTCTAAGCTTTGCCCTGCTCCTCCCACGTAGATCTGCTGCACTGCACCCACTTATAACCAGGCCACAGAGCGACCTCGGAACCCCCTTCTTCCCCACAGATTCATCGTTTATTGGACCTCAGGTTCCGCCGGAGGTTCCCGACAATCCCTTCCTGAATCCGACCATAAGGCCCACCCCACCAACAACCACCACCACGACGACCACTCGTGCTCCAGCTCGGAGTACCCCATCGGCACCTTTGGTGGATCAAAGGGGCATCTCATGTCGCGGACCAGACACAAAACCCGGAAATTGTGTGGGTGAGTTTGAAAATCTTCATTTAGAGATAACTTTTCGGATTCAAAGCAGCCTAAATTTGAGTGAAGTATTTACTTAATTAATTATTTTATTATTAATTGAATAATGTAATTACATATATTTGAGATATTTTATAGGTGCTTACATTTGTAACCTGTTTTAAATTAGCATCCATAAAAAGTACATATAATATATTAATGCAAATCAGATGAATAAATACAGTTTTATTTAATTAATTATTTTATTAAACAAATTATATAAGAAAATAGTTAATATTTATCCAAGCTGAGATCATTGAAGGTCGTAAAACTTATAGAAGACTTACGTTTTCCTAAAGTTCATCTTGATATCTAGTAATTAATTGCACTCAATTACTTTTCAGAAATCAAGGAGTGTGCAGCACTTTTGAACGAACTCAGGGTTAAGCAGCGGGACGAGACCTTCGCCAACTTTTTGCGGGCCTCCCGAGTGTCCTGTGGCAACCAGGGAACCCAGGTGTGCTGCCCCAATGGACAGACTGTCACCACTCCGGCTCCCGTTGTGCCCAAGAACACGGACGAGATTCCCCGCCGGCTGCTGAATGTGGAGGAGGGATGTGGCTCTACGGTGGGCTACTACAAGAAGATCGTGGGCGGTGAGGTGAGTCGCACGGGGGCGTGGCCCTGGATTGCCCTTCTGGGATACGACGATGCCTCCGGGTCGCCATTCAAGTGCGGCGGAACCCTGATCACCGCCAGACACGTCCTCACTGCCGCCCATTGCATCCGGGATGATCTGTACGTACAGTATAAAATATATTTGAATTCATTTACTAATAATTTGGATTTGCTCTTAGGCAATTTGTACGTTTGGGAGAACACGATCTGTCCACGGATACGGAAACTAAACATGTTGATATTAATATTGCAAGGGTAAGTTACATTTAAAAGAGTCAAACGAAAATAGGAAATTCGCTAAGCATTGAGGCTTCTTTATATTTCAGTACGTTTCCCATCCGGAGTACAATCGCAGAAACGGACGCAGCGACATGGCCATTCTGTACCTGGAGCGGAACGTGGAGTTCACCTCCAAGATAGCGCCCATCTGTCTGCCGCACACCCAAAGTCTTCGCCAGAAGTCCTACGTGGGCTACATGCCCTTCGTCGCCGGCTGGGGAAAGACGATGGAGGGCGGCGAATCGGCCACCGTGCTGAACGAGCTCCAGATTCCCATTTACGACAACAACGTGTGCCGCCAGAGCTACGCGAAGGAGAATCGCTACATCTCGGCCGATCAGTTCGACAGCGCCGTCATCTGTGCCGGAGTCCTCACCGGCGGCAAGGATACGTGCCAGGGCGACTCCGGCGGACCGCTGATGCTGCCGGAACAGTATTTGGACAAGCAGCGCTTCTACCTCATCGGCGTGGTGTCCTACGGCATCGGCTGTGCCCGGCCCAATGTCCCAGGAGTCTACTCCAGCACCCAGTACTTCATGGACTGGATCATCGAGCAGGTCCAGCAGACGCCGTGAATGAATGCCATAGCCGCGAATGTCGCACCTAAGTCATAGGATCCATAAATAATATAACAGCTAACAGCCTAACAGAACAAACTTACAATCACAAATGCTTATATTAATTAAATATATTTTTTTTTATGATACAAAAAAAGTAACAATGTTGAATTTATTTATAAACTAAAATTGGCAAAGCATTTAGAGTATAAACCAAAACAAAATAATTTTTTTTTCGGTGAATTTAAATTATGATTTCAATATTTGGTTTTGATAAAATTAAAATAGAATTTGTATTTAATATTTTACCCTCGAAAAAGGAAATATTATTTAAGGTTTCTTGTTTATTAATATCAAGCTGAAGTTATTAGCTTTATTTTAATTAAATAGATTTAAACAAAAGTAGTAAACTTCGGAAAATGTTGTGTGATCTGAGTGCAAATATTGACACTCCTGGCTTTGTTCTCAGGACGTCTAATCCCTCAGTTGGATGCCTGGCAGCAGCAGGACCTCTTTTAGGGTTACAGCATCTTATGTAAATCGAGCGCAAGACGCCCATCAATCATTCCGGTAATGATCGCCAGCCAGCCAGCCAGGTCAGTAAATTCGGGGTAAGAAGGCAGCTTGCGTCTTCGGACATGAACTGCATTGTAATTGCTCCGGCGGCCACAATCGGATTTGCATAACTCAGAACTGGAGGGAAACAATCTTGACTAAACAATCCAGAGAAGTATCGTTTGGGCGCCATCTCATCTCTGAGGGGGAAAACAAAGAGCTGCCTGCCCCAAATCCTTCTGGCTTTCTTCCCTCCAACAGCAGATGAACAAATCAGATGTGAAAGTACAAAGGCAAGACGAATCCTTTTTGAAGTCAGAACGCCTCCCGCGCATTTGTGGCCACATGTCTGGTTTTCTTGGAGATTCAAATCGCATCTGGCAGATGATTTAGTGCTCGCAAAGAGAGAGAGTTCATTAAACTGCTTTCCCCTCAAAGGATCCCTTTCCCTGTTCTTAACACAATTAAGATGCCATCACAACAGCGAAAGTGAAGCGATCTGCAATCATCATCCGATCATCATCATCAATAATGCCAACAAAATTTGCATGCCTCGGGATTTTGGCACAAATTTGCATACCAAATCCGGATGCCACAAGGGTGTTAATTACCTCGTTACCCTCTGGTTCCCAGCCCAGACATCTTTATTGCCAATCGCAAAAATATTTGCAAGGGTTCGCCAGGATTCGAAGGGAGGTTCGCCAGGATCTCGTCTTTCTGCGGCGTCAAGAGGCGAACAAAGGAATTGCCCACAATCGCAAATGTAAACACGATCCGTCAATATCAATGGGTGCAATTGTGATCCCTGATCTCGATGATCTCGAAGATCTCTCAATTTGCAATGATCAATGAGGGCAATTGTGTGGCATTGTACTTCTCACCTCAAGTCATTTGACTGCTCTATTTATGAATAAGGAAGAAGTTAATTTTAACTTTTTTCCTTGTTTCTCTAAAAAACTTAGTTTGCAGAACAAAAAGGTTGTTTAGGTTTTTTTATTAACATAATTAAACTTTTATTTGATGGATAAATATTGGGTTTATTACAGTGTTTAGTATAGATCACAGAGACTACCAACTAACCATTGACTTAACATTCCTAAAAACAATGTTTCCACTTAGACGAAACTTAACTAACTGAATTGCACTGGAATTGAAAACGATTTGGGTGAATCCAAATCTGGCACTGCGAATGGCATCCATCCGATCTCCTGGAACCCAAAAGCTAGGCCTCCGGCGAAGCAGCGTTCCTCTTGAGGGACAGCACCTCGTTCAAAGTGGGGCTGAGTGCCAGGGCGGGATTGGCCACCGCAATGATGTTGTCCCCCGCCGCGGAGATGACCTGGACTCCACTGAGAGCTGCACCCTGGGTGGGGCCACTCAGATCCACGGATTCCCGCGGCGGCGAGGAGTTCTCCATTGGTCGGGAGACCGGAGATCGATCACTTTCCATTCCATTGCAGGGCGTCTATGGAAGAGGAGAGGGGAGTTCTCTTAGTCTTTGGATTTCATGAGGATGCGGAGTGCCCTCGTAGAGCTCCAACACATACTCACTGGCATGGTCGGCGAACTGGAGTTGCTAAACGAGAAGCGCGAATCGTTGTCCTCGTAGTCAGCCGCTTTGCCAAGGCTGTAAAAATAAATTAAATAAGGTTTATTAATCTATTAATATAAATATGTAGAAGTATTATGATATTAAAGTGTACTATTTTCAGTGGTTATTTGTTGAACAATTTTAAATTCTTAAAGGAGAAAGGTATACATTTTAATTATTAAAATTATTATTATTTATTTTTCATACTCACGAGAACTTGGCAATTTCCGTAAGATCGAACGGCGGCTTGGCGAACTTTTGGTACATGGCAAACAGATTGTAGCGCGAGTCCTCGACAGCTTCCTTTATTTTTGGGTGGGATTGGTCAACAAGATCGGGGATTAGAGTCGCTCATTCTCAGTAAAGCCAATTGGAAGCTAAGCGAGGCAAGAAGGCAAGTGGCGTGGAAAGATTTGTTGGAGGCCAAGGAAGAAGACACGTGGATCGTTGGTTTTGGAAATTTCGCAGGATTCATTTATTGACTCAACAGTGGGAAAAGGTACAAGAAAATATTGCAAAACGACTAGCGACTAAATAACTTGGCTATAAAAATTGTAAAGAATTTAACTATTATTTAGTGTTAAGGGTTAGTAATAAATATTAAGTTTATGGGTTAGTAAGCAACTAAAATAATCAGGCAGCAAGTACCATAAATATCAACAACAAACAACAACACTTTACTTATGCTACAAATTCATGCTAATAAAACTAAATTACTAAAGATTTTATTAGAGACTATAAAGGGCCTTTAAGACCAGATTGACTACGAAGATGTAACTAGTAAGCGAAAGTAGATTTGATTAAATATTTAGTCTGTACAAAGTTAGTTTGTTTCTAAGATCTTATCTACGGCAAAAATACTATAGTTCAAATTAAAATCCCTTTCCACCAGCCGAGATATTCTGAAAAGAACCTCTCGACCAGGATTAGTAAGTAATTGTGTTCTGGCGATCGCGAAAGCTGCAAGGCAAGTGTTTGGGTTATCGGCGAGTCCTCCCACCGAAGGACTCTCAAGCGAAGCTGGAAGCCTAGCTGAAGCACTGCACCGGGCGATGGACCTACGGCTCTACGGGATCATTCTTCCTTACCCGGTTCAAGTCGAGTGGCAGTTGGGCGGCCTCCGTGGAGGAGAGTCGCTGTCTTTTCGAGGGAACGGCGGAGTCACTGGACTCACAGTCCGTGTCACCAGGACCTGCTCGTCCTGCTCCGCCACCCGATCCCGCTCCCTGCGACGGCAGCTGGGTGAGCAGACCACCATACCGTGCAATGCTGGCGGAGTGACCGAATCCCGCATCCTTGACGATTTGACGGGCCAAGGGGAAGAGCTCATCGCGGCGGGTGAGCAACCAAATGGTCTGCGGATTCCGGCACAACTGGGCCGCCGCCTCATTGACGCACACCTCGTGGAGGGTCAGAGGCTTCTCCGGCCTCCGCTTGCAGTCGAAGCGGCCGTAGATGGCCGAGTACTTACGGATCTCGTCCATCCGCCGTGGATCCTGCTCCCCCATGGCGATCACCTGCTCCAGCTCCCGCGTGGTCCGCTTCCTGGTGGTCTGGGCACGCGGCTCCCTCTGCGGCAGCTGGCGGCCAATCTTGTCCGCGCACATCGTTATCCGCTGGATCTGCATTTCCGTGAGGACGGGCGTGAGCTGCGGCGAACTGGAGGACACCTGGTGGGCGGCGCTCGCCGGCAGGCTGCTGTTCGCCGCGGGATGCGGACTGCTGGTCAGCGGGGTGGAGGGCAAAACGAGGGGCAGGGGCACCGAGGACACCGAGGGAATCGCGGGACAGGCGATCTGGGTGATCAGGGGAGCTGCGGGCGGGGGAACCGAACCGGAAGTGGGCAGGGGAGCGGGGGGAGCCGCCGAGGGCTGGAAGGCTGTGCCCGAGGGATTGAAAGAGGGGAACTTCTGGCGGGGCAGGGCAGGAGTGGTGTCCGGATTGAAGACCAGCGCCGGTTTGGGTGGCGTTTCGCAAAGTCCTGAAAGTAGCATTACATTAATAAGAATCTCGAGGTGGGGAAGCAGTATTAAATTAAATTAAATTTTAATTTATGAAAAATGTAACCTTTAAATCGTTTGATAGAAAAGTTAATAAACTTAACAAAATATTTTAGAATGTTTTAAATAAAATAAAATTCTTAAAATAAATTTCGAATACTTTTTGTTTTTGATTTTCTCTTACAATATACATTTCTGTAGTGACTTTGAATATTAAGAATTTAATAGAAAAGTTAATGAACTTAACAAAATATTTTGAAATTTTGTATTTCTATCTTTGCCTTACACAAATAGTAAATAAAAAACAACATATATTAAATTATTAAACTTTTTGTATGGAATTTTACTTTAAATAAATTTCGAAATATATTTTTGTTTTTGATTTTCTCTTACAATATACATTTCAGTAATGGTTCCTAGATATATATTTTGATCCTTACCCAAGTGCGGCAGCAGGGGACCCTGGAAGAGGCCCGGGTTGTTGGCCCACTCGTGGAGCGCCTTCTGGAGGCGGCGGACGTGGAGCGGCTTGGAGGCCATGCCCACCAACGCCATGATCTCGAGGAACTCCTCCTCGCCGGCGTCGTACAGCTGCTGCACGTCGTCGCCGCCCATTTCGAGGAGCGTGTCGTAGTAGGCCAGCAGACTGGCCCGCTGGAGCACCCGGTACAGCTGCACCTCCGCCTCGTTGCCCGGTCGCGATGTGGTGATCACTACAAGAAAACAAAAAATCCAGAAAACAGGCTTCAATAAGATGCAGCAAAGAAAAAAATGATATTTATTAAGTTCTGGCCTGCGATGTTCTCACAATGCTGAGCGGCTATAAGAAAAAAACTTTAATTAAATTCGCTTTTTTCACCGAAAAAAAAAACTCGACGGACGTCTGGACCCTAAACCCTTTTTTTTTTGGTCGAGAGCGAAAGGAGGACAAAACAGAAAAAAAAAGGAAAAACCCGAAAAGCACAAGAGCTGGGAACCCAACTCATCTGCATAAGCATGGTGGTTCAACCCCTTCTCGGGGACCAAGGATCCGATACGATCCAATACGATCCGATTTGAGTCGGCAAACTCGTTAGAAATGCGTCACGCATGCTGGAAGACTTCGTCAAGGATTGCCAGGATCACTTTAATCTTGCCTCATTCAGTATTTTTTTCTTTGGTTTTATCACTTTCGATTTTTGGCCAAAAAAAAAAAAGAAAGGATATTATAATAAGAAGGAGATCGTGTGAAGTTTGTACGAATCGAAATTCATAGGAAAAGTTCTTGACTAGCCAGCGATTTATTGCTCATACTAATGAATCCCCCGATCGACGAGGCTGTTACTGTTATGGCAGCACAACTCTAAATGGACGACGCCGATGACGAGGATGATGATTATGTCAAATCGTAAATAATTATGTGAGAATATTTCAGGCGGCGGCGACAGCAGCGTCTCCAGCCAGCTTTAATTAATAGAAAAACGAGCTGGCCGGCTAAATTATAACAAACTCAGGGCAGAAAAAGCTGCGTACATCGATTGCCATCCTCCGATTCCACTGGTTTTCCTTTTATTTTTTTTCTCCCATTTTCCTCTGGCCAACTGAAAGCCAGAAGCGCATCCACCAACGTGCAACACCAAGGATGCGCACTTCGCGCCATTAACCCACGCTCCGCGCCACGGGGTTGTTGCGATTTATGGCCAGGGAGCAGGAACAATTCGCATTCTTAGCCGCTTAATTGGGTATATCATAAATAGTTTGAGAACTACAAAATATCGGACCAGTTGCCAGGTCTTGAAAGTCGATTTGAAGTACGTGAAGTGGTCTTGAACAGAAATTAGCAATGACTTTGACAGAGATTCGAAAGTGATTATAAATGCTGGCTTAATTCAGTAAACAAGTAACTGGTTACAAGGTTTAGGTAAACAAGTTTAAGTAGAGGGTTTTAAAGCTTATAATTTTTTTAAAATTGTTTAATAAGTAGAATTTTGGAAACTTAAAAGTAAAGTAATATAAAAAGTAATATTTTTGAAAATAACATTTTACCCAGTTATATTTATTGTGGAGCAGTTTTTGAGCTGTGATAATTTTATCACTTAGACACCTTTTCAAAGTTACTGATCGAGGGTTAATGGTGTAGCCACACTTCACTTCTAAGCGACCACTTGTGGTCCACCGCCCCATCCCATCCCAAGTTGGGTATTTAACGCAGACTTGCGTAAGTCGGGAGTCTGTAGTTTGGAGTCGGGAGTCTGGAGGAGCGAGCAAGGGGCAGCAATAAATAAATGAGACGTGATTTCAATACACAAATAATGCCGGGGAGGATCGGTGAAGATCGAGGGACACTTTGTTGTGGCTGCTCCAGCTCCAGCTCCTCTGCTTCTGCTTCTGCGGATTGCTGCTGATTTTTTATTTATTTAATTTGCGGCTTTGTTTTTTATTTTGCCCACAGCCCCAATGCCTCGAACGCCGCTGCTGCTGCTGCTTTTGCTGCTGCTGCTGTTGTCATTTGCTAAATATGCTGTTTTTATGCGAACGGCAAATGGTAAAGATGGACAAAAAATTAACTGCAGTAACTTTTTAGTTGGCACTTGGCAGCAATAATGACATTCGACGCCACATACCAAGCAGCTGCCCAAGCAGCCAGGACCAGAAAACGGAAAACCGCGAATGGCCAGCAGGATAGGCACTGAGAAAAAATCGTAGTATGAAATTTATTCAAGCAAAATGACACCAATAATAATCTTTAAAGTTTTAAGTTATTCAATGTAATTTGTATACTTTTTAGTTATATCATAAAAAGAATAACTATTATAAAAGTTTCCTTTAAGATAATTTAATACAAGTGAAACAAATAGGTTAACTTTAAGCCACACAATTGAAATGCTATGTTTCGAATAACGTTACAATTTTTTTCACAGTGCACTCAGAAAATGCGTGTGAGTGCGTCTGTTTAGGTGAGGGGCCCTATGTGTGAGTGTGGAGTGGAGCAGTCAATCGTGCGATCGCTTCGATTATGGGCAAAAAGTAGACGCCGGACTTTGCAGACTTTGACTTGGAGAGTTGGACCTGGAATCGGAACCTGGAACCTGGGACTTCGGTCTTGGGACCAGGGTCCGAGTCTGATTCTGATTCTGAACCTGAGTCTGAATCTGATTCTGATTCTGAGTCCTCATCTTCGTCCTCCTCAGACTCCCCTTCAACTCGGCATCGGCAATGGGCAAGTAACCGAAACTATTTCTCATATACAACGATAAATTAAAAGCCAACTTTTTCAACGACCAAATTCTTGTCGATCAAAATTCCATTGGTGGCAATAACTTGGACCGTACGTGCCAATGGCCAATGGCCCCAGCAGACTGGCCATAACCATAACATGCACAGCAAAATAATAATGTCAACTCAATTCTTAAATGCATTGTTTTAGGGGTCATTACGATCCTAAGCTATATAATAAAAATAAAAAGGTATAATAGCTAGGGCTTTTTAGAAAATTATTAAAAGGAAAACTTTAATGCCTGATTTGATATAAAAACTATTAAGAGTAAATCTCTATAATTTATGGGTACATTTTTCCCTGTGTGGCGATCCTTAGCTTGCATTTGATATAATAAAAGGAATAATAGTTAGTTAGGGGTTTTCTAAAAATTACTAAAAAAAATATTTAATGCTTGATTTGATATAAAAACTATTAAAAGTAAATCTCTATAATTGATGGGCATATTTTTCCCTGTGTGGCGACATTTTTTTCCCAGAGGTTGAGCGTTTTTCCAGCGAGAACGCGTCTCGTTGGTTGACTCTCATTTGGTCTGAGATTTATGAAAATAATTTACTACCCTCATCGCTTGGGGTGAGTTTTTTTTTCCTTTCTTTTCGAAGTTTTTGCTTGTTACCCCTAAGACATGGCCTATCGTCATGAGGTTGTTCTAACGGCTGCCTAGTAAAAGGCATTTTACCTGGGCCTCGAACACACCTCATTGGATGAACTCTGCCATTGCTGCCTCGAGAAATCCTAGACCTTGAGCAGATATGCAAAACAAGACACCCCGAGCAATCGAGCACCAAGGAAATGAAAACCGGAACACAATCCGCAATTTTTTTTTTTTTGAGAAATTAAATTACCCAGCAACGGCAATTTTTCAGCTGCCTTTGTTATCAGACTAAGGTCCTTTAGTTCCGGGGACAAGCTTCTTGGATTCCAAGCGCTTTCCGTTACATAATGGAGCCACAACAATGGAAGCTCGTGAAAAGAGCGCGAAAATTGCAGCATGTGGCTGGCGGAGATTGCTTTAGTTGCAGGGAAGCTTAACGAAGGATTTGATGCGGTCAAAGGATCAGGATCTGGCAGAACAAAAATCCTATGATGCTGAGTATTTGCAGGGTTAGGTAACGAAAATGTCTCTTATATTTATATATAAATCTCTAATATGTTTATATTTTCTGAATCTATGTGAGGACTTGGTAAACCAGTTTTATCAAAGAGCGCATATATCAAATAATTTACGCTTAGCTAATTTGAATGAAAATCAACTTTTCACTTCAGACAATTAAAGAAAAAATAATTTTTAAATAAAACATATTATCTGAATAACCCAACACCAGTTTAACCAAAAATGGGGTGGCTTTAGGCTAATTTTGAAAAGTATAGTTTGAATACGAAGTAAGCTGTTTTAAAAACCCTTTTTAAATATACTTCCATATTTTGGTTCTATCTAAGCTGTGCTCATTGTTTTGTATACTAGTAATGTAAATCAATTGCCACATTTTTTTAGTTTAATTTTTATCAAAATTAAGATTTGTTTTGATTTTGCATTGATTCTGAATTTAAAACACTAATGCTGTTTAGTGTACTTACTTGTTCCATTTGCATTCCTCCCGAAGATCTTCCCCTGCGGACTCATAATCGGACTGGAGGAAGCCGACGGAGCACCCGACAAGGATCTCTGGCCCTCGGAGAGTCCGCTGGCCAGGGAGAGATTGTACAGGTCCTCCGCCTTGGCCATTTCCAAGCTGGTGGCCAGCAGCTGTGACTGAGTGGCAGAGGCGGATACGGATGCGGATGCAGATGCGGATACAGATGCGGATGCTGATGCAGATGCGGAGCAAGTGGAGGCGGGTTGACTGTGTCCTTTGCTGCTGGTGCTCGCAGCTGGCGAAGGACTCGACGTGGATGTGGTGGTGGCCACCGCCGTTGTGGGAGTCGTGGGATTTGAATTGGCCTCCATTTCTTTCACTCGCTGGGTAACGAATTAAGTTAACGCGATTTGCACGAAGGGCGAACAAAAACCAGGCGCAAACACAAACAACCAAGGCGAAATGCATGCAAACTAGGTTCAAGGATCAAGGATCAAGGATCGGGTGAGTACTACAATCTACGCTTAACTACACTAAGTGTGGAATTCTCTCAGGAGGAATCGATCGATTGGGAGTGACGAGACTCGCGCTTTATCTTCAACGATCTCTGCGATCCGCTCAGCTCGAGGCCAGACGAACTTCTGTTTTCCAATCCCAGAACGGACATCTCTGGAACCCTTTTCAAACCGGCCGAAGCCAAGCCAAACCACCCGAAGAAAACCCGAACCCGAACGCAATTCGCTTTCGTTTTCTTTCAACAGCAGGGAAGTCTATAGTGGTTCTCCCTCGAAAAGGGTTAAAATCAGGAACAAAAACAAGCCAACACAAAATAATTCGCGGGGAGGATTGAGGAAGGGAACGGAGGACATTGGCTTCCCGGTTTCCACTCGAGGGTTACTTTTTATCTGCAGATGCCCAGGAATCTCTTATTAGAGCCGAATCTCTTTCTCTCTTCGAAGCTACGTTGATTTTTGAGTGAGTTTTTGTGCTCCGCCTCTTGGGATTCACTCGAAGATCCGAACAGCTTTGGGTGCCCGAGAGATCTTCGGAGTTCCTTTTTAAGGACTTTTTTTTTTTTTGGTAAGTATTTTCCGTTAAATCTGCTGGGAATATTCAAATTCCAGCAAATGCAAGATATGCATTATTTTTTAGGCAAAAAAAAAGGTTGAATAATGTGGCTTAACCCTTTTCCCATGTCAAAGAGTTCTTTACGCAACTGAACATTTTTTCTTCTTGTAAATTATGTATTATTTTTCGCGGCAATTTTTTGAATAAAAATCTGACAAAAACAAGAAAGGAAGGTAAATTTTCAGCAAATCCTTAGTTAAGAATTTCGAAAGGGGGATGCCACTTCAAAATCTGATTAAAATTAGAAATGTTATGGACTTAGAACTCATGGAATTTGGTCAAGTTTCAGCTTACCCATTTTTTGAATAATCTTTTCTTATATATATAGTCACCCTGTCCGTTCCGACTAATACTATATACTGCGTACTTTAAAAAGAAAATATATAAAATAACTGAAGATTTTTTGTATTTATTTTGTATATACAAAAACAGTTTACCATAGGGCGTTATCAAATAGGGGAATACTTTTAAAGATTGCCGTTCTACGCTACCGATAATCGTAATAGTTAATATAGTTGCTTTCTGGGTTTCGAGTCGTTAGCAAATTAGAGTTAGGTTAGGTATGAATAGATTACACTAGGATGGGTTTACGTTAGCAGTCGAAGAGCGGGAACCCCTTTTCAAACAATCGTAGGCTATTCCGGGAATCCTGATTCTTTTGGGTCCAGCAAATTGCCACAAGAGCGGGGTTCCTCCCGCACATGGTGTCTGTGTCCTATGCGAGATGCCTCACTATAAGTTATTCACGCTGATGATCTGGTTGATCCAGCCGATGAACGAGGACGTCTTCACATAGACGCCGGGTACATCCTGTCGACCGCAGCCGAAGCCCCAGGACACGAGGCCAGCTAGCTCGTAGAAGCCATCATCCTGGCACACCAAGGGACCACCTCCATCTCCCTGGCAGGCGTCGTGTCCCTCTTCTCCGCCGGCACAGAAACTGGACGCCGGCAGGATGAAGATCTTCTCCGTCACGGCGTTCACCTTCCGGATGCACTCCGTGTCGCTCACAATCGGAATCTCCGCCTCACGAACTCGCAGGGGAATCGGACCAGCTGTAAATGAAAACCAAGATTTATAGATTTGTTGGTGCATTTTAGGGATTTTCTGTGTACCTTCTCCCATGTATCCGTATCCAGTCACTGTGCACCGCTTGCCCGCCGCATGGCTGACTCCTCTGGCCGGAAGACACACTAAACAAACTCCATCCCGCAGCTCCGCTTGACCATGGAGCTTCAGCAGGGCAATGTCGTTGTCCAAAGTCTGGCTGTTGTGGTTGTGATGGATGTACGTGGTGGCAACTCGAAGGGTTTGGGCTCCTGGACTTCCGTACTTGCGGGTAAGGTCGTAGTCGCCCACGCGGACGTAGATGGCGTCTCCTGATCGAACAATGCTGCAAAGGTTTAAATAGACAAGTTTTAGTTGAAAAACTACTGCGTTGACTTTATGGATTTTAAATATAGTAAGGAAGTTTTATATGAATTTAAATAACATCTGTAATTTCATCAAAGTTATTTCTAGATTTAGTTGAAAAACTATTCCGTTGATATTATGGATTTTAAATATAGTATGGAAGTTCTATATAAATTCAAATAACATCTGAATTTCATCAAAATGATTTCTACTCTATTTGTTGTTATTGTTTTTCGAAGTTCCTTCTCCTTTCCCAAAATTTTCAAAATACATATAATTAATTCTTACTTGGTGACACAATGGGCAGCCGTGAGGACCCACTGGGTGCCAATGAGAGCCGCTCCACAGAGGTATTGGTTCAAGGAGTTGATAAGAGCCACCTGCCAGCACCACTCGCCGTTCTCCCCATCCTCGCCGCCCACCACTCGCGCCCTCCGCCTTCCGCTGAAGTTCGACTGCAGACCGTACAGTGATCTCTGCTGATAGTAGTCCGGGTAAACCAGCTCCGGCTGCACCACCTCCTCCTGGTGGTTGTGGTACGAGCGCAGTTGGTTGCTCTGCAAACTGCTGGACTCCACCAAATCACCCAGCTTGTCGTTGTGGATTTGGATGGGCACAATGGCGGAGCCGAGGACCAATCGCTCGTTGGACTTGTTGAAGTTGGTGGAGTATCCGGCGGAGGATGTCATCTGCCGGGCTGTTCGCTGCACTCCGTACTTGGCACGGGCATAGGAAATTAGGGAGAGAGCTTGGGACCTTCCTGTTCGCAGAGTTCCCTTGACACCGCACACGTACTTGGAGTAGACATGTGGCCTTGGAGTCGTCGAAGTGGTGGTCGTGGTGGGTGGCGTGGTAATGGGTGGCTGGGGCTGTGGAGGCAATCCCGCTGAAAGTCCCGGTCCAGAAACTGGATAGTAATCCGCGTAGTTGGGAGCCGGAGGTGGTGGCTGGTAGGGATTGGTGTGGTGAGGAGGAGGCATCTGGGGCGGAGGTCCTTGGGGCTGTTGGTTGTTCATGTAGGAGTAGGGCGGTGTCTGGGGAGGATAGGCCTGCGGTGGACCGAGGGGCGGTGGGGGTGGTGCAGGATAGTAGGCGGTGTCGTTGCGCGTCTGGAACTGTTGCTTCTCCAGGATCTTGCTCTTGGGAGCACAGCAAATCTGGCCGGAGCGCTTGCAGCGGAACATGTCAGTCATCTCGGCGTTTTCTGGAGAGGGAAAAAGATAATACATATATTATAAAATAAAACTATAGTTATTGAAAATATATAATACAAAGATGATAAGTGGAAAGCAAAGCTAAAAGATTCTTGATAAAAGGCATTCAAAATTAAAATAAATATAAATAACTCACTGAAGCAGGTGAAGCTGAGCAGGCTGACGATGCAGGATCCGGGGCACTCCTCCCTGGGATCGGGACTCGGGGTGTTGGGCAGCACATAGGGCGGAGCGGTGGGCGGGGCCGTGGGCGAGGGCGTGGGCGGTGGCAGCTTGGGCTTGGGCGCTCCGGCTCTGGAGTTGTCGCAGCAGACGGATCCCTTGGCGCAAGTGGTGGGTGTGGAGACCAGGATCGAGGGCCTCTCGCAGAAGGCGGCCATAATGTTGAGCAGACAGAATCCAGGGCAGCGGGGCACTTGAACCGGAGCCTGGGGCGGCGGAGGTGGAGGAGCCGGGGAGTTCAGAGTGCTCTCGGCAAAGGAGATGATCTGGGAGAGCAGGTCACCACCACCTCCTCCGCCGCCGGAGCTCGAAGCTGGCGGCTGAGGAGCTGGCGAAACGGGACGAGCGGGTTTGGCAGCTGGTTTGGGGGCGTGTTTGATCGCAGGCTTGGTGGGCGGGGCCTTGGAGGCGGGCGGTGCCTCCGAACCGTTTCCAGTCACACAACAGCTTCCTTCGCCCGGACAAAAGGCATCGGAATCGATGTCATCGCAGAAGATGGCGAATATCCCATTCATGCACTCGCCTTCGCATTCCTTTAGGACTTGACCCTGATTTTGTCCGGATTTCAGTTTGTTACTCAACGGTGGCTCCTCCTCCTCGCCGTCCTCGTCGTTCTCCTGGTCCTCTTCCTCCTCGGCAGCCTCTGTGGTTGTCGTGGTCGGATGCTTCTTGTGTTTGCTGGGCTTCGGAGAACTATTGTTGTTGGTTCTGGCCGGTTCAGGAGTTGTGGTGGTGCTGGTGGTGGTGGTGGTGGTGCTACTTGTGGAAGTGGTGGAGGAACTCTTCGAGGGAGCAGACTTCTCGGAGAGAGTTTGATTGGGCTTGAGGTTGCTCATGTGTTCTGGTAGCAAAAATATACAATTAAAATACAAAAGGAAGTATCTATGGGTGGTTACTTACTGGCTGGAATGTAGATGTCCTTTGGCAGCTTGCCATTGGAGTATTCGTCCAGGGAGACACAGCACTTGGTTCCCTCCTTACACAATCCATCGCTGGTCAAGTAGGCCTCGCAATACTCCGCTATGCGATCAGCCACACAAACTCCAGTGCAGTCCTCTGAAAATTTCGGAAAATAAATAAAATATTCCAGAAAATATAACATAGGTATATTAAATATTCCAGCAAATCTGTACTATTATTTATACAAGATTATTATATCACTCTCAAACTTACTGTTCGCATCATCCGCCTTAGTGGACTCCTCCTTGTCCTTGGGCTTGGCAGTGGCCACTTTCTTGGTGGTGCTGGGCTTCTTGGTGGTGGCCACCGTGGCTTTTGTGGTGGCACTAGTGGCAGGTCGCTTGGTCTGCGGTTTGGGCTTTGGTTTTGGAGTAGTTGTGGTGGTGGTGGTGCGCTTTGTGGTGCTGGTTGTGGCTGGCGTAGTGGTTGTCCTCTGAGTGGTTGTGGTGCTAGCAGTGGTTGTCGTTTTGGGCGTTGTTGTTGCCCTCACGGCAGTCGCATTCTTACCAGCTAAAAAATAGATAACCTTTAAAACCTAAAAAGAAATATTATGAGTAAGAACCAAACCTGGAGCGTTTTCAATGCAGCACTTCATGCTGGCCGAAGGACAGGCGACATCTTCTAGAACTTCGTAGCAAATCAAAGTAGCCAAGGTGTGGACACAGACTCCAGGACAATCCTTGGCATCTGCTGTACTGGTAATGGTATCCAGGAGACCTAAAAGGGTGTGATCATATATGATTAGCAAACATGATATGCGATGCCATTAATATTATTATTGTTGATATACATATTAGATCAAGTAAAAAGTAATCAATTATTTGAAGAATAGATGGCTCAGTTTTTTGCAAGTAAGGACGAAGGATTTTATGAGAGGTGTATCATAAAATTACCATCAATCGATTGTAAAAAAAAGGTGCTTATTTGAAATAAATCGGTTAATTCTAACCATAAAAAAAAATTTGAATTTCATGTACAAATAATGGATTACTTTTTACTCGACCTATTATTCTTATACATATTTGTTTGTTAATACTTGTTGAGTACTTGCTAAATACTGATCTTACCCGATAGAAAACTGCCCGCCAGGGACTCATCCTGGGCCTGCGAAGGCGATGGCTGGCTGACCAGCAAAATGCTGAATACCAACGGCAGAACAAAGCGGCTCATTGTGTTGGGAAACCTTTGCGTATTTCGGTGGTCCAACATGGTCAGCACGTGCTCATTTCCCACCAAGAATCTGCAGGGGAGAGAGCGAGAGAGAGAGGCGTGTAGAAAAGGTGAGATAATTAGCGGTGGTCAAGTGAAAGTCGAGCCGACTGAGCCAACTGAATCATCCGGGCCATGTAACCCCGGTCGCCGCCAGTGACGTAATGCGGCAGCTCGGAAGCTTGGGGCATCTGCCACAGGCCTAGAGATCATTGGCCTAGAAAGAGCCGCCGAGTGAAGATCATCATCATCGAGATATTACCACTTGGGAGGCGGCATGTGTGTGTGATAAGCCCAAACCAGTTTGGACCATTTAATTCTTTTTTTTTTTTGGGTTCTGCTTCTGCGGCGCAGGTGCCCCATTTCAATATTACGTATACGTAGCGGTGCCGCCGACTAACGGGCCACTCCAGCCATTTCCCCCGACCATAATCCATGTATCTGGGTTGCCCAGAACGAGTATGGAAACGGCGACATCGGGCTGTAAGAGGCGAAAACTGGTTACACGGAATGGTGAGAAGACCATGCAAATAACAAGAGCTCGGTAAAAGCCAGGGCATTCTTGGGCCACAATTAACGAAACCGTCAAATGAATGAAATAGAAAGTACTTAGTACGAAATGAAACCTCGGCGATAGAGATCTCCGATCTCTCAGCGAAAGTGCAGCTGGTTGTCGCTTCTTCTGTTTTCGGAAACTAAAACTGAATCGGAATGGGAATCGGACGGACTTCCCCAATCACGTGCGACTCAACAAAAGCTTTCTACAAACCGGAAAGGAAAATATTATTATTATTTGTATCTCAATTCTACACTCTGTGACTGCGACAGCTGATGATGGGGAGGGCTAGAAAGTGCTGGCACGAATTTTGGGTCAAGTCGTTTCTCCTGCTCTCTGTTAGCAACATTCTTGCCCCATTCTGTCAGTCCACCACGCCTACGCCACCATGAATACCAAGTCCGGCACCAAAACCGAATGAGAAACTGGGTCAGATGCATAAGGCGCGACGGCATTAACACCGATCGTTCTTCTCTCTTTCGGTTGCCCGATTCTTCAATTCTTTCGATTCTTCGGTTGTTCGGTTGTTCGGTTCTTGGCATTGGTTTTGTATATGGGAACCGAATCACTTGGAATTCCAGTTAACCGAATTTGAATTTCACGCCAAGCGGAGGTAAAGAAAAGATCTCTTTCAAAACAAACAGAACCGTTTTGGCTTAACTGTAAACGACACTCGGCTATTCGTACACTGTAACTATTCGTAGTTGATTTGTCAATTTGCAAAACGATTCTTTGCTGCCGTCTTCAGTGATGTTGTTTTTTATTTGTTTGGTTTCTTTCGTTTTTAGCACTTCCATAAAAGTCCCGGGCCGAAGAAATACAGAGACGCGAAGAAACGTAGAAGACCAACACACGTCGAAGAGTTGGAGGAATTCTTCGCCTTAGGCTCGGCTCACGAACAAGTTAAGCGACTTCTGTTTCTCGGTGGTTGGCCATCTCTTTTCTTTCTTTGCGACCGGGGATCTTAACGGTAAGTTTGCAGACGCATAACTGTGAGCTGGCAGCCAGGAGAATGGGATACCGATCCGGAAGCCCCTTTTTTAGCCAGTGTTCTATAACGCAAAGTCCAGCGGAAAACAGGAAGGAAGTGGCACTCACTTAAGATTTCTTAAACGTAGACGGTTCCAGACGAATCGGAACGATCCTCGGGTTTTCGGTTTCTCTTTGTGTGATATTGTATATCCTAGGGATCACGATCACGATCACGACGCGACTGCACCTTGCGAAAGCCAAAAGCCGACTGACCAGCACTCAAGGTTCTCAGCGATGGTAAGCCGCCAAGGCCGGGAATTCTCCGGAGAAAGTGTGCGCGGTCGAGACTCTCTCCCGAAGAGCGGTCGGCTCTCTTAAGACCAACACCTGTTTACCTGTCCCACACCTTTTTTATTTGTTATGGGCCATAAAACACTCGACGATTGGTCTTCGCAACTCTTCAGAAATCGCCACTTTGCCATCGAGGGTACAATGAAGCCATTTTGCAGACACTTTTATTAGCACCCCGAACCCTTTTTTGGCAAACGAAAGAAACCCCGGAGTGTGCCTACTTTAGCGGATTAACGTTACCCCTATCCTGTAACGATCATTTCTGCACATTTGCATTGTGTTCGCGGCTTAGTTATGCAAATCTCAAGTGCCTGTCTTGCATATTTTTTTTTGGCCAACATCTTGTTACATATGCTAATTCGCAATTTAGGATCCCGATCTTGAGGAGCTGTTGACGTCGCCCTGTTGCCAAAACATTGCAGATTGAAATTACGAGTGCGCGAATCTAATGAGCAACTAACTGCATTTGCATAGGGAAAACTGCCCTGGGAAAACCGAGTAAGCCGATGAGCTGGGGATTTGCGGTGAGTCGGGCGAATCAGTCAACAGTTTAGCATAAGTAGAAGAAAATGGTACTTGATAAGGAACTGATGGAATTTTATTCTGAGAAGGATTAAATTCCTATAGTTAAAATAACACTGTAAACAAAATAATGCTAAAATGCCTTAAGTATATTTCACACAGTTTAACAATATAGATTAATATTGAATTTATAAAATAACTCTTGATTTTAAATTGAAATGAAGTCTGCCTTAAATGACTTACCACATGATAATACTAATTAGTATCCGCCAGCCATATCCTACTCACTGTCTAGTCTTTTCTATGCGTAATCGCATGTCTAGGCAAATGAGCAGAGAGACAATCCATCGAGTCCTTCGCGGATGTTCCCAGGCTCCTTTCGATCGCGCAGCCGTCGCGCATCCTTCGTTTCGGGGCAAAATCTTCTCAAGACAAAACTTCACACGACCAGATCGGCTAGAAATTTGAATAAAACGCTGCATAAAAAAAAAACTGAAAGTGGTAAAAAAAAGTGAAAAAGTTCATAAAAAAAAAAATCGAAAGAAAAAAATTATTTATCATTCCGTGCGAGTGTGAGTGAGATCGTTTGTACCTGGTCCCGAGGACCTCAGGCAAATAGATAAGAAGCCGGTGGTGGTGGTTTGGCCTTCGTCCTGCGTCCTTCGTCCTGCGTATGCAAATCGCTCGCCCGAGTCCGCGATGATTCCTTTTCAATTCGAACAATGCCGAGGGTCGCCGCCCTGTCCTTTGGCCACACATGTTTGTGTCTGCGTTTTTTCAGCATTAATCGTCCTATTCGAAAAAAAATGATTAAACCCTTTCGTTTGGTACATTTTTTTTCGAAGATTTTTCCCCGTTTTTGTGAGGCTTGTCTTTTTTTTTTTTGCTTAAGTCATCCCGTTGTTGTAATTTCACTTTTCCGTGAGAACTTTTGATGGTCTTGTATTGAAATAAGAAGAAATATGATGCTCAGGTGTGGTATAAAAGGAGAATTTTTTAAAGAACATGGTAGAACTTAAGTTATAAGAAAAAGGGTACAAGAATGTTTTTTATAAAGTTAGAATGTTGGGACTAAATAAAATATTAGATATGTTTTTATTGAATATGATTTTGATTAATCAAAGCGGATAAAAAGTTTTTGGAGGTATAGTAGTTATAGAATCTGTCTAAATTTACTAGTTTAGACCATGTTCGCATAGCTAAACCAAAATCGTAAAACCCTGTTATGTTGCGGTTAAATATAATTTAACCCGTCGAGTCCATTTTCCTTAAAACCCAAGGCGATTTATGTTTAAATAATCGAGGTGCCTGCATCTCCGTGCCCTGCATCCTAAGCAATTCACCCCCCGGCGTGATGTACGATGATGATCTTGGGCTGGATATGAAGAAAGGATTCAATCCGAGATCTGACCGAGTTTCCTCAATTTGCATATCGAGGGTCGTGGACTCTTTTGAGGGGTGCTATCGACGGGGCAAGGGTTTGTCATGGGAACAAAAGATGCATTCAACGCCGAAGAATAGGCGAAATCAATATTTGAGGTAATTAATTAACAGCATCAATATTGTAGAGAAGAAAACCCATAACAATATTCACATTTAGCAATCAATTGATTGACGATTGAATGTTATCTTGAATATTATCAGTAGAAGTCATGTGACATAGTGGCATATTCATATTTTATATGGACATTAAATAGCGAATGCTTAACTATATTGAGTTTTTGTATACACGTTTAACTAATTCAATATGTATATACATTTATACACGTTTAACTAATTTAGAAGTAAGACGTCAAAATTTGAAATGTTTTACAATTCAAATAACTTTAGTAAGACTATGATAGAATGTAGGAAATCATACAATTATGCTCTTAAGTTTTTTATAATTAAAAAAAACAATAATTATATATTTCTTTATGTTGTTATACATTATTAATAAAATAAAATTTTTAAGTAGTTAAGCCTTGTCTGCGTTTTAAATCTAACGGTCCTTCCTTGTCCTTACTTACAAGATCTGGCAACCTTACCTCCAGAGTTTTTCAACACTTATATAGGGTTGTCCTTTTAACGTATTATGGTTGATAGGCGCGAAAATCAAATTTCTGTGCTGTGTGACCGCACTGCGCCGGCTTTCAGGGAATTTTCTAGTACTTTTAGTTGCAGTTCGTCTGCGGTCACACAACGCAAAGGTACGTGTCCAAAATCATGAAAGTAAAAACAATGCTGCTGCTGCGAAACGTAAATACTCGCTAAACTCGTGAAATTGGCCAGTGCGAATCGCTGGTCTAGGCTCCGGTGGGAAATTCAGATGCACTTCGTCGGCGAAACGATTAACAACTTAGCACGCAACAACAAATCCCAGCGGCGACAACAATAATAGCAACAGCAGAGAGCGCAAGCAACAGCAACAGTCACGAAACTAGCAACGCCCACCTAAAATCAAAAACATAATGACCACACACACAGTGCAAAGAAATCTCTGGGCATCCAGTTTAGTGGTTCTGATCTTGCTCCTCTATTGGACGGACTCCACCCGAGGATACTTCGCCGCCATCGACGAGGCGGAAACCAACAAGAATTGCTTCTGCGAGGTGGGTTTTTAATCCATTTAAACTTTACAGTATTATACAATGTGGAAAATAATCTATAAAAGTCACCATTCTAAAATTTAGTAATTTTTAATTAATGGTTATTTATTTTCTAGACTTGACTCATCTAAAAAATAATGAATAATATTAGTCAAGTTAATTCTAAAAATAAATTAATGTGAGAATTAAAATCTTTATTTTTATTATAAATCTGTGCTCTTAGTTTTACCGCCACTGTAATATATTTATATTTTTCGCAGTTGGAGGGATCTATAAACGACTGCAGCTGCGATGTGGACACCGTGGACCATTTCAACAACATGAAGATCTATCCGCGGCTGCAGAGTCTGTTGGTGAAGAACTTCTTCCGCTTCTACAAGGTGAATCTGCGGCAGGAGTGCCCTTTCTGGCCGGACGACAGTCGCTGTGCGATCCGTTTCTGCCAGGTGGAGAACTGTGAGGAGCAAGCGATACCCCAGGGAATCAAGGAGAAGGGCGAGCACAAGGAGAAGGCTTCATTCAAGGTGGGTCTTTGAATTTTTCCATTAACGAGCTATCAGAAATACGCCCCCTTATCTCATTCTTTCATTTACTGAAGTCGGTAGCACTCCACTATCTACCTGAATTCTCAATGGGTTTAGGTGATTTATTTTTATTTGAATATTTACTGCTCCACAAGAATGAACCGCATCTGTAATCTCCACTTAACGTACGCGAGTATTGATGTGGCCTTTGATTTTGTTTAGCAATGCTGACGTGGTTTTAGTATCTCATCAAGCGTTCAGACGCCCTTTATTACTTTTTCATACTGTCAAGTCAATCTGTCGGATTTACTTATCCTCTGAAGTGTGTTTATATACTTAGTCACCTCTAAGAGATACATTCGATTTAATTTTTAATCAGTTTTATTTAAAAAGGAAATTTAGCAAACAAAAATACGAAGTTATTCGATTGTTTTTAACAGAAGTGGTTCTTATCTTTATAAACAAAAAGATAATACACTTCAATTGTTGACTCGTGCGTTATGCAAAGAAACAAGAAATGTTTTAAATTAAAGAGAACTATTTATACAGTTAATGCTATTTAAAAATAATATTAATAAATTCCTCAATAGCTTTATCTTCAATGGAATAATGACTGACTTACAACTCAAACTTGATTGTTTGCACAACTGTTGAAGTTACCTTACTGACTTCCTCTTCTGTTTGCTATCTTTTCAGTACACGCGAGAGGCACAAGTGGAAGGCGGAGCGTGTTCAGATGGTGAGGATTTCGATAGCTCTCTGGGTTTCCTGGACACGAGCATCAGTGACCAGGCGCACCGGGAATTTGAGCTGTGGGCGAAACACGATGAAGCCGAGGAGGACTTTTGCATAGTAGATGACCACGAAGAGGGCTCCCAGTATGTGGACTTGCTGCTGAATCCCGAGCGATACACCGGATATCGAGGGGAATCAGCACACCGCATCTGGAAGAGTATCTACTTGGAGAACTGCTTCGGTGGCAACAATGAAACTGCCAACAAGTTCTCCAGTTATGTTCCCCACTTGGATCTGCGGGACGTGTGCCTGGAACAGCGCGCCTTTTACCGCATTATCTCCGGTCTCCACTCCAGTATTAACATCCATCTGTGCTCCAAGTATCTGCTGTCCGAGTCGAAGGACTTCCTCGATCCACAAGGCATCTGGGGTCCGAACGCCAAGGAGTTCAAGCGACGCTTCAGTCCGGAAACAACAGGTGGCGAGGGCCCTCATTGGTTAAGAAACCTCTACTTCATTTACCTGGTGGAACTGCGTGCTCTGGCCAAGGCTGCTCCTTATCTGCGACGCGAGGATTACTACACAGGCATCGCCGAGGAGGATGAGGAGGTGAAGCTGGCCATCAACGATTTGCTGAGTGTTGTAGAGTGAGCTCGAAACAATCTACTATTTTAGAGAAAGTACTAACAACGATTTGTTTTGCAGAAATTTCCAGTCCCACTTCGACGAAAACGCTCTCTTTAGCAGCGGCATTGCCTCCATTAAGTTCAAGCACGACTACAAGGAGAAGTTCCGCAACATATCCCGCATCATGAGTTGCGTGGGCTGTGACAAATGCAAACTATGGGGAAAGCTGCAGACGCAGGGTCTGGGCACTGCCCTCAAGATTCTCTACTCTGAAAAGCTGAATTTAGCGACGGAAAGCGGGTTGTGGGATAAACCGCACATCGAGGCTGATCCCATTTTTAGGCTGTCGCGTACAGAGATTGTCGCTCTATTCAATGCCTTCGGCAGGTGGGTCTCTAAAACTTCTTTAAAACCATTATAAATCAACCATGGGTAATGTGCGGTTTTCCTTGCAGATTATCCAACAGTATATACGAGATGGAGAACTTCCGGCGCGTGCTGAGATAACCCATCCAACCTGGATCAACCGAGTGTCGTCCCGGATCCAATTCGCTTCACAGGAGCAGCTCTGCGCCGCCGCTCCACCTATTAGTTAATTCATACGCACATCGCTGGGGCTGCATCTTGGGCATCCTCCTGAATGCAGCTTTCCTTCCATAGTTCGTAACACTTGACCGGCCAGAGGCTAGCAACCCCAGGATAGCTGCTTCCCTGTACATACAAACGATTACCCCTAGGCTACTTGTACTTTAGCGCACCGTATCACCCTCATGTCAAAACATACCCGAAAACCAAAAGACAAAAAAAAAAAACGCCCAGGAAGGATGCAGGTGTTTATTTTAAGTTAGGATAGTATTTATTGTAGCTGGAGGAGTTTGTAAGCAGAACTTAATGAGAAAGTAAACGCATTGTGCAATAACTCGACCTTACGACACACAGGATTTAAAATAAACGTGCAGTCAGATGTTTTGAAACCCCCATTTCTCTATCGTGTCTCCATCGATACGGGGCCTAGCAACCGAGTTGTTTGCTGTTCCAGCTGTCGGCTTTTGTGACATTTACAATTTCTTATCCACTTGATCTGCAGTTGGTGGCGCGTGTGCTTATATTTTCTGTGCGAAATGGTGGTTCTACATGTGAAGCGCGGAGACGAGGTCCTCTTTTGTTTTGAGACCAGTGTTAAGGAGAAGACAGACTTGGTTCTGCGGGATCTGGTGGCGCTCTACAATGGCCGCCTCAAGATTCAGCGTATCTGCATGGAGATCGAGGAACTGGCCGAACACGGCACCATGGTACCGCCTGAAATGATGGGCCTGAACGAGGACCAGAGAGAGGAGCTCAAGCTAAAGGATAATTTTGCGGAGAAGTGCATTCCTTCAGGCGGCTTCACCATCAACAAGGATCCACTCCTCCGCCGAAATGGGCAGCAGCCGAATGAGGCTATGCAGAAGGTCCTGGCAAATGCAATGACGGATGCCAAGGCCATGGTGGACAGGGTGAGTTAAGGGATGGATACGTGGCTAATGGCTTATGAGATGCCACCTACATCCTTTCAGAAACTAGCCAAGGACTCGAAAGTTTTGACTCTGAAGATTGTTGAGGAGGCCTTGAACCTCCTTCGCGGTGCCGTGACCATTGTTTATCCCATGCAATTGCCTCCTCACGACACGATTCGCATGGAGTTCACCAACATGGAGGATCTGACTGGCACTCAGGCCTCCAAGGAGGTCATTGAACCCTCGAAGGCTCAGTTCTGGTTTGCCGGACGCCAGATGCTGATGGGAAAGCTCATGAGCGAGTATTTGGGCCACAATGATAAAACTAAGGTGAATAATTCCTAAAACTGCCACCCTTCTGCCCTTTTAATCCAACCAAAATCCCTTATTAGGTTGTGGTGAAGCTAAATCAACTGGGTGAAGGACCTCCAGGACGCGAGGCAGTGATCTCGGATCCCTTGCGCAAGCAAATGATGGCCGAAGCCTTCCGCCGCCAGGAGGAACTCAAGGTAAGACCCCTTGTTCTTTGTAGAGAGAATTCCAAATGGTGTTTTATTGTTGCTATAATACGAGTTTAAGTATATCAGATATAAGTAGGTACTGTTGTTCCTTCGTTCAACTACATATTTTAAGAAAAGTTTGAATATTTGCATAGCTACAAAGTCGAAAGTTAAGGCGATTCGGATGCCTGTATCCTATTTCTAAAGGAGACTGCATTCTTGGTCTGTCTTGGTGTTCTTTTCATTTTTTCTTCTTCAGCAGATGTTGTTCGGTTAATGCTATATAATCTAGATAAATGCCACTTTGTCTAAGGCGCATCTGCTTAAACGTTTAGAGTGAGAATCGGGTATATAAAGCTCGGTCATGTCCTTCATCTGGGGGCTATTATCCAGTAACTATGTGTGATTATCGTTATTCAACCAAGAAAAGTTAAGATCCGTTTCGTTTATCTGATAGTTTGTGTAAACGTTGTATAAATGCGCTAAGTAGAATTTAAATTCAGTTCCTCTTGTACAATGCACAGGTCCTTAAAGTTTGGTGCTGTTTTCGCTATGGTCTTCCAAAGGTAATCCTCTTCGGGATCCTTTTCTTTTCCATTAAATATGCTTAAAGTATGACCAGTGGTTTCTCGGGCACATCGCAGGTTGTGGCCTTCTCCTGCTCCTGGTCGAAATTCTGCTCACTGGTTCCTGAATCTCCAGCAGGACTCAGTGGTATTAGGGATTTCGTGCTTCCTATCATTTCTTGTCCTTGGTCCGACAACTCCTGACCTCCAATGGCCTGGTGCTCCAGATCGACCACGTCGTCGTCCGTATCGTACATCTGATCCTGCGGTTTGTTGGCCAATCCTGCACCAAATACTTGGTCGTTGTCGGAATCATCGCCGGCACAAACACATCGCATTTTGGCATCATCACCCACCTGAAAGCGTTTAAAATAATATTTTAATATTCAATAAACTCAAATCAATTTATAAGGATATCAAATTTAAGATATCTACTCGAATATCTTACTTTAGTGCTAAGGAAATTCCTTTTGAACTTGATTGAAATACACTTCTACAGCAGCAGGGATTTCAAATCCCAGTAGTTTTTCTAGTTTACTCACCTTCACAGACTTGGTGATGATGCATAACGATATAGATGACACCACAAACAGCACAATGGGTACAATTAGCGCCAGGAGTAGCTCCCTGTAAACCTTATCCAAATCGTAGCGTGCCACCACAAACTCCACGTTTGAATCCTGCAAAGTGAAATACGAAACCTGAGGTGAACTGATACCAGAGTGGAATTTTAATGTAGGAAGCGCCCAACCACAAACCTTGTTGTAGTAACATTGGTAGCGTGACTGGGCGGTGTTGTTGTCGCCATCGTTGCCATAGCGAGCCACGAAGTCCTTGCACTCCCCTCGCAGCGTATTCACACAGCCCTCCAGGTTGATGAACAGCTTTTTCCAGCTGTAGATGGTCAGGTTGGCCTGGTTGGGCAGGTACTTCTGCTCGGGATCCACCGATCTGGTGCTGTTCTCGTAGATCGCCCAGAACTGCGTGAAGTTCATGTAGGGAGCGGGCAGAGTATCGTGTTCCAAGAGAGTTCCATTCAGGCAATCTGTGGCACTGTCCTGGGCTTATTAATATGCAGTTATCATTTGGGGGATCTTTACTCACGTGATGCGATTGTCGGATTCCCGGGTTACTGTAGCGCAGTTGGTCAGCAGGTTGCCATCGTCCTCCTTCCAGAACTCAAAGGGCTCAATGCGAACTCCGTGCTCGGATCCACGGGCTTGGTTAAAAGCCACTGCATTCTCACAATCAGCTGCGATGACATTGTCTTCCTAAATATATAATAAAATATAAATTGTATATTTTACATTTCTCACTTTCTATAAACTTAAACTTACATGCATGATCAGGGTGTTAACATTTGTCGTCGTAATCTTAGAGCAGTATCGATCGCAACTAAAGGGCTTCTTTATTTTCGTACAATGAACCCCATGGCACTCAAAAAATCCATTCAGCTTGGTATTATCCTTCTGCGAGTTGATCGTAGTTCCATCGGCCTTGTGGTGACACAGGAAGAACTCCGACATATTCTTGCAGTGCCCTGTGTTTGCAATCAGTTAATTAAATGTTCATCATATCGAAAAGATAAAACTCACCATTGGAGCAGTTGAATACTCCTCTGATGTTATTGCAGGCCGTTCCATTGTTGCAATTGAACTTGTTCAGGCGACTCAGGTCAATCTGCAAGGAGAGAACGAAGGATAATGGCCATTCAATGATCGTTAAACCCCCGTGGGGCCAAGTGTCCATAAAAACTGAGGGGCATGCCTCATCGTCTTTCCATTAGTAGCCACAGCCTTAAGTGGGGAAGGATGCGTCATGAATTGAATTTTCCCTTTAGTGGGGAGGCCAAGACGATGACGTCTTTGGATGTGGGTGGCCATTGTTTTAGTTTAAGGTGGTGCTACAGTGGGTCAAAGAAGTATTTGTGACGATAGTTTATACAACTGTCTTGTCTTCATTCAAAAAGTCTTTAATTCTAACATCATTTTTGAGTGGAATAGCAAACAATACTATTTCTCTTTTGCAAATATCAACGTTTATTTAATGAATAGTTGCTTTTGCTTGTTAAAAATTTTTAAATGGAAAGATCAAACAATAATATTTGCCTCATACAAATATGAATTTTTATGAATGACTGAATGGCAATTAAATGTGACCTTGACTGTTTAATTGAACTTTAAACTTTGTAGTAACCTGAGTAACTTGACCTAAGTCTCTATTAATAGCGGCATTTCCTCAAGCCATATTTCTGATACCCCACCCAGTTTTGCTGGCTTAGAGGTTCATTACAAGCGATAAAAACTCACCATGGAGCAGGAGGTGTTGGACACCCGCGTGCAGTTGTTCAGCTGGATGTCGGTGCCGTTTCGACGGACTATGGAGTGGATTTGGGGGCAGAAGCCGCTGGTCTTGGTCAGGCACCATTCGCCGCAGGATGCCCAAGGACAGTTGTTGGGCATCTGACGGTCCACCGTTTGGCACATGACGGGATCGTGTTCGAAGCCCGACTTGAAAGCCCTAAAAAGGGATTTATTTATGAGTGAGGTATATGTTTTTAGGGGGGGTTTAATTAGGAGCAAATGGGATACCCACTTTAGGGAGGGCGAGTAGATGGCCACGCTCAGGTAGACGATGGACACGCAGGACAGCACCATGGTCAGTTGGCAGAGGCAGATGGCGCGACAGATGCGCGTATCCTGCTCGGGAATCACCCGCGGCTTGTCCTTTCGCCGCGCCATTTTTTATCGAGGAACGGGGTCTCCGCCTGGTCGAGATTCCTTTGGGTTGGGTTGGGCCTAGTTCACGGCTAATTTACGACTTGTTGATTTGGTGGCCCACTTTGAGGCCGTGCTCCTCCTGCTATCTAACTTTCTGAATATATTCACCCTACGCCGTTTTCAAGGTGATTGCTTTTTTGTTTGCTGGGTGGTTTTCGCTTTGGGTGGTTTTGGTGGGCGGTGGTTTGTTTGTTTGTGGTGGGTGGGTAGTGGGTGGCTCGTCGTTCTATTTTAGTTAGCTTTGTTTATTTATACTCGGACTTTAAAATTAGTTGGACTTCGAGGACGGGATATTTGGGGGTGGAGGGTTGAGGAACTGGGACGTTATGTTTGATGAATGAGTTGCGATACCTTCGAAGGGGGCTACTTTTCCCGATTTTCGCACGTCCGCTCCCGACAGCAACTGAGTCCTGACTGAGTCCCGGAGCGGAAGGAGTGCGGAAAGCCAGGGCTGCCAAAGGACACTGCGCACTTTTACTTTTTCGACCCGAAATAAACCCAAGCGAAAGCGAAAGCGAAAGTGAAGACCCAGGCCAAAACAAACCCTTGAGTGAAATGGAAACCGGGACAGGGATGGAGCCAGCTCAACAAATGGTTCCGAGTCCTGGTCAACACGCCTGCGCCTGGAGAGGATTCCCTCCCGGCCTCTCTCCCCCGAAATTTCGGAAATAAAAACAGCTCTGGTTTTAGCATTTCTCCAAATTTGTTTTGGTTTCTTTCATGTTTTTTTTTTTGAATTGTTTATTAAATAGGCCGTTAGCTGGTTTAATTTGTTTATTGATAAAGACACGTTAAGTAAAAAATTTTAATCGTTTTGCATTCAAATTGGTTTGTTGTTTTCCGGTTTGGTTTGTATGATTTAAAAAATTCTCATAAGCAACGTGCGTTATATCGGTTCTGCTAAGCTATATGTATACGTATATATCTATATATATATATTGTTATAATCCGCTTAGATGTTGGTTTTTACATAAGATCGTTAAAACTATTTCAAAAATGTTGAGAGTGTCCCAGTGTGAGTGTGAGTGAGTAATTTGGTTCCGCTGCTTATCCCCATGGATTGTATCTGGTATCTTGTGGTAAATCTATATTTCTGGGTTTTTTTGGAGTCCGTCCCGCCCCGTTTTCTATGAATCTCTGCCGATTATTTTTTCGTTACTTCTTTGCGGCTCGGAGCGGCATCGGTTCTATACAATTGCTTTGTTTGATTGGTTTTTTGGTTTTCGCTTTCCGTTTTAGTTAGTTTTTAAGAATTTACTTAATATTTTTATGACTACTATCACAATTTGTTGAAAACAAGCGATTCTTTAATTGGTATTTGTATTATCTTTGTGGAAATCGAAGTCGAGAGTGGAGCATCGCTGCCGCCTCCAAAAAAGCCAGTTAAGCCAACCAAAGGTTCAAATAACTAGCATAACAATACGATGGCAAAGTTTTTGTTAACAAATTTTCATTAGCGCAAAATTTTGAATAAAATGGCTGAGAAAAAGGTTATTCCTTCGGCGATGCTCCGCTTAATTTTTTATATATCTATATATATCGTCCGATGTGATGGCAAATGGAATTTCTATATTGTATGTTTGTATATATATCTAGGTAAGCTATGTGTGGTACAGACTACAAAGTTGAATTTGCTATTTGGTTAGGGCGTTAACTAATATTATTTTTGCTAGTATTCCATATCATCATCTTCGTCACTGTGACACAGAAGTTTGCTAGAATTGGAACGCGATTGGAACAGAGTTCTTAATCAATGCTATTTAGATATAAGCGGTATAATATATAGCTACTAAGTATATAGGGATAAACGGTTCATGCCATTCTAGAATCAAAATTAATAAACATTTATATTAGACCAAAAATAAAAGCATGCAAAAATCATTTTCTAAAGCATATCTAGGGTAAAGAGGTTAAGTTTTAAAAATATTCGATATGTAATTAAAGGTTAAATATTTAGGGGAAAAGGGAATCTATTGGATCCCGAGTGTTAACTAATTTAGACCTGAAAGAAACCTTTTGTAATCTATCTGTATAGTTTGGGTTAAGATCTTTTCTATTTTGAGTATTTTTCTTGTGAGTTCGATTGTTTTTTTTTTTGAGTGTCGGTGTGTATATAGCATACGAAATTGTTTAAAAATTGTTTTTCTTGTTGTGCGTTAGAGGAAATCCTTGAGGTGAGGGACTCTCTATTACTACGATTCGAGAATTTTAAGGAAGGCAGTAATTGCTAAGGACACTTCAGAGTAACAATTTGGGTTTCATTTTGATGTGGGTGTTTTTTTTTGAGTGGACAAGCAAACTGGGTGCCACACAATATGTGCAAGTTGTCTGGATCGAGAGATCCACGGATATTTATCAAATACCACCGCACTTAACCTATCACAATACATTTCTGGGGATCAAAGTTCAGGCACTCTCGCATTGATTAGATCATATTCAAAATACATTCAAGGACAACGACTTTTCCGTGTTACATTTCATGCAGTTAACGATCCTGAAAGTAGTATAAAGTAGTAAGGAGAAAGATAACAAGGGAGCCAATAAAATATAAAGGCTTATAAGGTATACAAAAAAAGAAAGAGAACTAAGGGTTACATTCATGTTTCGACTTATGGATTAGGCCAATATCTTAACGATTAACAAAAACGATAAGTTACATTCATAGGAGAATACAGCATGACAATACGACTTTTGACTTTTACTTTTCGACAATATCTTCATACAAGGCACAATGAGATTTATGTCCATGGTTTGTTGGGTGAGTGTCTACTACAATATACAGATACGGATACTGGGGTAGCAAATTTGCCGAACTTTCGCAATGAATGAGAACAAGATGCAGAGGACATCGCTGGTACATGAATGGCACTCACTCTTCCTTGGTCGGGAACTTCTCGGCGTAGACCCGCGAGGATTTGTTGCACGCCTTCTCGCAGCACGGACAGTACCAATAGCTGAGCACCCCGATCGAGATGGCGAAGAGCACGTTCGGTATGATCAGCGAGAGGATCAGGTGGTACAGGTTGTTCTCCCACGAGTACCGACCGATCACCACCTCCGGATAGGCCCTACTGTAGTAGCAGGGAAAGGGCTCTCCAATATGCGAGAACCTATTAAATAATTTAAACGATCTATAATAATTCGAAGTAGGGAATTATCTTTGAGTGCTCCTTACCCATATTGCCTGGCAAAGACACTGCAATTGGTCGTGGGTGGATAGCCACAGCCCTCCGAGTTAATTAGAAACTTGGTATAGCTCACATCCCAGTTGACCGTGTCCAGGTCCCGAGGATTGCGCTCCCATTCGCTAAACGGTATGCGCGTATAGTTGACAAACAACTGATGGCACCTGCTTATAAAAATAGTTGAGTAAACGGATCCCTTCACAATATTATTAAGAACCCACTTGGTGAGTGATGAGGTGCAGCCCTCGCGGCAGGAGCTCCAGCTGCAGTTCTTGATGCCCTCCGCATAGATGTGATCTATAACAATGCAGGTCACCGGCACCGGATCATAGTCGGCTATGATCGTTGAGATGGCGGGGTCCACGACGAAGGGTATCAGGAAGAGGAATGTGAACACCGACAAAATGGCAGTCGTACCTGTGGAGAAAAACGTGTTGTACTAAGTAGAGGGTATCGCTTTCATCCTTAAATGTTATGCTTGTAGTGATGACAAATGTCATGGATGACGTTCAGAGCAGCATTTATTTTATGAGGTTGTGTTTGTTGGTTAAAAAAGGTTAACCATTTGCAACTATCTTAAAGATTTCACCAAACTCACCAAGGCACACGGAGGTATAGAACTTTGCCTTCTCGAGCAGCGTGTCCATCTCGATCTCCTCGCGCTTGGCCTTGATGGCGTCCACGCATCCGCTCCCCGGTCTGACCGGCGATTGGCAGGCGGAGCGCATCGACCCGGATGCGGATCCACATCCTGACCCCGATACCGATCCAGAGCGGCTGCTGTTCAGGCTGATCTTGCTGGCGGAGAGCGTTTGCGCCGAGAGCGTCGGACTCGCCGGCATCGAAGTGGTCGTCGTCAGCGTGGAGCTCTTCTTCATGGCGGAGATTTTGGTATTTTAGTTTTGTTTGTGGGTTTGTGTAAGGGTGCTTAGATTGTAGTTGGATCGGTAAAAGCCTTTAAAATGAACACCGCTAACATTCGCGCTTTCTACAACAATTAAGATCTACTCTGCCTCGTCCTCGCTTGTTTTTTGGAGATTTCTTAGCCTAATCTTCTAACGATCTCCTGCCCATCTGCCTTATTTTTATAGCCGAAATGGAAAATGGTTCTCTTATTTTGTATTGTATATTGATTACTTCTTCTTTATCTAAATTAATGCTTATTATGTTTTTTTGTTAGCCTTTTGGGGTTAACTTTTTGCTTTGACTTCTTCGACTTGTTGTCGTTACGAGATTTTCTTTTAGATTTTTGATCACGCATCCCTCACTCTAAGCCATTTTTGAATTTCTCTGCCCTCTCTCCCGGTGATTGAACCTGGTTCAATATATCCTCTATATCTTCAGCCGATTCTGGTGTCGTGTGTGTGGGTGTATCTTTGTGTGTGTGCTGTGCATTTGGGGTGTGTCTGTGCATTTACTCCCTAAATAAAACTAAGTTCCATAATAGCAAATATTTTAAATGTATAAACCTCTCGCTCTGCCCTTAAGTCTCTCGCTATCCTACAATTCCTGCAGCCTCTGGCCCAAGTCCCAAAAAAATTGCTCAACTAAACAGTCGAAAATTATACTAATATTGTCTTCAGATCTGTCAGATCGTCGTATCTTGAGAAAGTCAAGCGCCTCGCATGGGATGTACGTTTTCGGTTTCTGTTTGAGTTTGTTCAACTGTTCAACTCAGGAGTGTCCTTGCAAGCCTCTGAGGTGTGGTCCTGTGTCTCTGTGTGTTTTAGTGTAGCAGTGTCAAAAGTTCGATGGAAGGATTACAAAGAATTTCAAGTTGCTCGATTGTGTTCTGACTTCAGCTGGTGCCCAAACTCCAATTATTGCAAAGCGAAGACTCCCGTCTGGTGTGTTGGGCTGTCTTCCTGGAGCAGAGGAATGCCTGTAAAATATTCGACTGTAAGTTAGGGTGTTTTATTTTATAGAATTCAGGGTAAAATAAAAATCATCACTTTATATTGGGAACTAAGTTGTATAAACAAAGTATAATGGATTGTTTGACTAAACTATTCGGTCTTCTAAATATAGTTGTATTGTATTTTCTGGCTTAGGAGTCTTCTCAAGGAAAGAATAAATATTGGGAATGTAAATTCTGCTCTAACAACCTATTATTAGGAATTTTCTATAAACTGATCTATTTGTTATGGAACTCTATAGTAAAGGTTTCAGAAGAAGATCATTCAGAGACCTAGAACACCTGGTAGACCTTTCACATGTGGGCTACCGCAAAGACTGCAAGTCATTAGAGAAATACATTAAAATTCAAGATCCCAAAAAACAGAGCGAGGTATTATATAGAGCTTACGTGACGGATCTCATAGGGCCATAACCTCATCGCCGCCGCCCCCGCCCATGTCGCCGTTGGTGGGAGCACCCACGTTGTTCTTGTTGAGGACCGTCTCCGTGTCCACACAGCCCTTGAACCGCATCTTGGCATCATCGCCCACGTAGACGGTGGTCTGACACATGATCAGGATCGAGCAGGAGACCACAAAGAGAACCGATGGCACGACCGAGGCGAACACAAACTGACGGTAGGTGACCTCCAGGTCGAAGCGGGCCACCACCACGTCTTTCTTGCCCGGCGAGTAGAAGCACGGGAATCGTGCCCTGGCGTTGTGGTCACTGCCATCCCGACCGAAGTCCTTCAGGAACTCTTTGCACTCGTCCATCAGGGTGTTGACGCACCCCTCCAGATTGATCATCAGCTTGGACTCGTTGGAGATGGTCAGATCCACATCGGGAGGTGCTATCTCCGGCACCGGAGTGGCCACCGAGACATGCAGGTGGCTCAGATATGTGAAGTTGGTCAGATCGCTGAGCATATTGTGCTCCAAGGTCGAACCATTGATGCAGTCCACCGCATCCACCTGATCCGAGGTGTTCTTGATGAAGTAGCACGAGGTCATGGCTACATTATCATTAGACTCGTTCCAGACTTCCTCTAAGGTTTCGGCATTTATGGCATTCTGACATTGGGATAAATACACCTTATCCCCGCTGAGAACCACCACGTTCTTGTTCCGGGTCGGGATGTCCACACACCTCCTATCGCAGTTGTAGGGAGTCCTTATTTTGCGGCAAGTTCCGCGACTGCAGGAGTACAAGCCACTGATGTCCATGCAGTTGATTTTGCCCCGCCTGCCGGAGCATTTGACTGGTGCATCGCTGTTGTGGAAGACGCACTCAAAGGCATCCGTGATGTTCAAGCACTGACCAGCAGTGCAGTTGAAAGTACCCGTGAGGTTCTTGCACTCGTCATTTATGCAACGAGCTTTATCCGCTCGATCCTGATCGATGCCATAACAGGTTTTATTGGCGGAATTAGTGCAATTCTGAAATATGAGATTGCTTCCGTTGCTGCGGAGGTTCACGTAGATCTGGATGCAGGCGCCGGAGGTTTTGCTCAGGCACCACTCTCCACAGCTGCCCCACTCGCAGTTATCCTTGTTCACCGCTCGCGTGGTGGTGCACATCACCGGAGTGGGATCGATGCCGCTTTTGAAGGCCCGCGTGGATGGCATGTATATGGCCACCGTGAGATAGACCAGAGCCACGGAGCTCAGGACCAGGGTCATCTGGCAAATGCATATGGTGCCGCATATTCGAGTGTCCTGCGGCGGGACGACCAGGTCCTCAACGGGCACCTTCTTCTTGCCCATCTCCGCGGATGGCCCTTGGTTACCCTGTAATTTACTTGGTTCTTAATTGAAAGGTTCTGAAAGCCCACTGGTTAATCCCTCGCGTGCAATCCAATTAGAAGCTCGTCATGTCGGTTTTTAGTCTATCGATTTAGCTGCAAAATTGCGTGGGCGGCGTTGTATGTTGTGTTATATAACCCTGCGTAGGTTGAGATTTTCCTCTGACTTTTCCTTTGGGCCGGATGAAAACTTTGCAGGCTGCGCACGTTTCCAGCTGGAGGGCACGTTTTTTCTCCTTTTTGGATAGCAAAGCTATCGATTTTTGGCCTGCTGACCCCACAGAAATTCACTTTAATCACTAAACAGTTGCATCACGTGCTGTCCGGGGAATTCGCACCAAAAACCACTCCTCCGATGTCCTTTTTACTTCTTTAAACGTGTCACTCCTGGTTATTTTTAATTTATCTATAATTAGTTGTTAATTCTTGAGCAGTGCTATTTTGTGGTAATTATTTTTTCCCTTCGAGTTACTGGCAGCTGGCTCGTGACCCAAGGCTTTCTGCTCCTCGCTGGCGACTGCATTCAGTTCGGCTCCGTGTGGGTCTCTGCGGGTTTTCCAGCTCTCCGGTTCTCCTCACTGACCGCCGACAACATGCCATATATCGTGGCGGGTCTCGTGAATTTTCTGCTCTCGCTTTTGGCACAAATCTCGGTTCTGCGCGCGCACTTTTATTGCAAAATCAATAGTTCCGCATTCACACACTGGTGGAAAAGAGCTGGCACACATCTATGGGCATCTCTGTGCCCCAAACCCCTAACCCCCAATCCCCGCCTACGCTCGCCAAACTGGCTCCAATCGCTTCCCATTCCTAGCGAGCGTTTCCATTGATTAAGTCGGCCTCCACATGGCCAAGAGTGCAAGTGCACCGACGCCATGTGGCGGTGGCTTTGTGTTTGCTCTAGTTATGGGTATCATTCCTCAGGCCTTCTTATATTAATAGCCCTGTTTAAAAATATAATTGTGACTGCTTATTTTCACTTTAAAATAGTTGACGTTGAGTGCTTAAATGAAGTGTGTCATGCTTTGAACAACGAATAACAGTTTGATTTGCATTATTTAAATTTAAAACATAAAAAAAATTTGGAGTCATCTTTTCATTGAAAGGTTTTTTTTTCTCCATACTTGCTTGATTCATATTTTCCCACTCATAATGGCTTCTAGGCTTTTGGTGTAAATCATAATGATTGATAGTAAAATGATAATAAAAAACATAAAAATTTACATAAATTTGTCTATATTTGCCGATAACTAGATCACAAAAACAATGACTGATTAGTACAATAATCTACAAAACGGAAAACCAAAGGTTCATCATAATCTGTTCAACGGATTTAGGATCCAAAGATGTTAAGATGTTAAGATGTTAATTTGCAAATAAGTGCATAAAAACAAAACATATTGCTAAAAAAAAAAGCAATTATTGGAGTTGTAAACCGCAGTAGGTACATAAGTGAGATATTTTGATAACAAATGTTGAGGTATTAAAAAGATCTTCTGGGGGTGGGAGTGTACAATTTCAATTGGTTAATGTTGTTAGTTTGGAAATAGCAGGGCGTTTCTGAAGATAGGACAGCCCAACCTTATCAGCATGTCAGCGTTAAAGTACAAAAAAGTTTAGCAGAAGCTATGGTGTCCGTGGTATTCATCTTGTGTGATGTGGCTGCGGATCCGGAGAAGCTGCTTCCGTCAGAGATTAACTAAGTATGTGTGGGATTTGTAGAAATCCCTTTATCCATCCTTGATGGGATTTCCCCAGGACGAGGCGATGATCCTCACGGCGTTTCCTCTGAGTTTTGGCCCCAGGAGCGGATTTAATTGCGCCAAATAGCAACAGAGCCAGAAAAGCCAGCAAACAACGGCGGTCAACAGGAAAATGCAGCGAACCAAATCATCCTGGGGTCCCTTGGTCACCAGGATGGGTCCAAACTTGGCCACCGCCGCCCAGAAGGCGGTAAAAAACAAGATCATCAGGAAAGCTTCCATGGCAACTCCTTTTTTGTGCTTAACTTTCCTTTTTTCGTAAAATTAAATTCTGTTTTTATTAATCATCTGTGCTGTCAAAATATACTAACGCGTTTCACAAAAATCCACAACTCTCGAACGACGAGCAACACAAGGTTGAATTTTCCAACACTGGTCAACAGTTGGTTTGGCGGCTTAATTTTTATTTTATACATTTTTATTTTTTAAGCGACTTATCCAAAAAAAATTTCGACACCTTTTTTTAGATTAAAATAAAATACGAGTAGTCATAAAGAATATTCAGATAATTTTTTTTAAGTGCATGAGTTAAAAAATTAAAATCTTCCAATTTAAAGTATCCCAATGTTTAAAGGCACTATATGTGTGGTTTACTAATGCCGTCATTTTAAAGTGGTTATTTTTGGTGCTGACCTATTAAATATTTCAATGCTAACTTAGTATAACATAAATTAAGAATTCCTTTTACTATCTGTGAATCTATGTTCTTAGAAGAAGTTTCGTGTTCCTATGAGGAACGTATTAAAAATTTATAAAACTGGGAACGAATGACGTATTTAATCGAAGTATAAGGGGAATATTTATAGAAATTTGACCCACTCTTAAGTGGTAAAATGTTGACTAAGGGAAGTTAGGGTGTCATCAAAGTGGACTAAGGGGACAATAAGACTAAGGGGTATCACAAAGTTGGCTACAAAGTGTCTTTCTACTCGTCACCACCACTTGGTCACGCTCCACTTTTGTTTTTATCACAGGCCAAATGGAATAATCAATGGCAACGGGTAGGAATTCTAGTTGCATGCCAATCAATGGGAATGCGCTTAAAAGCAGGCAACGATTTTGAGGGTCATCGAAGGATCTGTGTGCGATTACCATTTCGGATCGAAATTCTGGGGCCGCAGCAGTACTCACATGTAAATTATGGATGTTTTTCAGCTTCTCGAGAGTGTTCAGGTTTATTTACGTTCCTGCCTCTGGGACACACGCACACGCGGACGAGGGAACGAGGGGGCAGTGGGCGTGAAAGGGGCAGGTTAACCACACCAATACACTTGCAGCAATCGCAGTCACAGTTGCACAGTGTGCCATTAAAATCGTTTCATAACCCGCACATGGCTCACTCCTCGACGAATAACTGCGATATATCGAGTCTCCTTTTTGATCCTTAGCTAACCAAGTGCCACAAATGCTGCGTTTCTGCACTTTTCCACCATTTCCCCGTGGCTGGGCGAGCCGAGAAAATTCCAAACAGGCGAACTCGTTACGTTTCCCTGCTGTTTACGCCACTTCTGACACTTCTCAGCTTTCGTCCAAAGGACTCCTCTCATTCTGGCGGGGATCCCCGGGCGCCTGCGCCGACTGGCTTTACGTCATCGCTGGCCGCTGTTGCTCCCAGCGGGAGAATGGGAGCGAGAGAGCTTTTACATAGGGATGCCGAAATGAAAAAGGTTTAAAAATAAGTACATTTTTTGCTAAAAGTATATTTTATTTACTGAAAACAAATTCATAAATTATTTCTTCGTATAAATTATTTAATTGGTACTGTTTTTTTTTATTTATTAAATGATTATTGTTAGGATAAAATGGATCGATCTTCCAATAACTGTGGCCAGTATCTAATAATGGTTAAATTTAATTGTTAAAATGAAAAAAGTTTTAAAGCCAACAAAATTTTCAAAAGTTGTTTGCATAGACCTATAAAAAATAGTCCATATAACGCAGCCAAATTATTGTGCAAATGCGTGCCTTGTCGTTTAGTTTTTCTATCGTAGATACAAGTTATACGTGCTTTGCATGACAAATGGTTTATCAAAGAAATTCCTGCACAACCAAGAAGCGCACAGTACATCAAAAATATAGGCACTGTTTTTGCTTGAAATAGCTAAGCTAAGTCCAAAAGTGGCTTTATAAGCTAAAACTACTGCTTTAAGGGGGGAAATACAATTAGAAATTTTTTTTTTTTCGAAAAATTTTTTTTGGCTTAATGTACTCCAAATATATCTGGGAGTACGCCTTTAAAAGCATAAAGCCGTCCGGTACTTATTTTCAGAGTTATACGCAATTTAGTGAGGGTGTGTCATATGGCGGACATGCACAAAAGTAAACTTTAAACGCTTCTCCTGAAAAGTCGTGTTTTCAAAGTCGCCGTGCAATGTACAGGTCAGAGATTTTATTTTAATCGAATGCGGTTTTTTGCATTATGTTTGAAATTAAATTCTCCACACCATGAATATAACGGTTTTTCATATTTGTTTGTTATAACATGTTTTTTTTACAATCAAACTAAAAAAAAATCGTTATTTTTGAAATTTTTTTTTAACCTAAAATTTTATAATGGAAAAATAATTTTTTTTAAATATGGTTTAATTCATGGTGTGCGCTGTACCTTTAAGTTTAAAGCCCAGTTGCTGTTTTTTGTTTAAGTCGTGATCCTGGACCTGGAGACTGCACGGCGCAAAGTCCTTCCCTAAAAACACGACTCCACATTATTGATCATAAATGGGCTTAATTACAATATTTTTCAAAAAAACTTGACTGATTTTTATTGCTCAATAATTACCCAATAACATGCAAAAAGAATCACTTAGATTCATTTAATACTCTACTTGCAATCCACTCCCAAAGATAGCCCTCATTTCAGGCCTTCTAATTGTATTTCCCCCCTTAAATACCCTCAATAGCACATTCTTTGTCAAAGTAGCTAGATCTGGCAAGTAATTGGCCAAAAGGGGAACCCTGGGAACCCAAGCTTGTTGGCGGTGCAGGCGAAAGCTCCGCTCCGAAGCTCCATTTCGGACTAGGGCCCTTAATTCCGCTGCAGCGTTGCCAGTGGCAGGCAGTCCTTTCGCTGAAGAGTTCAGCCGTCGTGTTGTCGCCTTGCTCCTTTTGGTTGTCGCCGTCGTTGCCGTTGTCGCTCTGCTCTATTGTTGCCACCAAGACAAGAAACGCAAGAAGTTCAAAAATGCCACGAAAAAAATTATGTGGAGCGTGAATGTGGCACTCATTTAGCGTTAGCAACTTTTGACCCCGTGCGCAATCAGGTCACCATTGTTCCACTGTAAACAGTGGTAACCCGAAATAAAAAATAAAGCAAATGTGCTGGTGATTTGTGATTGAAAATGCGTAATCCTCGTTCCGTTGTCATCGTGTTTCACCGCGTAACCTGAACCTTGAGTAAACACACACACAGTCGCAAGTCGACCACACACACACACACACACACTCACAGACGTAAAAGGGGAGCACGCAACTCTACGTCACAAGAGCCTCAAAAAGGATGGGGTACAAAGTGGGTCCCACACCACAGCACCTGAGAAATATATTGTAGCTCAACTACATTTAATTGATCTCCAAAAAAAGGGGGCGAGAAATCTTTCCACTAAAAAATCGTTTCGTGCTTGGCACAAGAAGTGGCTCTTTTCTAGCCCACTCACTCACTCCTTCTTCGGGTGGTCCTTTGCCGCATAATTTCGATTGGAGCTGGCATTCTCTCTCTCTGTTCCCTTCCCTTCCCAACACCCCTTGCTCCTACGGCTCTGTGTACGTGTGAGTTTCCCGTCTCGAAGTGTGAGAGTTTGGAGGGAGTGGGGTTCTTGCTTGCATGTGCACGGCCTGTTTCCAGTATTTGTGTGCTGGTGCTTGTGTGAGTGAAAGCGTGCCAAATGAATTGAAAATTACATGTGGCTCCGCTCAGTCTCCCCCTCCCCCTTACCCCGCTCAACCCACAAATGCATCGAAGGAGTTTTATTATTTAAACGCGACTGGTTGGGCTCATTGGTGCCGTGCCGCGTGTTTCCGTTTCGTAACACTCGAGGTTACATAAAAATAACCATCGTCACCTTTCTGGGCTTCAAAAAAAAAAAAACATATAGCACGCATTAACGGGCAAAGCGCGGCCTAACGGTATTTTAAAACTCGCACACACGCACGCACTCACCGCACACACTCTCTTACAGCTCTTGTGAACTGCACGTGGCAAGGATATAACAAGGATAACAAAAAGAGAGCGAGAGAGCGCGAGAAATAGCCAAAGCAAAGCAAAGTGAAAAAATAAAAACAAAACTGTCCGTCCAGCATTCTTTTTTTTACTACAAGACATTTAAAGAATGTAAATGTAAAGTGAGTCGAAAACAGCGGAGAGAGAGACCTCAAAAACTGGCCATTGGCAGGCCAAACAAACACACAGGATACGACACACACAAGCACACACTGACACACGCTCACTTACACACGCACGTATATCCTGCTTTGCCGCAGTCATAAAATAATCAAGAAGCAGCTAAATCAGGCGAAAGCTAAAGGACTGCAACGTGCTGATGTTGACGAAACATCTCCATTGGGACGAATAAAGCAATTAGCAAAGGTTTTGATGCCGAACCTCCCCCCTCACACTGCCAGGATAAAAAGGATTTAAGGATGCAGGATAATGCGTGGGACTCCGTGGAGTATTTAGGTATTTAGGCCTAATCGAGAGTGAGAGACGCTGATGGTGACGATGCCAAGCACAAAAATGCAGGAGCCTCCCTGCAAAAGTCGGCAATGTGCGAGATAACGGGACACCGGACAGCCAGGCAACCAAAGAAAAAGAAGCAAAAGCAAAAGCAGAAGCGAAAGCAAAAGCAAAAGCAAACGAAACGAGAAATCGAACTCTCCCTGTGATATAACTTGCACCGTAATCGTAATCTAGCTCTTAGTTATCGTTATCGGATTAATAATCGCCGCAATTGTAAGCTAAGTTTAAACAGCACTACTAATCGCCGCTCTGCTCCGCCGCCGCCACCGCCAGACCTGCGCCTAAAAATAAAGGAAATCAAAAATCAAGAAGATATATATTATATATACAGTAGACTAAACCCGACCAAAATCGAGCTAAATAATGGGAGACGAACAGGACAAGCGCACCGGCAAGGAGAAGCTGCTGTTCTACACCACCGCCTTCTTCATCCTGCTGGGGACCTTCAGCCTGTTCGCCTTCCTGTTCCTGGTGCCCTTCGTTATTGAGCCCGCCTTCACCACGATCTTCATGCAGTTCGAGGAGGTGCCGGCGCTCTGCGAAACGTACGACACGGAGATCTACTACGGGGCCAAGAACTGCTCGTGGTCGTCCTGCCGCGAGGGCTGCACCAAGGACATCTACACCTGCACCCAGATCCGGGTGAACTACCGCCTCAATCTGTACAATTACACAGATGAGTTCAACTTCACGGAGTACCACATCAACCTGAAGGAGTCGGAGCGCATCCTGCCGCCAGTCAAGCGAACGGATCGATACGAGCGGGCGCTGAGAAGCGACTACGAGTACGATAACCTGGGCGGCGGCACGGGGGGATTCGATATCGATCTGAGTGGCGGGCGACTGGAGCAGCTGAACTTCGGGGATGCCGACGGCTCCAATGGCTACCTCATCGAGGACTCGGAGGACACGCGGGGATTAAGTGCCTCGGGCACCCTCATTCCGGATGAGCGGAGACCCTTCGACGAGATCTCCGAGCTGAATGAGGGCCTGATGGGCAATCGCTCCATGTACTACTATGTGGGAGCCCGGCTCTTTCCGAACGTCAAGGGATGTGGCTATCCACCCATGCTCAACTGCACCATCTGGCTGAAGCGGTACACCAAGATCGGCATGAAGTTCCCCTGCTACTACTCGCGAGTGGATCCCAGCCTGGTAATCAGCGACCTGGACTACTGGCAGAACACGCTAAACCTGGTCTACTCGATGGCCATTCCCATACCCTCGTTCATCATCTCGGTGATCTACTTGACGTACGCCTACTTCAAGATCTACAACGAGGACGAGGAGACGGCGCCGCTGGACAAGAACGCCGAGGACATGGACATCGACGACATCGATGCGGTGGACGACAGTGATGGCGCCGTGCTGGCGGACAACGTGGCCGGCAGCCAGATCATCAACATGGACTCCACCACGAACGACAGTTGTCTGGAGGGTGTTCTGCCGAACGGAGGTCCCGGCATGACCGCCTCCATATCGCAGGGTGGATCGGTGACCACGCCGGGTCCCTACATTGCACAGAGTCCGGCGGGATCGCAGATGACGCCCAACTCGGAGATCAACTCGTTCGGCCACCAGCTAAAGGTCCAGATGGCCGACGAGCTGTCCAGGGACTCGCTGGAAAACGGAGTTATCTCCACGTCCAACTCAGTGCAAGGGTAAGGCTGAAGGATTTGAGATTAGGACCATTCAGTTGGTCGTTTGTTTGTATTTTCGTTTGCTCCTTCTTAACAAAGCAAACAAAAATCTTTTGTGTCAACTTGAGATACTTAAAATACTTATTTAAACAATTGTTTTATATAATTTCGTGTTTCTATTTTTAAGGATCGTAGGACTTTTTCTATTTTTAGCAGAACCTTTTTTGCAGCCCTACAAATACCTGCAGAGTACACACGGCGTATACTGGATATTAGTCTTTATTACGTATACGTTCATTGATAATATTTTGTAGCATACATTCATGGGCAAAACAAAAAAATCACAGAAATTGTACATAAATCAAACAAATAATCAAATCGGGCCACATTTTAGCAATAATATTTAAAAAAAACTTCTCGGCTCCTAAACTAAATTGTTCTCCAATATTCTTTACAGAAACTTGAGCAAGACGATGACGACGAGTATCTCAACTCCTCCTGGGCCGACGGCGGCAGTCTGAAACGTCAGGCGCATGGTCTGGAAAATGTTAGATTCCGATTCGGAAAATGAGCCGCTGCTGGACTCGTAGGCCGCCGAGCGGACAACGGACCATGGAGCAGGCGGAGATCTTCGGAGCAGAGAGCCAACCCAAAACAAAACAAAAAAAAAAAAAAGGAATCCAAAACCGAAAAGCGATAACCCCAAGTATTTCTACCCGAAACAATCGACAACAACGCAGAGAATGCGACCGAACCTGAATACCTTCAGAGCTGTTAGCGGCACCTAAAAGAACTATGATAGATTATATTTACCTTATGAACTAGCTACTCAGACACACCCACACTCACCCACATAAAGCACGCTAGATAACCGGAGTAACTCCGGACTGCCACACCCACTCAAAATTGCAACACGGGCATTAGTATCTGCACAGTATCTGATATCTGGAGGATGGACGGATAATGCCACATCTTAGGCGATTGGTACAAATACAATAAACATAGGCCGCAAAACTCGAGCATGGAGTGCTATTCATATACCTAGAGGAAAACTATAATACTTATACACGCATATACAAATATTTACTTGAATTATTTTTCTATTCGCAACAATCGTCGTCGTCTCGAGGCAGTAACACAACAACTACACACTACCCATGCCCAAAAAAGAAAAAAACAACAAAAATCCAAATAAAGCAAATAAAAGCAAAACAAACGAAGCGCGCAACTTATTTACAAATCGATAAATCGAGGCGCTGAGGTTTTTTAAATATTGTAATGCCCATTCAAGTGCTGCAAACCGTAAAACACATGCGAGAAACACTCGACACCAAAAACAGAATTAAATTTAACGACCGAACGCATCGTGTACTTAATTTAAACGTAATGATAAACGAAAGCAAGTCGAATGCCTATATTTGAAGTAAATTAAATTAAATTAAAATTAAATTACCGTAAATTAACTAACAATTGTTATCCTTCAAATTAATGCGGATAAAAACTCACAGCTTTAACTAACTGAAACGGAGGCATAAGATTTTTCTTCTACATATTTATTTTATTAAGATTATTAACGGATAATGAATATTTATAGGTCCTACAAATGGTTCAAGCTATTCAATTAAAACTTACAAATAAAATATTGCATTAAATCTTAATAATTTAGGTCTGAAATTAAATATAAAATAACGTTTCCTTTTTATATTACAAACAAAACCGAAAACCAAGACATTTCTAAAATCGAAGGCGAATAATCTCAAAATTCGATGCCTAGGCATATAGAAGCATCCGCATCAGCATCCGCATCCGCATCAATAAACTGCACTTTTGCGCATAATGTATCAATGATAGGCGGCAAAGAACTACACAGAAAATCGTTTGTTTTTAACGACAGTTGGAGATAGTTAACGAGAATCAAGCAATGACAAGCGAAACAGAAGCGCAACTATTAGCTAATATCATGTAAAACAGACAAACAAATAACAAAATGCTACTAGAATTGAAACCAAATACATGAAAATCTCGAAATAAATACGCATTTAGCAGCCTAAAAAACTTGGCAGTTTTACTTTGGATTATAAGAAGGGGTTTTGAGACACAAAAGATCACTGCATTATTTTTACATGTGTAAAACTAAAAATAAACTAACTTATAAAAATAATTGATGAGATTAAAAGTGTCTGAATGATTTTTTAAAATATTGATTAACCAATCAAAAATTTTTTTTATACATAACGTTATAATGTTATTGCCAATAAGAAATATTTGAAGTTTGGCGCCTTCCAACTCAGTTTACCCGCGCACTTTGCAGCACTGCCAAGGAGTAGTGAATAGCATGGAAGAAGAAGCAATCAGCTGTTGCAGTTTTCACCTGTGCCCAGCAATGTGAAAATTTACCCGAAAAGTTCTTGTAAATGTGCTTAAAACATAATCACGGCTTATTAATTCAATTTACGCAACAACCTTAACTATATTGACACGCGATTCCACAAAGAAACGCGGAAAAAAACGCCGAAATAGAGTAAAAACTGGGCTGTGTATCTCCGACTCTCATCGTCGGCAAAAAATTTTTTTTGTAAACAAATAATTTGCCGAGGGGAAAAACTCAATTAGTAGTTAACAAATGCCGTTCAGCTGAGCTAATTGCAGGGAAAACACGACGATGGACAATAAGAAGGATATATATAACCTGTGGGTGCAGTACACGACAAAGGTGAGGTTTTATTTTGAAGTAAACTGAGTGATAAGAAGTGGAATTGTTTGTGTGGAGGGAGTGGGGGCGTTGCTCCGAATGCGGGGGCGGCCGCAAAATGTTTAAAGCATTAGTCACCGCAAAACAAAAAGCAATTGTTTATCAGCTCTTGAAGTTGTGTAAACAGTGTAATGATTATATAATCCCAGACAGGCTCGAGCTAAATCCTGCCTTCTCTTTCGCTCTCTCTCTTCCTTACAGAACGATGAAACCCATTTCCGGCAATTTGTGGCCCGTTTTGTGGCCATTTGGAGGAGCCAGTTGCAGCTGGACTTCAAGGCAGAGGACTGCCCAATGTGGAATGAAGTTCAACCGGATAGTGGCCCCCATTTGGGTCGCCTGCCGGATGAACTACTGCCCGCCATCGGCAAGTTCATTATTGTGGCCAGAGATTCTTGTGAAACGGAAGGAAAGTTGGAGGATGAGGCCATCGAAGAGGTAGCCATACTCGTCGACTGTCTGGTGATTGTGTGCCGACACTTTGATAACATCCTGGCCATCATTAAGTACGAGTACAAGCCAAATCTGATCGCCATACTCTCAAGGGTGTTTAAGCAAGTAAGTAGACCTCTTGAGCCCATTATTATGTTCGATAAAAAATTGTCTTTTTTTATTATTACAGCAAATGGAGCTTCCTCAAGCTGTGCCGGCTATAAGCCATCTGTTTAGCAGCTTCTCTGCTTTCCTGGAGGTCATGTACGATCCGTATCTTACGTGGAGAAGCTTTGTACGAGGCCAGTCGGCAGATTATAGTCGTCTTTCCTATAAGCCCCACTCGGTTCATGTAGAAATTGTACCCTTTATATATGGTAAGATAAAATCCATTATTTAGGAACCTTCAATGTAGTGCTTAATTGTTTAATAACAAAATGATTTACCTTGCAGATTGCTTTCAGGAGGAGAAACTCATCCGATATGCGGAAATAGGCGAAAGTCTGCTGAACATCCTGGGTGCTGTGATTTGCGGCTCGCAGGTAGCGCCAGAAAGCGTCTCCAGTCCCCTCCTGTGTAGTCCTTTCTATCTCGAAAACCGTTTAATTATTAACCTCACTCCCTGACAGCTTTCCTTTCTGCTCACTGCTTTCGCTATTAATGTTCATTAGAGCTCTATCATTCTGTTTCCATGTCCACTTTTGTTTCATTTCGTGTTTCGTTGATGTGGCTGGATCCCGTCCAGCTGCAAATGAAAGTGCAGAAGTCTCTAAACTCGACATCGACCCTGACAAATAGAAATACTAACGCTCTAACCACTTCTTCACTTGCCCCCTGCTCGGGTGATGGGCTGCTAGACTGTGATAACTTGGTGAGTGGTGAAACCATCTGTTGTCCCGATCATTGTTGTTCCCTAACCTTTGTCCGTGCATGCCATTGCTTGTCTGTCCCACGATCGTGTTAAATATCAACCCGTATAATGGTGATTTTGGTCCGCGCAGCGCAATGGCATGAAGGCCATTTGCCCAGCCACGGTGTCCATCACCATGAGCATCCTGCGGCAGTGGGAGAGTGCCAACGATCTGCGTCGCGTTGCCCTGCAATGCTATGCCCTCATGGTAATTGTGCTGCAAAAATCTAGTCCTGAAGAAGTGAGTAACTAGCCATATCAGATTTACAATCTAATAATAATTTCACCTAAACAGCGCCAAATAGACCTAGTTACGTTAGTTCAACTCTATTGTGATGCTCTGCAAGAGCTGCTGGCCACCAAACACTTTGAGAGCGGGGATGCCAACTTCGATATAGCCAGCGATGCTGACCAGGATGTGGCTATCGACATGGCTGCTCTTTCCTCCACTGTGGCGGCTGTGAAATTATTTGTGGCTGGCGATGCCGGTGTTAGTGAAGCAATAACTGATTCCAATCTACTGGAACTACTCACCAATCTGCCAAAGGTTATTAAGGTAAGCCTGCGAATATTCTTAAAAGTTCCATACTTATGTACCTTTTTGTTTAGCCCTGGAACATCAGCCACTCGAGCTCCCTGTGCAGCTCCATGGAGGCTTTGGCCACTTTAACGCGCCACTCTCCGCAATTCGCTGCCCAGTTGCGTCAGGGAGAGCGTATTGAGAGGCTCTTCTGCAGTTTGCAAGAGTTCGGAAATCCAACAGAGACTTTGCTGGACACTTGCTTCTTGCTGGGATACGATGAAAGTGGACACTTGTTGCTGCTACCAGAGGTAATGCTGCAGTTGCTCAATTGGGTGCCAACGCTTCAGGAGCAGGAACAGCTTCATGTGACTAATCTAGTGCTCAAGGGCTGCACCGACAACTATGGAACGTAAGTAGCGTGATTTTTGGCTTAATAATTTGTTCCATTACATTATTGCTAATTTAACAGAAAATCTGTGGCGTGTGGTAGTCAAATTATCAAGGCTGTATGTGGATGTCTTCTGAAAGCGGAATCTCTGGCCGAGAACTGTGTCCAGAATCTCATCAAGCTGATAGAGGAACTAAGCAAGCTCAGTATAGTGCCTGCGGAGCTGAAGTGCATCTTCGCGCTTTTGCGACAGGGAACTAAATTTCCACAGCACAAGCAACTGCAGCAGGTAAAACTCACTACCTATACTTATTCAAACTTGTTACTAATCTGTAACTTTCCTTTAGACTCTTGTGGTTATCGCTCTGCAGAGCTTAAGGGGCAGCAACTCTTGCGCACAGTACTTTTCCATTGAGCAGCCCACGGATGGGATACTCGTGCCAGACATTCGAAACTGGACAATTTCCGGCTCGTACGGTTTCATCTTCCACATCCTAGTGCGCTTTAATCAGCTGAAGGATCAGTCTACCAGTCGTCGCATGCTGCTCACTCTGCAAACAGTCAGTGGCAGTGGATTCGAGGTCTTTGTCCAGCCAAATGGAAATGTTGTGGTGGCTGCTTTGACGAGGCGGGAGTATCTCACATCATCCACAGCCACCAAGACGCTGATGGACGGCCAGTGGCATTACTTAACAGTGGCCATCACTCCTCCAAAGCGGCCATTTTCCTACAGTCAAATCAACATCTATGTGGATTTTGTTCAGAAACTCAGTGCCACACTAAAAGTTCAGGCAGTTAATGAACCTTTTACGGTGTGCTCGATTGGAGCTGTGGTTGCGCCACCACAACAAAGCGAGGTGGCCAGGACTGGAATTATGCCCCGGTCCTCATCCCAGGAAAGCGGATCCAGTGGCTACAGGGGAATGCTGCCCAGTCTCCTGGAACGTACTCTCTCCGCAAACGTAAGAATCATAAAAAGACTAAAATAAATAATTAATTAAATAATTTATCGTTTTAGGTATCCAACTACTTCACCCTGCCCATGCGCACTCAGACTGCGTTCGATCCTAACGTTAAGAACTTTCCCATCGGAATGCAGGATACTGTTTTTGGAGAGCAAACATGTCTGAATGGTCATCTGGGCGGAGTGCTGCTAGCGGATCCCACCACCAGTTTAAAGACCATCTTCGATGCGGGCGCAAATTTCAGTTCGATCTTCTCGCAAGACAATGACCTCCTAGAACTCAACTCTCGCTTCGTTTTCTGCTACGCCCCAGGAGCTGTGTGGCATGGAACTTGCCAGGATCTCATTCCAGGCGGGAAGTTTCCGGGAAGAATAAATGCTCAACACTGCAAGATAGTGAAGATCCAGGAGACAATCAACAGTATAGGAGGCATCAGCGCTATTCTGCCCATTCTGCATAGATTGGTGACTTCGGATCACACAGCAGACTTATCGATTGGCAGCGTCAGCGAGGAATCCTTGTCCTGCGCTCCGACGCCCTCGGCTGAGGAGTTCACCGACTGGGAGATGTTATCCTCGAATTCGTACACCGAGTGGAAGATGCTGCAGCACCCGTTGGCCAGCTTCCTCTGTTTGTTGCGCTACCTTACCCACGAACACGAGACGAACCAGGAGCAGCTGCTGAGTAGCGAATGTCTGGCCATTGTGGGCACAATGCTCCAACGCTGTCCGCCGGCTCTGTTCGATGTGAATGCCCTAATGGCCACCCATCTGCTGATGGAGTCCTTGCAAGGACACAAGGCAGAGGCAGGCGGGCAGCTGCTGGATGCATTGTACGCTCACATTGTGTTCGATTTCGCCATCTGGTCGAGGCTTCAGTTCCAAATCACCTTGGGACATGCCCAGTACCTGAGTGCCATGATCAAGAACGATAGAAAGTTCTTCCGCAAAAGGTATGGCGTCCAGTTTGTCCTGGATGTCGTGCGCCAGTACTACTCCACGCCGGACAGCATCAGCGACGATGACGCCAAGACAATTCGGGCCACGCTGTTCGGCATTATTAAATTTTACCTCCAAAAAGAAGTGAACATCAAGGAAGTGAACTCAATGATTGCTTTTCTGGCTTCTGTAAGACAGGATGTGGTACTTGTGGAGTTCCTGGAGATGATGACGTTCTATATCCGCGGCAAGAACTGCAAGGACCAGATGGTCCTTCTTCTGCACGAGCCCCAGTCGGCCAATCTCATCTACAACTTCTTCGTGGACAAAAGCTATACTAATGAGATTCAAGAGGCAGCTATAAGGGTAAAATTCAATAGTTTGATATATGTTTTAGATGCTAACTTTCCCTCGTAAATTTTAGTTTATCAGTGGATTGTTGGCCACATCGCGGGTGCATCAGAAATACAAACAAGTGCTTAGATTGTATGATCAGGCCAGTGAGCAGAGCATGTTCCCCGGGTTCTTCTCCTTCATCACACCATTGTCCCTGAGCTCTACGATCCTGTTCCATTTGGTGGATGAAATGCTGGGGCTGCAGCCAGACTACGCTGGTCTTATTTTCCTGGTCTATCATGTGAGCAGCTGTGATCTTCCCGTGAAATTGGAGATCGCCAAACGACTGCTGCAGACCACCTTCGTCAAGCAGAACTCTACAGTCGCAATGGCCAAGCAAACTGGATGGCAAGAGTCCATTGCCAGGTTGCTAATTCGCAAGCCCATCACTAGTTCGCCGCCAGACGAAGAGAAACGACGCAGTTTTGGCATCAACTTGGATGTTCTGTTGGAGGATAACTCCAGCTTCTTGGCCCAAGCAGATCTTATTACTTTTTCGGAGCAGGAGATTGGCTTGGCCCAATTGCAGCAGCAACAGCAGGAAGAGTTGAGCGACAGCGGACTGATACTTAATGAAATACAGGCCAGCGTTTCAGAGGCAGCCACTGTTATTGAAAGTGAAATTAAGGGTAAATTTATCAGTAGTATACATAACTAATAATAAACTAATTCTTGTACATTTCAGAACTGGCTGAGTCTGTTTCCGGAGCTGTCGTGGAGAATGCCAGCAGCTTGTTCTCGGTCATTCGGCAGACCACACATGATCTGCAGGATACATTCGAGTCGTTGACCTTGGGCAGCTCATCGGACACAGCCGATGGCTCACATACTCCCTCGATTCAGCGGGAGGAATCTCTAAGCTCCGACAGCTCTACGCAATCGCCGCACGGACCTCCAAAGAAAAGTGACTCCCTGGAGGTAAAGTAACCCTTTCGAAAAGAAGTACTTCATCTAATTTATTTATATTGATATTGCACTTTAGAGCACCTCTGCCTTCGACTTTGTGGCCGATGGCGATGTGGACACCGAGGAGCAGTTGGTTTATCTAGTCTCAAATACGCTCTTTAATATATTCTGGCGTGGAATACCCAACGATCATCCGCAGTGCTGGCAAGAACGTGGCCAAGTGCTGGGCTGCATTAACTTGTTGGCTCTGAACAATGAGCTGATTACCTCGCATCTCTCGCTGCGCCTTCGCATACTTGAGATGGCTGTGCAGGCTTCTCTTTTTGATCTGTCGGAGCATGGAAGTCAGACGCTGGTGAACCAGGAGAACGCCTCGCATATCCTGCGCATGGTGTACGAGCTGGTGGTTCTAGGATCCAACGAAGACGAATCAAAGAAGTGTTCCACCAAACTGCTGGACGGTGTGCTAGCTTTGCTTGATGCCCTGATGATCTTTCAACAGGGATCTTCGGACGATTGGTCCGACATGATTCGATTGTGCTTAGGGCTGCTGCTAAAGTGCTCACACCATCCGAATCCTGGAATTGTGGCCATGGCGACTGCAAAACTGCATGCTATACTCCAAAGTCGTTCTACTGAAGATCCAGCTGAGCTATCTTATCTCCTCTATAGCATAAATAGGGCTCTGGATAATGCTATCGAAGGTGGGTTTTTAAACAAGATAATGGGTACATTTTTTACAATAACACAATTTTATTTTAGTTGGCAATCCCGAGGAGTACTCATTTCTGATGCCTGTAATGAAAGCCCTGCTGGAGAAATGTCGCTTCGCCTTCAACTTGGAGTCCACTCTCCCAGATCTTCCTTCAACGTCATCGGGTCCTGTCTTCTTTAATGATTTCCAAATGTATAGCACCAGCAAGAAGTGGAGAAACTTTATTGATCGCATGGTAAGTTCCTGCTTTTAAATATCTATCTGAAACAGTTTTATTGGGAACTCGTCCGATAACTATAAAGTTTATTCAATTTATTTAACATTCAAAGTCTAGTGGGGAATTAAACTTAATAACTTACTGCTAGAGTCTAAGTATTAGTTAACCAAGTCTTTAAGCTATGCCTCCTTTTAATTCATATAAGAATTCAGTATAGTTTGTGGTTTTTTGGCAAGTTCTGACGCAGCCCGTGGAGATTCCGCTCGATCTCTCTATCGCTTTGGGGAGTTTTAAACAGGGTGGTGTCAAAGACGCCCTTGGTGGTTCTTTTGGATGTGGGTGCACCTCTTCCAGGATCTCCCGGCTGCAAGGCTAGAGGGGAAACCGGTCCGTGATTCCTCACGTAACTTGGACGAGTGGGTCGCGCGCCACGTCCTCCAATTGTGGGTGAAAAGGGCTGCCTGGTGGGTGGAGCAATGGTTCCATCGTAGTAGCTCTGCGAGTGGGATTGTTCGATCCTTACGCTGGTGGTGGTCGGATCGGGTGAACTTGGGTTCACGGGCTGCTGCGACTTTGAGCGGTATCGGGATGATCCACGACTCCTGCTCCTAGCAGTCGTGGGCGTAACTGGAGTGCTGGTGATAACGGTGGGAATGAATGGAGCGCGAGTCGGGCTGCTCCTGCCCTTCATCGGACTCCAAGGTGCCGGAGTAGTGGAAGTTGTCGGTGGAGGCGTGACAAAGTTGATGGTCTGCTTCCTCTCCACAAAGTGTGAACTGTTCGCATCCGTATCCGCACTTTCATTCGGTTTCCGCAAGTGGCTATCCGCATCGTAGGCCTGCTGGAGCTCAGGAACATCCAGGGTGTGTTTCCCTGGGACAATTCCATTGCTTGGCTTTCGCTTCCTCTTCCGCCGCTTGGAACTGCCAGACGGCTGGGCATCCGAGGGTATTTCATTCTGATCGGGAGAGGATGCCAGAATGGGTGGATACGATTCCTGCTCATCTCGATTGGAGGCTTCGAAGGGCACCGGATCGTAGATGGGCACTTCGTAGCTGGACTTCGGAAAATCGAAGCTAGGGAACTTGTGATGGGGATTCAAGGGCAACTCCTCCGAAGGTGGAGCGTAATCATCCTGCGGATAGGAGTGCGAATCGGACGACACGTAGTTTGTGGGAGGATGCTGGGGTGCTTGGTCGTAGGTCGATGAAGGAGGATGCTGGTAACTGTTTGGGTGATCCTGGGGTGGTTGGTCATAGCTGGAGGAGGGATGTTGTGGAGGTTGATCGTAAGTGGATGAAGGATGCTGAGGGGGTTGATCGTAAGTGGAAGAAGGATGTTGAGGGGGCTGATCATAAGTGGATGAAGGATGTTGAGGAGCATGATCATAACTGGATGAGGGATGCTGAGGAGGTTGATTGTAAGAAGGAGATGGATGATGCGCTGGCTGATTATAATTGGACGGAGGATGCTGTGCCGGCTGACCATAACTGGAAGAAGGATGTGGAGGGGGAGCGTAGCTATTCGGCGGAGGATGGTGGGCAGGCTTGACATAATTATTGGAGGGAGGCTCTGCGAATCCCTCATGGGGTTGCGAAGGATGAGGCGGCACATAGCTCTGCTGATGATTGGACTGGTAGGAAGTGCTTATCTCGAAAGCTGGCGGGGAATAGGCGATCTCGTAGTTGGGATTATGATGAGAAGCATGTTTGGGTGGCTTCTTGGGTGGCTCGGCAAAGTTCTGGTGGTAGCCCGCATTGGGAATCTTCTGCTCGTAAATGGAAAAGGAATCGGGAGCTGGAAGGTCCTGATGCGAAAAGTTGGGGACGTGAGCCGGAGCCGAGGGGACTCCATAGCGGGTGGATGGTATGTGAACGGGCGATGCAGGAGGTGGCTCATAGTGGGTGGCAAACGAGTGATCCGGCTGGAAACCCTGGTGAACCGGTGGCACTCCGTACTTCTCGTGGGGAACGTGCTCGTGGGTGGTCACCAGTCCGAAGTCCAGGCTGGGGAACTTGTGCGCTCCATAGTGATCCGGTTCCGAGTCGTGGTTATAGAAGTCCAGATCCATGGACTGAGCCTCGTAACTCGAAGTGGGTATCTTGAAGTCCGCACCATCGAACTTCAGGTGCTGAAAGTCGTCCAGGGAAAAGCTCGGCTCCTCGAGATGCGACGGAAACGAGGGTTTCGCGTAGCGGATGTGGGGCGGTGGTGGTCCATATTTAATCTTTGGCGGGCCTTTGGTCCGCCTGCGCAACTTGGAGCGTTTAATCACGGCAAACGGTGGCTGTCGCCGGTATCGAATCAGTTTCTCCGCCGCAGGCACCACTTCTATTTTTGGCTCAGTTTTTGGCTCCCTCTCAACACTTGTGGCATTGGAATCTCCGAGGGCGAAGGGCATCCAGATCGCCAGCTGTGGGTAGAGGGAAAATGCGAAAAGGCAAAGGGTGAGTGGGTTAATCTTCCGCAAAAAATGTCATCAGACAAACAAACTTTCTCCCACTAAACTTAAATGCTGTCATCTCGGTGTGCTCTGCTGTCTTATGTGGCCAACCTTTGACTTTCCAACCAGAGTTGGCTTCCGCCTCAATGCCCTCCAATGCTCCCCGGCTCTCTCTATCCTAAGCTCCTAAGCTCCCTGCTTCCCTAGCTCTTCACACGTAACATAGTTGCCATATCACCTCCACCAGTGGCAATCGAGTCACGAGTTTGTTTGTTTGTTCGCCAGGCAGGCTCCTCGTAATTGTTGCATCGATGCGGGGACTTTGCCGGCTGGCTGGTCTCACGCAATCCCACCTCGAGGAGGAAAAGGAGGAGGAGGAGGGACTCGGTGTGGCGGCTGTGGATGCAACTGGGCACCCGAAGGAGCCAAGCATTGAACCTGATCGCCGCCAGGTTCAGGTGTGAGCATCGAGTACGTTTTTGCAGCTGCTTGTTTTGCTTTTGGTCATGACTTGTTTGGGTTTGGCTAAACAATGTTTGAAAATTGCATATCGAAAATAACAGAGATTAACGTTAGAGAAATAACACTCTGGTCGATAACATCGATTCATTCATTCAATTAAATTCTTCTCAATGTTATTATTAAAACAAGTGCCAATAAGTAAATTTTGATACCTACTTCAACATATTTTGTACTACATTGAAAATTAAAAGCATAACAAGCTTATAAATCACAATTTTACTCGATCAAACAAATTGTTTACCTACTCTTTTATTCATTGGAATAAAATAGTTAAAGATTTACTAATGATTCGTAAGTCAACGCTTAGCTGTTCCTCTGATTTTGAAGAGCTCACTGCGACAGCACACATGAGATGGCAGCATAATTAATTCACATATTATTTAATCGCTTACAAAACAGGCAGAAAGCCAAAACAAATTGCACATTTCGAGCGGTAGACAAAACGCGAACTAAACTCTACGAAGAAGTGGCGTTTTTCCAAACAGAAATTCCGAAATCGACGCGAACATAAACACAACTTTCATTGGCGGCGTTTCAGCAACTCCGACTTCGAATCCAACAAAATCCAAGCTGGAGTTGGTGTTTTTAAATAGAGTTTTTTTTAGATTTTCCTCGCGGCTCCCGGTCGGTCACGACTCGTCGGACTTTCTTTCGGCAACTGAGCTGAGCGCCAAGAAAGTGGTCTGGTTTTGTGGCTCGAAGAGGCGCCGCTGGAACCAGTCGAATGACAAAGCGGCGGCGCGGCTGCCGAAGCACCCACCTGGCGGAGATTTTACCAGAAATATTTTCCTCGCTCTTCTATTTTGTTTTATTTTTATTTTCATTTAATTCCATTTAAGTCGAGTGTTGTGTGCCCAGTGCCTTGGAACGAAAGGCTGAATTTGCTGAAGGCGTTGAAGGCGATGGAGGCGATGGGTTATGCAAAGAACCTCCCGCCGCGATGCCTTCACTTCACCACCTGCACTCACCACCTTCACTGCAATGCGGATGCCTCCTGGTTATATGGGATATCTGGCGGAGATCGGCGTTAAATAAAGCCCAAACAAAGTGTAGCTATCGAGGAGCGCGTCTAACTGGTTTGCACAACTGCAATCGAGTGCTTCCTGTGCCCGCGGCTCCATGCGCGTTGAACTTGAACCTGACCGGACGTGACTTGGACGTGGACGAGGAGTGATCTCCGCCAGATTGACTCACCGACCAGATGGAACTCGAACACGCACGAAGACTGCCCCCGAAACGAATGAAAGCGAAAACAAATTCAACCTGCCATAATCGTCAATCTCGATGTGCATTTCGTTGCCATTCGCAAACTGAAAGAAACTGGCGGACTTACATTAATCTGATAATCCGATAAGCTTAATTGATGGGAACAAATGGGACATTTGCGATTAATCTGCGAAGAGGTGCTTTCTAGCAATCAAACCACTTGAATAAGTCTGCAAAATTACTAGGAATAAATTAATATTTATATGATTAAAACTGTTGAGTCAGCTATGTTAAATGTAGAGTTATAAACTGTTAAACTGTAAACACAGATTGATTTTATGAATTAATTTTTAATTTATAATCTATTTTTGACTTCCAACTATTTTCTTTTTGTGTACTGATCTCGATTTTCTCACACTTTCAGGTGAAGCCGATGTACGATCGCTACCAGCGCGACATCGAGCTGCATCTGTGGGAGCCCATCAACCGATTCTGGGCGGAGTGCTACGAGGCCTGCAAGGCGGCCTCCAAGCAGAGGGCCACCAACCAGGCGGAGAACAGACGGCTCTTCCAGCAGAAGATCTACATGCCGTGGAAGGTGCGCCAGGTGGAGGAGATGCAGCGACTCCAGTCGGCTGCACTGCATCACAAGACGGTCGACAGTCACATACGGAAGCGGTGGAAGACCGCCAAGCGTTTCCTGTACGGTCCCCGCGGTCCTTGGTACACAGGGTGAGTTTTTCAAGCATATTTACTTAGCTTTACACTGGAAAAAAATAATATTTGATGCAGGTTTAGATTTAAGTTTTAACTATTTGCTCTTTAAAAACTCGTTAGGGGTTTTATCATTGATCCATAGCTTATTAGCTTGGAAATTTATGTTTAAATGATACAATTATGGGCTATAAAATGACAGTAATTTAAGTAATATTACTTCTTAAAAGAAAGATATTTCTTTCCCTGTAAACGTCACCGATTCCGCACCGATTCCATTATGAAATGACGCGAAATCCAGCATTTTAATTGCCGCCTCGCTTGTGGGGCGACAATTGTAATCGAGCGTGGAGCGTGCAGCGTGCTCGGTTACCTGTGTTATTACCTGTGTGCGTGACCACTTAATCACCTGGAAGCACACACTCGGAGTCTCGTCTCAGGCACCGCTAAGCCACTCGAGATACCCAACAGACAGACGGCCAGAAGCCGTCGCGCTTTGTGTTAATTTCACTTGAAAATGCAAACAAATCCCTCTCAATCATCAAAGTCTTCGGCAGAAACGCCAACAGGGGCAGACAGACAGACCATCAGACCCACCGAATTATCATCGTGATCATCAACACTCCCGGTTGGTGGTAACCAAAATACGTTTAGTGGGCTTGCTGCTGCCCGGGTTCCACTGCCACAATGGGTGAAATCCGTCAAAACAATGCCACAAAACGGCGATAATCCGAATGGCGTTTGTAATAAAAATATTAACTGCCAATCTCCTCGTATTATCATATCTGCTTGGGGTTAATGTGGGTATTATTCAAAAGCGTCTGACCATCATTTAAATATTTATTGTAATTTGATAGCCTTATCCACATAATCTGTTTCTAAGCTTTCTTATTGATTTTTTTTTATTTTATCATATCCAAGGTTTAAAAGAAATTTCAATGAAGTATTTTACAGAATACTTCGTTTATTATTAGGTATTGAATATTTTAATCTTTGTTCTTCTACTTTATAAATTACAGAAGTGGAGAACTGATTTTAGAAATTAAAAAATTGAAAAATATATGCTCCGAAATACTTTCTTTCTCTTCCCTAAATTTTTGCCAACTCGCCAAGGGTTTGTGGCCCATTGTAACACCTGCTATTATACTTCGTTTAATAATCTTTTAATCTTGTTCTACTACTCTATATATTACCAAAGTGAAGAACTGACTTCATAAATGTTTTATATAATTTAAAAATTAATGCTCCGAAGTACTAAAATTTTACCTACATTTTTGCCAACTCCCCTCGGGTTTGTGGCCCACTGTAACACCTGCTATGTGGCGCTGCAGCTCGCCCATTGTCTTACGCTTTCGCCCATGTCTTTTGGATCGGCCCCTCCACTTTCCCGCCCATGCCGTGTCGCGATTAACATTTCAATTTAGTTTTATTAAATCATCAAAAGCGTTTAATGTCGAATGCAACAAAGGCCCGTCGCATTATGCAAGTGCAAATGTAACGAAAACTCATTATGCGATCCATAAGTTTTTTACATAAACAAATATGCACATAATTGGAAGCGCCCCATGAAGACGATGTGCAGACGGAGTGGGGATTGCAAATGGAGGTCAGTTCTTGGACGGATCAAACAGAATTATCTGCCTATCCGCATCCAAAGCAATTTATCGGGGAGCGGCGAATGGATATCCAAATACTGAATTCCGAATTCCGAATTCCAGTTCTCCATTGTGCCCGGTGGCCAGTTGCCAATTACTCGATCGGATCGATTGCCAATCGCAGCGGACGCGCTGTTCTCCAACTGAGCCCATAAATTTCATTTAGACCACTTTGCATTGACGCTCGAATTACGCAGTTTTGTGCGGTGCGTGGCTCGTGGTTCGGGCCTTGAGCGATTAGCCTGCACCACTGCAGCAGTAGCGCTGACCCGCTCAGGTGGGGCTTGTTCTGTTCTAAGGTCGAACCACTCACGTGCGAAAAAAACCAATCGAAAGAAAAATCCACCACTTGACCGAAAATTAACATGGATTCCATGTGTTGGCAAGGCGAAACGACCACTGACTTGTCGTTCATTTGGCTTTAACAACATCGATTAACATTCAGTGATTTAGAATTAAATGTAATTTTGATAATTGAAATGGTATTTATTTGACGATTTAAACAATTATTTTTCTAAATTATAGAAAAGTATTTGTTATTAGATTTGGTGGGAAATTAACTTCTAAGAACTGCAGTTAAAAAGGTTTTTTAAAAAATGTTTTCATAACTTGCAGAAATTATATTTTCAGATGGAATTGTTCAGCGAATCATATTTTTTTGTTATTATTATTATTTATTATTTGTTATTCGATTTGGTGGGAAATTAAATTTAAGAATCGGAGTTTAAAAGTTGTTTAAAATGTTTTTCATAGCTTGCAGAAATTATTATATATTTTCAGATGGAATTGTTCAGCTAATCATATTTTTTTCCTAGTTGTTATAGTTCGTTTTAACATTAGATTTTCACTGATAATAATGAATAGTACCATTGATTATTAAGAATTTGTTTCTCTTCTAGCTTTTCCTTTTAAAGATGTACCTTAATTTTTTTCCTTCTTGTCGTATACTTAATATGATTTCATTTTCACCCAACCCAATAAACAACTCTTCAACTTTCCATTTGCATAGCTTCGGTTCGTTTATTGCAATCTCGTTTCTCATTCTGCGAGTTCTACTCGAGTGCACAGGCTCGGATTAAATAAGAATTGAAACGGGGACTGTGAGTTGGGGATTATAGAGTGTTTTATCGCGGTCAAACAGCCTTAAGATTAAAAAGACAAGAAACATAAATGAAAGGCCTCGAGAATGTGTGAGTGTAGATGAGGGGACTTTGGATTCCGATCGGATTGGATTGGATCGGAGCCCGCTGTCCGTGAATATTCGTATGTACATATTTCGATAAATCGCTTTCATTTCAACTAATACTACAGCTACTATCGACTACGATCGGCCCGTGGCCCACTATATAACAAAACTGGAGGCCACGTGGCAGGAGAAGTTGGTCGCGATGTGTCCATTATTCGGTTGCGGCAATTGGTCGGCATTAATCGGAAGTCGGTCTATCTATCTCGATCCGGTTGGTTGGTATCCTTAGTGGTAGACTTAGTGGTATCCCAATGGGGACAGGGCGGGCAGAGCGGGCAGAGCCAGCTTGGGCAGAGCCAGTGGTCCCGGGGCCAAGGCCGGTCCGTATCCGTGGGCCAGAGCAGGAGCCAAGGCGGGAGCGTAGGCCGGAGCCAAGGCCGGTCCGTAGGCGGGCAGCTTGGCCACCAGGGGAGCGGCGTGGAGCAGCGGAGCCGGAGCCAGGACCTTGGCCACCGGAGCCACCGCCTTCACCACGGCTCCCTCGCGTCGCACCACCGCGTTGAATCCGTGGACGGGATCGGCCGTGTACTCCACAATGCGGCGGGTTCCGTCGGCCTCAATCAGGGAGTAGGCGCCCTGCACCACGTCGCCGCTGCGGGTCTCCTGCTGGCTCTTCACGTCGCCAGTGGATCCATCCTGCAGGAAGAATTGGGGAATAATAAGAGTTTAAAAGGGATAATCATTTAAGGGAAAAAAGGATACACATTTACAATTTAGAATTTACATTTACAATTGTTTTTATATCCTTTTTACGTTCCTTAGAAAAGATAAACAATTTAAGATTTTCTCTACTTTAGTTTTTTAGGGATCTAAGTTATTTAGAAAATCTTTAAAATATTACTAGTCTTGCAAACTTGATTTTTATAATATAATCTTAAACCTTAGAGTTTCTGAATTAATGGTTATGAACTACAATGAACACTACAAAGGATCTGAGTTTTTTAGAAAATCATTAAAAAATTGATTTTATTAATATTAAACCTTAGAGTTTCTGAATTAATAGTTATAAGCTGCAATAAACACCACATAAAGTGTCTGGCATTAAATTTGCATACCAGTTATGGCAGCTTAATGAATTGCCATTGCTTCTGACGAGGTGACTAATGAGCCAAGAACTATTGGATTCAGTTAAAATCTTCGAGTGACTCACGTGGACATCGTAGCTGTAGCTGTACTGGGGATTGGGGTCGTAGGGCTCGGGGGCGGCCACCTTGGCCACCAGGGGAGCAGCCACCTTGGCCAGCGCCGGATAGCTGGGATACGAGGGATAGGCGGGCAGGGCCAGTCCGGGACCGGGAACCACCACGGCGGAGGACATCGCCACCAGGGCGCTCAGGACGAGGATCAGTTTGGCGGCCATTCTGGATTGCTTGAAGAACTGGAGCACTGGATCGATGGAGAACTGGATGTTTGCTGCTGCTGCTGCTCGACTGACAAATGAACTCGATCTGTGGTTCTGTGGCCGTTCGACAATTGCTTTTTATAGGCCTCCCATAGCAGCGAGCCCAAAAATCCACAGCCACAGCCTCCGCCGCCGCCTGCCACCAGGTATCAAATATTTATGCAAAAAGCGCAATGAGACACACACAAAATACAAAATCCAAAACACAAAATAATAATAAACAACTAAAAAGTGCGCTGCGCATGCGTGTGGAGTCTGCGGGGTTGTGTTGTCTGCGAAATACTTGCATCGATCGCGACAAATATAAAATAATTCATTTTTCGCTGCCCATGGCAATCGAAGGGGTTGCCGGCGAGGCGGAAAGGGGGAGGGGGAAGGGGAGGAGCAGGAGAAGGCGGAGGTGCTCCGCAGTTCACGCATGTCTGCGGCTCTTTGGGAGGACAGTGCCGGACCAGCAGAGCAAACTGGTCCCCACGTTGTCATAGTCATAGTCGTCGTCGTCGTCGTGACAAAAAGTTCAATTCGAAAGCGAATTTTTCGGGGCCCCCAGCTAGATCCATAGATCCATAGACCCATAGACCAAAGACCAAGAAGACCGGGTGGCCGGGCGGATCAGGTGTGTGTGCGGTGCATTTGGAGTAGTGCCTCCCATGTCTCGGTCTTGTCTTTATGGCCACCAGATCTCGTCGGGGCGAAGCTGCACACGCACCCAGCAGTCGATTGTTGAAAGGTGTGTTTGGGGCACAGCCTTCGAAACTGGCTGCCAGTGATCCAAGTCGAGCCGAGCCGCGCCCACCCAAAAATCTCCAGCAGACTGCACTGCGGAAAAACGGGTAATGGTTCTAAGTTGAGTGCTTCACTCGCAAGTCAAATTTATAAATTGTAATTTTAAAAGACGGTTATTTTTAGCAATAATATAAAAAATCATAAAAATTCCACTGCATATTAGGATTATTAGCCATTCCTTAAATAAAATGCAGAAAGAAAAAGATGAAGTCGCAGTTTATGAAAACATTTAACATATCTTAACACAAGTCTTAAAATTCTTAAATTAATTTAGAACTTTACCAATCAAAATCTGTATATAAGATTTTGCATATGGGAATATATTTATCCTTCAATAAAATGGAGAAAGAAAAGATGAAGTCCCATTTTATGAAAATATTTAACATATCAAAACTAGTCTTAAAATTCTCAAATTCATTTGAAATTTACCAATCAAAATCTGTATAAAAGATTTTTAGCAAAGCATAGAACAGATAGTTTAAAGCTAAAACTGGTAATTGTTACTTATTATATTTTTAAATATATATTTTTTTTTATATTTTTAAATATATATTTAATTGTTTCCAGTGCTTGGATTTTGTTCTGTTTCACCTCGCGGTTGCCATTGGGACAATTTTGCCCATTATCACTAATTTTCAACGCGTACCGCCGCTTGTTAGGCGTTGCAGTCGCTGCTGCAGTTGCAGTTGAAGTTGCAGTTGCAGTAACTGCTACAGTAACTGCTGCAGTTGCTGCTGCAGTCGGCGCCGGCAGCAACATCTATGGACATGCTCGGGTTGGGGTTTGCGTAATCCAAAAATTGCATCTCGTGCCGATTTTTACTTTCAATTAAGCTATTGAATAATTTGAGTGCGTGTTGGGCCGGCGAGTGAATGTATTTATTTGGAGTGGAAGAGTTCTTTGGGCGTGGGATAACCACAACCGATCGTGGAGATTACCATTTGAGATTGGTCTCTTATGTAAGTGCAAAATGGCCAGCCATGTGGGTCGGCTTTCTTCGGGGGATTGCTGTTTTCCTAGCTACATTTTCGATTACAAAACAATTCTTACATCATGTTGAGTCAGAAAAATATTGCATCATTAGCAAGTTCACTTTGCATTATTTTACAAAATTTAAAAGATTACATGGCAAATGGTTTCAAGTTCAGAATGACGTGATTTGCATCCTAATGACACGCAAATTTTGATCTTGAAAAAAGTATCCACTTAGTGTCTGGTTATTCGCACTACTTTTAAGTGAGTTTTAATTCAGTTCATTATCACTGACTAGCCAGCTAAAATTTTAGAGCCTTGAGCTTGGCTATCAACTGACTAATTAATAAAATGGATAGGTGGAGGTGTAAACTCGTTTCCAAACAAACAACTAAGAGCTCGATCACTCGATCACTTCCAAAGTTATGGTTACAAAGTGAGTAGTCACCAAAAATTAAGTCATGAATATGCATTTTAATATCTTTGGCTTACTGAGTTTGTTATTAATTGCTTTACGGGTTTACAACGGACTAAGGAGCAGACAATAAGTTATGTAAAAGCTAGGTTCCCAGATACTTTTGTTGAGTTTCTAACCAAAGACAGGAGCAGCAACGGGAGCCACTGGAGCCACCAGGGGACGTGGAGCCACCGCAACTGGAACTGGTCCGCGTTGCACCACCGCATTGAATCCGTTGATGGGATCGGCGGTGTAGAAGACGGTGCGCAGGGAGCCATCGGCATCGACCACCGAGTAGGATCCCTTGACCACGTCCCCGTCCCGCACCTCCTGCTGGCTCTTGCTGTCCCCGGTGAGGGCGTCCTGCACATTGTAGGCGAAGGCGTACTGCGGATGCGGATCCACCTCGGTGTTCAAAGGAACTCCCACTGGAACCGCAGCTGGGAGCAGGGCGCACTCGATGGCGGCGATCAGAGCGCAGCAGATTAGGGTGATCTGCCGGGTGGAGTCATTGAATATTAGAGGGATTTCCACAGCTTACTTTCCTCAGAAATAGTTTTCTGGGTTTTTTTTTATTCAGGATCTCACCTTGATCAGGGCCATGACTAGATTTGCTGCTGTATTCCTGGGATTTTTGGTGGTGCTGGTGGCTTGACTTTGCTGTCGGAACTGTCTTTGGTTGCCCACTGGATCGGGGTTATAAAGGGCGACCACATGCGCCGTGTGGCAACCGCTGCCAAAAACGATTCCACTCACTGACGCAATGCCCCCTTTCTGTGGCTTTTTCCCCTGCGAAAGGTTTCCCCAATGGACGTGCCAACAGAAAATAGCACCCGACTTGCACAATTCTCCCCTCCAATATGAAATGTGATAACCGTAAATATAGGCGACACTACGTGATCTGAATTTACGATATCCAGCTTTGAGTTTTGCCTCTGAACCTACCTCAACTTAGATCGTGGTAATGCTGGGCAATACGGAGCATGTAATATATTCTCTTTTAACTAAAAGATAAGTTCATGAACTTATAATACAATCCTGATCCTTTAGTTAGTTGATTAAAACCGATTCGGAAAATATTAGTTAACAATTTCGGTAAAAATCACTATATTTTGAGTGGTTTTTCGGCAATAATAAACCCAAAAACTGACTTACAGCGGAACCAAACACTGTTTTGAGCACCTAATGACCAAGGTTAACGAGCCCTATCACTTTTTAGACCATTAAAAAAAAATGATTTTTTACTTATTTTCGCATTTTTGGTAAGGGGTAACATCATCATTTTTTTCAAAAAATGTCAAAATTTAAACATTTTTAGGTGATTATACTGTCCGATAGAGAATTTAATTACGAATTCATCGGTGTATGGCATTCTATATCTAGATCAGGATTTACCGAGATAAAAACAAAAAAAAAGTTTTTTTTTAATGATTTTTGCAATTTTTTACATATTTTAAATGATTTTTTGTAAGTCCGTGGGCCAATGTAAACTGGTCTCTCAGTTTTAAAGCTATCTTGCTGAAACTTTACCAATAGTTGTGTAGTTATTGCACGCGATTTTTAAGTCGGAATGAGCCGGATCGGGCGACTATATCGAATAGCTTCCATAGGAGAGATCGAAATTAAACAACAAGTACATAACTTTTTTTGTACCGAAACTTTTATTCAGTAAATGCAGATACTAATTCGCTGGGGCCGGATCGGGCAACTATATCGAATAACTTCCATATGAGAGATCGAAGAAATACCTCCTGGAAATGAAACAAGTACATAGCTTTTTTTGTACCGAAACTTTTATTCAGTAAATGCAGATACTAATTCGCTAAGTGGCCGACAGCCGTTCCCCAGATCCCCAGAACGGTATCCCTAAACATAGTCTGTGGTGGCGGTATATAGTGTGGTATAGTGACATAGTGATGTAGTATCCAACCGATCGGTCGGAGGGGGAGTGTGGATCGGTGGATCATTGAATCAGCAGCGCGGGCAACAGTACGCACGTCCTCGTGTTCCGGGATTTGACTGATAGACGGGTATTTGGGTTAATCGTGGTTGGTATTAGAACTATTCAACAACGGTCCTGCAAAAACAAAGGGCCAGCGGGTTTTGTCGTCGCTCGAGGGGGAGTTCTTCTCCCACCCCGTCCTAGTGGTAGCCACCTAGGCCACCCAGGCTGAGGGCAGGTGCCGCGGCGTATCCAATCTTGGTGATCGCGGGAACGGCGGCCACCGCAATCGCCGGCTTGGCGATCGCCACCGCGGCCACGCCCTTCTTCTCCACCACCGCGTTGAAGCCGTTGATCTTGTCCGCCGTGTAGGTCACCTTCCGGATGGTGCCGTCCGGCTCGGCCAGGGAGTAGCTGCCGTGGACGACGCCGTTCACGAGGGTCTCCTCCTGCTGCTTCGAGTCGCCGGTGTGGTGGTCAGTGACGCCGTACGAGAAGCTGTACTGCGGATTGGGGTCGTAGGGCTCCGCCACGGCCACCTTGGCCACGGCGACGGCGGGAGCGGCATGCTGGATGATGGCCGGAGCAGCCAGCAGCTTGGGAGCAGCGTAGGAGATGGAGGGAGCCGCGTACGAGATGGCCGGAGCAGCCAGGACCTTGGGGGCGGCATAGGAGATGGCAGGAGCGGCCAGGAGTTTGGGTGCCGCGTACGTGAGTCCCGGCGAAGATAGTCCGTACGGATCGATGGGAATGGCCACCACCGCGGACAGGATCAGTGCCAAAACGAAGAGAGTCTATCGAAAGGAGTTATCAAAATCAGTAACTATTGGAGAGCCTTTAATCCTGGCTAGAGCTTACCTGGGCGAACATGGCGAAGGATGCGACTGAGGGAGCTCTGACTTGGAGGTGTCTGCACTGCAAGAACTCAGCTCAAGTGTGAGATGCATTTTCCGCCAGCTCTTCAGTTTTATATTCTCCAACTGGCCAGTGGCCACTGGATTCAAGCCGCCGCGAGAAAAAAAAACTGGACAATCTAATGGGCAGAGTGACAATTGCGTCTCATTTGGCGACTGCCAAACCGATCTCGATCTCGATCTTGCACCCCAAACCTCAGGCTTCATCGCTGATGGCGGATTTCGTGTTTCTGGTGCGGATTTCATCATGACTGCTGGCTTTTCTCAATGGAATAGCTGCCGCCATCCACTCACCGGCGAAGTCCATTTGGGTCCGTTCAAGAGCGCCGCTCCAAAACGCTCCAAAGATACCAATGCACCACCAACGCCAGACTCGTTTTCCGCCGGCCAATCTGGTTTCGTTTCTCGCCGTTTTTTCGGCGCATTCTCAGGTTCTCCAGCCGAACTTTGTCTGATGTAATAGCTGCCTCATGTTGAGGCAGTGGCAGTTACCAAAAGAACAGAGGGATGATTTGAATACCCTAAGGTCAAATGAGATTAAATGGTTTACTCCTGCGAAAAGAATTTAGTTAAATTTGTTCCATTGATTGGGTAATGAATCACTAGCCAGAAAGTCTATTACTGAAAAAAGAGAATATTTAGAATTTTTATTCTAAAAGAAAATCCAAAAATTACGAGCTTATAGGCTGGAATTTTTTAGATTTAGATTTTAGATTTTTTTTTTTATAAATAATAGTTCAAGTAAAAAGTAATCCATTGAAGAATAGATGGCTTTAGCTATTTGCAAATAAGGACGAAGGATTTTATGAGAGGGGTACCATGAAATTACCATCAAAATGGCAATTGATTGTAGGAAATAATGGTGCTTATTTTAAATAAATCGGTTAATTCTCTTCATAAAAAAAAGCTTTGCATTTCATGTACAAATAATGGATTACTTTAAACTATTATTTTTTGAACTATTATTTTGTTATTATCGCAGTAAACTTGCATGTCCAATTTGTAACAAACTTTGGTAGAGTATCAAAACAAGATCAATCGTTTGCTGGCCACTCGTTTAATTAGAAAACGAAAATGGCAAGTTTTTATGGGAGTTTTTTGGGGGAGGGAATAGGCGGTGCGCCGGCGCAATTACGCACTTGCACACGCATTAACCCCTCGCTCCCTCCGGTCCAATCCGATCCGATTTCCACGGCGATCCGATTTGCTAGCAGCGCCCACATTCTGTATTCTGCAGTTGGTCGGTCACTTAGCCACTTGGTAATTGCCTCGTCGGGCCAAAAGGCAACTTGGAACTTGGAAGCGGCATTTGGAAGCGTTAACCGCTGCGACCTTGCCCAAAATTAGCAGCTAAGTGGCTGCCGGTGGCCAGTATTTCATCTACTTTTAATTAATTCTCGGTCGATTGGGCAAGGAACTGCATAAATGGCAGTGGAGCATTCCATTCGCTTTGCCCAAATTGGACGTCTTTTCATACTCGTATATATAGTATTTGTATATATATTGGCTGGTTTCCGGTGGCAACGATCTACGCCGAAAACCGTTAGTGAGCTCCTCTGACTTGGTGAATAATTCAGCGATCTGGTGCCAGGTTTTTGAGCTCTCAACGCTTCTCTGCGACTCTCCGGAGCTCTCCGATGTGAATCCGCGGCCAACAAGTCGCAAGGTCGTTGGTTGCATTTTGGAAAAGAGTCACGAACTCGAAGCCAGCCGCCAGTTACAGCATGGAATCGATGGGGAATCTTTAATCAACCAAAGAGTGGGAGCCATTGTAAAAAAATACAAAAACTATATTGAAGAACTATCTTCAAAAATTCCAAAGGAGATTAAAAACAAAACCTAATTCAATGTTTTCATTGCAGTTTTTCCTTAGATCTTATCATATATTCCCTATAGCTGAAAGTCTAATCGATATTCCAAAGCCACATTAACCCAGTTTTAACTGGTCAAGTGAAACCGAATACCTTTTAAGCCCCTTATTATGTACAAAAGGTAGTTTATTAGCATAAGTAATTGATACACAATAAAGTGAACAAGAAACTTTCCAATTTATTAAACAGTCCACTTATTTAAAACGAACTCTCCTCAGGTTGAGTAAGATTTTTAAGGGCCAAAATCCTTTAAAATTATTTTTATAACTCTGAAAAGTGAACCCTTTTCAACCCGAGTTCGATTTCGATTTAGTATCTCAATTATAAAGTCTCGCGCTTTTGGTGTAAAAGGAAAATTAAAAGCATTGCCATTGGATGGAACCTGCATGACAATTACCGAAAACTACTGCTCCGATCCGAAATATAATCAAATCGCATTCACTTTCGATCCGAGCAAGGCAAAAACAGTGGCAAATAAAAATGAAAACCTGGTGTAGCCGCAAGACCACTGAAAATTGGAGTACGTGCTGCGAATTTGGATCAAAAATAAAAAAGTGAGCCAAATGCTTTGTAGGAAGAGGCGATGATGATGATGAGGAGGATGGGGGATGGGGGGCAAGGAGCTCGGATGGTCGGATGGTTGGACAATGGGCGACCATACGCAATTGGGTACGCAGTTCCCTCAACTGAGCGCCGCATGCAAATTTTGCGAACGCATCTGGGTATAAAAGTCGTCGTTTTTTTGTCCAAGGCATGTCAGTTCATTTTCGATAACCGACAGTGACAATCGCACCAAATCCCACCCAAGCCTCACAATGAATCCTTTGACGGTAAGTGGATTGAGTGATGGATTCTTCTGGTCAGGAGATCATTATTGGTTATATTTCTCTGGCTTTTCCTGCAGGTTGTTGCAGTCCTCTCCTCGATGGCCCTTTCGGCTCAGGCTGGTCTGATCGGCGCTCCTCTGGCCGCCGCTCCTCTGGGCGCCCACCTGGGTGCTCCTCTGGCCTACTCCGCTCCCCTGGGCGCTGCTCCCTACTTCGCCCCGGCTGCCTACTCCGCTCCACTGGGCTACGCCGCTCCTCTGGGATACAACGCCCCTCTGGTGGCGGGACCTGCTCCTCTGGTGGCCAAGACCTACGCCGCCGCTCCAGTTGCTGCTCCTCTGGCTGCTCCGATTGCTGCTCCTCTGGCTGCTCCAGTTGCCCCGGTTGCTGCCCGCCTGGCTGCTCCAGTTGCTGCTCCTCTGGCTGCTCCAGTTGCTGCCCCAGTTGCCGCTCCTCTGGCTGCTCCCTTGGCTGCTCCAGTTGCTGCTCCTCTGGCCGCTCCCGTTGCTGCTCCCCTTGCCACCGAGATCGTGGATGCCCATCCGCAGTACAAGTTCGCCTACGATGTCCAGGACACGCTCACCGGCGACTCGAAGACCCAGGAGGAGACCCGTGACGGCGACATCGTGCGCGGATCCTACTCCCTGATCGAGCCCGACGGTTCCCGTCGCATCGTCAGCTACTACGCCGACTCCATCAACGGATTCAACGCCGTCGTCCAGAAGGATGTGCCCGTGGCCGTTGCCCCAGTTGCTCCAGTTCTGGCCAAGACCGTGGCTGCTCCAGTGGTGGCGGCTCCCGCCCCAGTGGCTCCTCTGTTCGCCAAGACCCTGGCCGCTCCCATCGTTGCCTAAGCAGCAAGGGAAGGAAGGAAGGATTGACCGCAATTCGACAAAGGACTTTCATCTGTACATATTCGATTAATCATTGTCGAGCTACAAAATAACTTTCATCGCAAAACCCAAAATTAAACAAATTCTGAAAAAAAAGATAATGGCATTTTATTTACTTTAATGATTTTTATTTTATATACTTTATGATTTATATATCTTTAATTAAGGGTTATAGCAAAGATTAGTCTATTCTAAAACTTTGTTTTAAGTTCCTAAACAAGAAACAAAGCATTTGTATGCTCCTTGCAATATGAAGAGTATTTTAAAAATCTCTCTCACAACTTATATATTTTGTATATATCCTTTTCAGTGATTTGGGTGAAGAGTTCTGGAAGTTATCGCCACACGAGAACGTGGCCCGGATGCGTCTGAAGTTGGAGCCTCAATTATACCCAAATAAGCACGAGAATGCCGCCAATCTGCGTGACAATGCGACCAGTGCTTATGACACCAAGTAAGACTAACTAATTCTAACCAAGAATAAGATAATCTTAGTTTTAAATCACGCAATTCATCTTAGGGAAATCTCCGAATTTGACTCCACCATCAAGAATGCCGTGGTGCGTGATTTCCTGGCCGACGACGAGAGCTCCCAGCTGGAGGAGGAGCTGCGCCAGCTGATCGACACGCAGGCGCAACAGGATGTGGCGCTGGAGAAGCTGGTGATGTCGCAGGACTGCGAGCTGATCACCCTGATGACCAAGGTGAAGGGACGCATCGAGGTCAACCAGAGCATGTTCACCTTCGTGGACTTGAGTCCGCCAACGGAGGATGGCTCCAAGCACGACTTCCGCTTCTCCACCAACAAGATACGCGAGGTGCATCTGAGGAAGTACAACCTGCGCCGGAGTGCTCTGGAGATCTTCCTGGTGGATCAGACCAGTTACTTCCTCAATTTCACAACCAAGGTGGGTTCTCCTTTACTTACAAATTGGTTTAATTTGGTTTGAATTGTGATTTAACCTGCTTTCTTTTAGACTCGCAATAAAGTCTTTACCAAAATTGTGGGTCTGCCGCTTCCGAATATTCTTTACGGCTCTGGAAGATCTCCGGCTGAGCTGCTGAGAGCCTCGGGTCTTACCCAGAGGTGGATCAATCGTGAGATTTCCAATTTCGAGTACCTGATGTACCTAAACACTATCGCGGGTAAGAAATGGTTACCCCTTTTTGGTATTAGTTTTTAATAGTTTATATTTTCCAGGTCGATCCTACAACGATCTAAGCCAATATCCCGTCTTCCCCTGGATCCTAGCCGACTACACCAGTGATGTACTGGATCTTACGGATCCCAAATCATTCCGTGACTTGTCCAAGCCCATTGGATGTGTAAGTTCAGCTTGAGTTTGTATAAACAATAGCTAATTGATTTATTTCCGCACTTAGATAAACCCCAAAAACGAGGCGGAGGTGCGCAGCAAGTACGATTCGTTCGAGGATCCCTCTGGTGCCATACCCAAGTTCCACTACGGAACCCATTACTCCAACTCGGCCGGCGTGCTCCACTATTTGCTCCGCGTGGAACCGTTCACCTCGCTGCACATCGAACTGCAGAGCGGTCGCTTCGATGTGGCCGACCGGCAATTCCACTCGATACCTCAGACTTGGAAGCTGCTGATGGACAATCCCAACGATGTCAAGGAGCTGATACCCGAGTTCTTTTACTTTCCAGAGTTCCTTAAAAACATGAACAAGTATACAGAGTTCTCTTCTTATAATTTCATGTCGTTTAATTCCATTTATTTTTGCAGATTTGACTTGGGTCACCTGCAGATAACCAAAGAAAAGGTGGACGATGTCATATTACCCGCTTGGGCCACCACGCCGGAGGAGTTCATAGCCATTCACCGGAGGGCCTTGGAGTCGGAGTACGTGAGCCAGCACCTGCACCACTGGATCGATCTGATCTTCGGCTACAAGCAAAAGGGACCCAAGGCTGCCGAGGCTCTGAACGTGTTCTACTATTGCTCCTATGAGGGCGCCGTGGATCTGGACAAGATCACCAATCCTGTGGAACGGGAGGCGGTTGAAGGTGTGTTTAAAAAGATTTTAGATTGTAGATAAATCATACAATTGATATTCTTTAGGAATGATCAACAACTTTGGGCAAGTGCCCTCGCAATTGCTGCGTGAGCCACATCCTCGTCGTCTCACCCAGGATGAAACGGCTCTGAAGTTGGTGCGCGCCGAGCTGAGGAGACCGGACCTCACCCAGTTCCTGGACAAGGTGGTGCAGTACTACTGCGAGCTGTCCACGCCCAAGGATCCCATCGTGTACCTGAGTCCGCCGCGGAGTCCGCCGAGATCCTTCCTCCAGCTGAGTCCCGATGTTCTAGTCAGTGTGTCCAAGTCCACGATACTGGGCTGCAATTCGTGGCTTTCGTTTGACAAGGATCAGGGATTCCTGCTGGAAATCGATGCCACCACAGCCAATCTAAAGTAAGTAATCTAATTAAACTTGTAATCAAAAGTTCTAACTAATGGGTAATATTTCTGATAGGAACCGCAAGCGAGTCTTTGGACCCTTCCACTCCTCGCAGCCGCCACACTCACAACTCTTTGCCGTGAGCACGGATGGCAAGCTGCTCTATGCCGGCGGCATCTGGGATAACTCCCTCAGGGTGTACAATCTGAACAAGGGCAAGGCAGTGGCCTCGGTCACCCGGCATTTGGATATTATAACTTGCATTGCCTTGGACAATTGTGGCTCGTACTTGGTCACCGGATCACGGGACTGCACCTGCATCGTGTGGAGCATCCAGGCGAACCAACAGGGTGGAGGCGGCTCCACCAGCAACATTCCAGTTCATGCGCTGACTGGTCAGTCGCACCTGCAGGCGATCACCCAACTGAACACCCAGAATAGCTACTCGCCCAAGCCGTTGACGGTGCTCTATGGCCACGATGATGCGATCTCCAGTGTGGCCATCTACACGGAGCTGGATCTGGTGGTCTCCGGATCGCTGGTAAGGATTAGTAAACTATACTTAAAGAGTATCATCTAATATCCATTATAAATTCCTCTTAGGATGGAACTGTCAATGTGTATACCCTGCAAGAAGGTCAATTTGTGAGAACACTCAAGCCCATTGGATGCACTGAATCCTGCGTACAAATCTCTTTTGTAACCCTTTCCTATCATGGTAAGTTTTCAATTGATTTAAGTGCTTTTATTTTAAATATAAAAGGTTCATTTTCTGACTTTTACTTCGGGTTCAAGAAATGCCTACAAACAGTTTTAGAGCCACTGATAACTTTGCCTAAAAGCATGCTATATTTTTTGGGTCTGTACATTCAAATTATCTTGGAATGTTTCACATTTTGAGCATGTCATCCGGCGTTAATCTGAAATAAGTTGGGTTCTTCTTTTAATTTAACTTAGTCATGATTAGTGTCTATGAGGACAAAGTTTAGCTCTATAGAATTTAAAGTTAGGTTACCGTAAAAAAGTTATGAAAGAATTTCATTATTGATAAGATAACTGAATTAAGTATGTATATAAAAATTAATCAGTTAATGGACTCAATGAAGTGCCACTGATAGAAACCTTGTCAAGGGGCCAACTTTAAATTGATTAGACCAACGAAATGGAACTTGTTCCTCTGACTCATAGGACGGCTTGCTTAGGTGACCACCACGTTGGGCCACCTGAAACCGATAATCTCGGAAAGTTTTCCGACCAATCGTGGTGTTTCTAATCTTTCGATGTGACGGCGGAACATTCACGTGCTACTGCGTAGCACTCGCATTATGTTTGAAGAGGGGGGCTGGCAATCAAACAATTTAATCAGCCCTCCTATCGTCAATTGCCACACATAAGTGAGCCGCGGAGAATCACGTGATTGTGTGGCCATGTGCGTCGCCCCTCCTCCTCCTCCTCCTCCATGGCACTCCATGCCCCATTACGATGGTATGATGATGTTGGAAATCGTCCGACTTTGCCCATGCACCACTGCTCTCTCGCCATATCTTATCGGACGTATCGGGCGGTGCAGTTGAGGCGACAGGGCGTTAATCCAAATTAAAGCGTGCTTAAACACTCGGGGATCGTAAAGTATACGAACCCCCAGCAAGGTTAAGACTTTGCCAGTTAGCCAAACACAATGTGTGCCTCTCGGATTTTCCCACTTTCCTCATAGCAACGCCAACGCCAAGGTGTCATTATAATGAGAATCAGGGTAATCAGTAACTATCACCGATCACCGATGATACGTGCCCGATAACGAAATATCATAATTGCGCACTTGTACCTGAATCGACCTGAATCAATATTGTTTTACGCAAATGTTACGACCATAAACCGCAGGCCGTAATTAACATGCTGATGATTATTGGGCCATAATGACTGTGATTTTTAGGAAAGCCTTAATAAATCGCTTATCGTTTGGCTCGAGTTCGCTGGGGAGCCGTTTAATTTGCACTTGCTTGGCAATCCTTTATAAAGAGATTAAACGCTGCTCGTTCCTAATCAAAATGGCAAATAATTTATAATTTTTATTAGGTTTCCATAAATTTTTCCCATTTTATAGGCAGGTTTCTGAACGAGTCTAACTCGTATTTAAATTTCTGCCTTTGCTAAGCAAAAGAGTACTTCCATTACCCGCAATTCGAGGTTTTAAAAGTTAAAGTCACTTTACTGCCTGCACTTTACTTTCATTTTTGTTTGTTATACAATATTGGTCTTGTGATAATGCGAATCAATAAGCCTCGAATTCCGATTGCTTTGCATTCTTTGCTGGAAATACGTCAATCGATGGCGCCAGCTTGCATATCGAGTTCTTTAATATTTAATATGCAGCCATATAGATTCGCTAAGCCACTCGATTTTCGGGCAATCAGCTTGGGCATTTTTGAAACTGATATACCACCGACCATATATATGGGACCCCTTTCCCCCCAGCAACTCGATTATATAGCTATATATATATATTAAGTGAATATGCCGCATGCAGCCGGTCGCTTATCGAATGAATTAATATTACTTCTGATTATAAATTCGCAACATCCGGCAGTCAGCGGCTCAGAAGTATTGAAACCGAATCGAAAAACGTCAATCCAGTTCAATTTCCAGGGCACTGATGGGCACTTAATTGCGTTCTTGTCGGGCCCCAATCAATTACATAGCCGCTAATGAAGACCCGATGCCATCCATCGATTGACTATCAGGCCGCGACGAACTCAACCACATACTATAATATTATATATACATACGTACATACATGTATACACTTGAGTATAGTACATACATACATACATATATAGTATGCCTACCCAGGCGACATCGGTTCGGTTCTCTGGCATTAACCCAACGTCGTTAATGTTAATGGAATCAAATCGGGGGGCGAACGAGCCCCGCGAACGAATCGCGCGTCAGAGTCACACGACCAGAAAAGCCATCCAAAGCGATCCCCCCGATCTCCTCCTGGAAACCAAGTGGCGATTCATTCATTCGAATTCTCAATTCGAATGGAAAGACGCAGCACACAATTTATGAAATAGTTGTAGTGTAGTAAATTTCTTGGACGCAAAAAAGGCCCCAATAAAGATCAAGATATATACTATATATATATACTATACAGATACGGCAAACATCAGGCGGTTTGTTTGAAACTTTTGTTGAATGAACTTTGGGTTTGGCCAAAACCAACGAAACACGGTTATTACCAGTTATTTCTGTACACATGGTGCGGGTCACTCCGGTGGGTGGAAGGAAGTTCATTCAGATCCAATCTAGGGTATTTAGTGGCTCTTCCTTCTGAACGAGTTTCGCCGCTGGGTGGTGGCATTGGCACACAGATACACAGATACAGATACAGAGATACAGATACTTGTGCAGATAAGAGCAACTACGCATCGCTTGGATGTTGAATGTTGTATGCGGTATATTATGGTATGTCGCCATGTGATAATGCTTCTATGCGATGCTATCAGCAGGTTATCAGCCGAGTGGGCCGGACCTCGTCTACTATACTATACTACTATATAGCATAATGGCGTTTCCACTGCGTAGATCGCCGCCACTGCGCCCTGCCCCACATTCTGAAATCCCAATCGAAGAGTGCCGCAGATGATTGAACCCAGGAAAATCATCTCTATTCTTTATCCACAGGTCACATCGCCTTCAGTGCCCTGGACGACACCTCGCACTCGGTGCACGTGTACAGCATCAACGGCTGCAGTCTCGGCTCCAAGTACGTTTCTGGCCGGGTCACTGGACTGGCCAGTGCCTCCGACTACCTGGTGGTGGCCGACGATGCCGGAGACATCACAATGAGCAGACTTCACGGGTAAGAAGAGTCTAACGAAGTTTTAAAACAAATTTAGAAAATTAAAATATAAGGTCAAGTAAAATGTAATCCATTATTTGAAGTATAGAGTGGATCAGAAGTATAGAGTGGATCAATAAGAACGAAGGACTTTATGAGAGGGGTATCATAAAATTACCATCAAAATGGAAATCGATTGTAGAAAAAAATGGTGCTTATTTGAAATAAATCGGTTAATTCTTTTATGGTTAGAAAAAGCTTTGAATTTCATGTACAAATATTTTTTTTTTTTTTTTTGAATTGTGTATTTATTTAGAATCTGTACAGCATATTAAAGTACTTTAACAACACAGGGGTCACAAATAATAAACCAAACCTCAGCATTAAAGTGAGGATAATATGTAGTATGAATTCCATGTACAAATAATGGATTACTTTTTACTTGACCTATTATAATAGAAATCTTTGCAAACATTTTGGAAATTTTTTTATAAGCCATTCACAAAATTTCCTTTAAAACCATGATAAAGACTTAACAGATAGTACTGCGTTATATGTTTATACCATTCATTAAAAACAAACTTTAAAAAAATGTTCTGATAATACTGTTGCTTTTTTATATTCAATATTTTTTTTGGTTCCCATTTGTTATTAGATTATATTTTAATGTCGATTCTCAGATTTTTTAAAGGTATTACTTTTGAATGTCAAAGGTTTAAAAAATCTTTTTGTTTTATTTGTCATAAATAATCAAACTGGAAAATCTGAGAAAAAACTGATCTTAAATATATATTTTAGATTTTTTAGAGTTTTTAAAGATAGTATTTTTGAATGTCAAAGGTTTAAAAAATCTTTTTGTTTTATTGGTGATAAATAAACAAACTAGAAAATCTTAGAAAAAACTCATCTTAAATATATATTTTACTTTCCTAAAATTTTTCCTAAAATATTTGTAAAACAAAAACCTCTTACCATTATAATTTCAATAATAAAATGTATTTTATTTTGTAGGTTAAAACCCGTCTTCGACATTCCGCTGCACGTGCCCATCCAGACGGTGGTGGTGACCCCGGGCAACACGCACATCCTGGCGCCTCTGAGGGATGGACGACTGGCGGTGATCGCCGTGCAACTGCCCTCCGGCGGCAACAAGAAGCATTCCGTGCTCAATGTTTAAGAAGAACAGAACAGGAGCTGAGCTGGACATTGGACCTCCTGAGATCCCGAATTTTACTATCTGCCTAGCATTAGTGGTTTCACCTTTTCGTTTCGTTTCGTATCGATTCTTTTCTCTCGCTTTTAGCCCACTCTAGAATTAGTTAGTGTCTCGTGATTTGTCATGATTTATTTTCGGTCGTTTCCCATGCTACGTGACGTGCCAAAAGCAAAGCCTTTGACCAACGAACAATTCCCAGAAAGTTGACAAATGTGTCTAAAGATATTCAGCAAAGCCGATTGATTGCATTCGCGGTATTTCCATGCCGACCACGCCAATCAGTATTTCCCAGTCCCAGTCGGACGACGTGCGTGCCCGCCACCTGTCGCAGTGGCCGATCCTCCCCAGAAATGATCGATGGCCCACACTTCGTCGCTTGACGAAAATGTTAATAAATCATCAATCATGCGCGACGCGGTGGCGGTGGGGATTTATCTCCCCGGCAAATGGGACGAAGAAGACGCAGATGGAGCGAGGTTGTGGTGGTGGTGGTGGAAACTGGTTGTCGACGCACTTGGCAACTACTTCGCTCTGAATCACGAGCGACTTTCAAATTGGCCCATAAGAAACAAAAAAAAATCAAAGCTGAAAAAGAACCAAAAAAAAAAAAAAAGCCGCCCGGCAACAGCGGCAAGGCGCTTTAAAAGCGGCAACCGATCGCACCGATCGACGGACGGCATCCAGCTGCTCGGGTGCTCAAGAGAAACACTTTCGGTGCGCCCCCTTTTCGCCTGCGGACACCAGACCAATCCCATCCAAAACCAAAACCAAAAATAGAGCCCAGAGATCTTCGTCCCATCAAGTAGGCACACTCGAATCACATGGTATCCAATCACTGACAGAGCATTTCCAATTGAAAGTATTATCACCTCACGATTACAGTCCGTCCACAATACAGAGATCCGCACACAAAAAGACAATACCAGTGCCCCCCAAGGCAAGAGATACCCAAATGAATCCGGATTGTGATTCTATTCCGGTGCCCATTCCATTCCCCCCAAAAAACTTCTGCCTTTGATCTAACTCGTCAGGCTCTAGAATTTGAATTTCCAAAGACAAGCGACAATATCAAAGGTGAATTGAATATACACATTCGGCGAATCGTAATCGCACATATAGTAATATAGTAGAGAACATTCGCACAATCGGGACGTGAGATTATCTGCTGAATCCGAACGAGCTATCTATATCTTACTCCAGCAATATATAGTATATATCATCTGTGTACGTAAAGGTCCTTCGGGATCGGAGTTCGTTATTTGTTGTTAAGATCGTATCGCGTAATATCGTAAAATGTTTTGCCCGTTCAATGTATTTTCGTAACTGTACGAGTTTATGTAGATAATGTGACTATCCATAGTTTGTAGAGATTTGTCAATAAAGTGATGCAAACCACAGTATATATTAAGCTGATTTCTTCCACCCCCCAAAAAATAAATTAGTGAATCAATTTTTGGTGTATTTATTCAAAAACAATCGCTTGAAGTTGATTATAAACTAAACAATTAGAAAACCATATTTCAGTTCTATTACCTTATAAATTAAAACATAATTGGGTAGCTTATGAAACTGATTGATTCCGTGAATACTATTCCGTTGTTCTGTATGAATTGCTGGATGCTGGATGAATTTGGTCGATCAATAAATTAATTGCAGAAATGATGGGTGCACATAAATACGAATTGGGTGATTGACTTATTGATTGATTGATTGATTGGTGTGTGCGGTCTGTGGGTTGTGTGGCACCCTTAAGTAAACGGCCAATTAGTTTAAATACGTTAACTAGAGCTCGCCTGAATCGCTAGGAACAATCATTGCTACTTACAAAAAACAAAAGACGCGTGATTACAAGCCGATAACTAAAACTATAATTGAAGAAAACCATAATGCAGATACTATAATTCGAATGCGATACGTGTGACTGCTATTCGAGGGTATGTGGTTAGAAAATTAGTGTCTAAGCCGGCATTAGATACGGTTAATTACCTGGATTACGAGCTAGTTTCTGCTTAGCCTAAGTTGTACATAAATGTAAATCGTATGACCTTTCTCTCCATATTGTTTTTTATGTTTTTTTTTTGTGTATTTTTTTTTTCTAATATTTCTTTTTTCTTTTTTCACGCATCTTCGAAGGCATTTGATCTATCTAACTAACTAGATGAATTCCCAACGTCAATCCAATAGCCTTTGTTTCATTTTTTGGTGGTGGTGGGTGGTTTAGTCATCCTCCTTCTGCAAGAACAAGAGAAGAAGAATAAGGGATTACTTAGGAGGAGTTGGGATTGGAGGGTCGCTATAAGGAATACTTACAAGTACGGGATACACGAAGGTGTCGGCGGTGTCCTCTCCCACTTCGTTGCTGGCTATGCACTTGTAGTTGCCCATGTCCTCCCACTTGACCTCGGCGATCAGGAGATCGCCGTTGGGCAGGACCCGGTGGCGATGGCCCGGCAGGACCTTCTTGTTCTCGTTGTTCAGCCAGGTGACCTTGGCCTTGGGACGGGCATGCACCCGACAGGGCAGCTGGATGTTGGAGCCCATCAGGTCGAGGTGCGTCTTCTCCGAATAGACGATGCGCGGCTTCTGGGGCCCCAGGTAGTTCTTCTTGGGGGCGAACTGCGAGGAGCGCACCGGATGCACCACAGTGCTGGCATAGATGGTCTTGGCGCCAGTGCGTCCGATGCACGTGTAGGTGCGCGCCTCGCTCAGCACGTGATCGATGATGTGCGAGGAGCGGACGCGGACGATGGCGCTGGGGGCATCCTCAACCACCTGGTTGGAGTCCAGGTCGTCGATCTCGGAGCGGGGGAGGTGGCCCACCACCCACTGGATGCTGGGTATCTGGGAGCCCATCATCTCGCAGACGATCTCCACTGGGGCTCCGTCCACCTGTTGCACCTTCGTCGGCGGCGTCTGGGTGAACCTGAGCCAGTCGGCTTCGAAGGCCCGGTTGCGCGGCCTCTCCTCCGTCTCGATGGAGTTGTCCACATCGTTGCTATCGTCTATCAGGTCCACGGCTCTTCCGCGGACAGTGGCGATGCTGCCGAACAGCAGCAGCGCTAAGGCGCACACATGTAAGTTCATTTTCTGCAAGATTCAGAAGGGGGGAAATCGGAAGTGAGTTCAAAGTTCTCTGCCAGAGCCGCAAGTCGTACGATTCTAATATAGGTTAATAAACCCCAGCGTGGGGAGAGATAGCTTCGATTCTAGCCAGTCATCCAGCCAGTCAGTTATCACCGACCATAAATCAGTGGAGGTCCCAGAGTCTCGTTTCCCGATAAGAAATGACAAGGCCTTCAGCCGCCGGGCTCTAGAATATTACTAACACTTGCGAAATGCCACGGCTCTCGGAATCGAAATCCTTTTCCGAATAAATTCCCAATCCCCAACCCCCAATCCCCATAAACCAAAACCAAAACCGAACCCGAGAGATCTTCGCTCTCAATACGAATTTCACAATGCCACGACACCAGAAAGAAAAAGAAAAAAAAAAAAAAAAACAACTAAAGATACAAGAATCTTGCGTGGGCAGAATCAGAGGCAGAAATCGAAAAGCGGAATGTGACGTCAATTTCCTCTTCGAATTCTATGCTACAACCTGATTCACATTCACCCACGCTTCAGCCGCAGATCAAGGGCTAATGTGTCTAGAGTCTAGACTGGACTACAAACTGCGTGACCGATTAATTATTCAAAAGTTTCGAGGGTATTATGTACACATATACGACTATACGAGTATATTTGCCCACCAATAAGTCATTCGCCAATCGTTGGCGAATGTTGCATCAGACGGTTTTTGCCCTTCGACGGGGATTTCGGCTATGGGGTTTTCTACGAATTCGATGATTTTTTTTTTTTTTTTCAAAATGATAGATAGGCATTGGATTTAAAATGGGTCACTGGTCACCGGTGGTGGTCTATTGTTAACGCATTACTCACTCACCTTTTGATTTGATTTCTTTTTTCTCTTCCGGTAAAAAATGTTTGCAAATTTCTGCCTAACGTTGGTTGATATATCAAGTGGTGTCGAGGGTCGGCTTATCGTTATGTTATGAACGAATTTATCAGCTCTATGTTGTGGTGGCTCCGGGTCTGGGCTTTCTGGTTGAAGTTGAGCAGCAGTTGGCTTAGCACTGACATAGGTCCGGCCCTGGATGCCGTCTTGGAGGTCGTGCAGCGCAGTGTCGGCGGAATCTTGGCTACTTGCCGAACCCTTTGGTGCGAGGATCGATCGGAGCGAGGTTGGAGTTCGCCTTTGGGGGGTCAGCTGGGCGGATTGGGCGGCGGCGGAGGTGCGGCTTCAGTGGGTCTCGGCGTAGCGAATGTCTAGCTGACGACGGCTCTGGCACATTCGATCCTCGAGTGGGTCAATTTCAGTGGTCGGAACGGGCCTCCTTGGATGTGGACTTGGATACGTTGGTCTGGTTGGCGCGGCACTCGTTTGAATACGCACGGTTCATCGACATTACACTCGAGTCAAGGTATGGTTGGCTTTTCTTTCTTTAGTTGGTTTTATTTTTTTTTTTGGGGCTGCGATCGCGGTTCACGGCGGATTGAGAGCGAGGATCAGATAGATCGGTTGGCGGATCAGAGGATCTCAGATAGTTGAGTTCGACAGCTGGAAGCTAACAGCTGGAAACTGTGACTGTGAATGCTCGACCGCTGCGCCGTTCCATTTATATGCGACGCCGGCTCACTCACACACGGGCACTTTGTCACTTCCACTTGTGGATCGGCTCGCTCTCCTTCTCTTCTCCGCCTTCTCCGCCTCTCTTCGGTCTCGCATGGCTCTCTTCGCCGCTACGCTCCTCTCCCTCCTCCCTCCCTGCCTCCCTCCTTCCATCTTTCCCTATCCGTAGCAGCATTCAATTACTCGTTCTCGGATCGTAATTCTTTATGCGACCGCCGCACCGGGAAGGTGCGGAACAAAACGGATATAACCGGACGGGGGATTCGATTATCCGACACGGGATCTGGCTTTCGATGGCTAATTGCAGTCGCAGCTACAGTGCAACATCCGTAACTTGGAAACGAAGCTAATCGTAAGATATGAAGGCGAGATCAACAGAGCCTTCGATGTTTTACCAGAAAGATACACTAGAAGACATCTTTCAAATCCTGGTACATGGGATTTCTATTTCATAACTTGAAACATCCTTATCTCGTATTAAGAGGGGTTTCTTTCATTATACCCTTGCAAGAAGCAGAGGGTATTATAGTTTTATTAATTATTTTATATAAAGAAAAAGATTTGCTTTGATTCTAAACATACAGTTTAGAAGGTAATCTTGTATATATTAATTCAAAACTTTCATACCGAATTTCAAAATCTGACACCACAATATTTTCCCACTGACAATTAAGCACTAATTGTCAAGTGGGATGTGGTAAAATGGGAGCTGTCAAAAATAGAAATACGATCTTTGTATATAGAAGGTGTCAAAAACCATTTCAGGTTTGACACTTATGCGTCAAATGCCTATTCATGAACTGATTCCAGAAGTGATGTGATTATAAACAAAGCAAAAGTTTTGTTTAAATGCCCGCATTGCAGATATCAAGGCTCGTCTGTAGTTATCAGGACCATAAATTAACTGCGCTGATTTGATTTCACAAATCTCAGTGGTTTTAATTATTTTTGTGATTTCATTTTCGCTGACTCGATTTTTGACACTCATAACCATTCTCCCAATTTAATAAACCGCCGACGAGGGGCAGAACTGGACTCCAAAGCCCGTTGACAGTGGAGGCAATCAGATGTCTGGCCGAGAACAGACCACTCTGGTTCCACCGCAGTCTTCATTAAAGTTGGGAAGTCGGGGCTCCGATCGGATTGAGTTGGCTTGGCGGGAGTGGAAGTGGGGAAGTGTGGAAGTGGCATGGTGCAAGGTTCCATTAGCCGAGACCGTGTCTGAGTTCGACTTCGATTCCGAGTCCAACCAAGTCACTGGCTTGTCCGTCTTTCTGTCCGTCAGTCCGTCTTTCTGTCCGATCTGTCCGTGCGATCGCCTCATTGCAATCAAGTGTGAGTGCCAGTTTGTCTGCGGCGACCGTTGGCTGGATGGAAAGAGGGGGAGGGGGAGGGGAAGAGGCAGTACGATACCACAAGCTACACTCTGAGAAAGAGTCGGGGATTTCATTAACTAACTAACTATTAAACGGATTTCAACATACTTGATGTGATAGTTATACTTTTGATGGTGAATGGGTCAGAAAAGATATCATCTTCTTAAAAACTTTGAAGTACTGCGAGGTTTCAAACATACTTTATCCTTATAAAGATACTTTTAATGTTGAAGGGGTTAAAATTCTTAAAAACTTTGAAGTACTACGAGGTTTCAAACATACTTTATCTCTATAAAGATACTTTTAATGTTGAATGGATTAGAAAAGAGATTATCTTCTTAAAAATTAGCATCTAGAAGTATCTGTTTAAATGAAATTCCTTTAGGTATTGTGAATCTCTCTCCTAGAAATCTATTAAAAGTCCACGGATTTTTTCCAAGTGCCTCGTTGATTGCCCACTCGTATATGTAAGTGAATATGGGAGGATTGGGGGCTGATTATAGGGGGATCGAAACTAGTCTGAGCTGGCGTTGCCGGCCGGGAACTGTGAGCTGGGCGGTGGCGACTGGGGGCCGGAGGTGCAGTTAAAATGGCAGACAGACTGGCAGCCACATCGCGTGTTCGCTTTCCGCTGTTGCCGGGCGGCAGCCGCCTGTGGCTAAGGGGATGGGGGAGGGGAAAGGGGGTTGGGAGCTGTGGGAAGGGGAGACGACGATTGAGGCACCGCGACTAGTTTCTTTCTTCGCTTTATCGACAAGCCACATCGACAACTAGATTCAATTCTACGAGTAATTTATTTATTGCACGTTACACAAATCGTCCGACCGCAGACTGGTCCCCCCTGCTCCCCCCTGAACCCCACTCCTTGCCATGTGCCACCCCTTTGGCCCCCCTCGCCACTGAAAAAGAAAGAAAAAACTTGGCAGCGGCATCGAGCAAGCCACAAAGCGAAATTCAATTGAGGGAAAAATCTTGCAGGTGCTTGAAATGTGTCTCGTGCCGCTGCCTCCGTTTGCCCCCTCCTCGCATCCCCTCGAGCCCCCTTTGGATACCGCCCCCTGGACACCGCCTCCTCCGCCCTCCTCCCATCAGCCTTGGACGGCACACCTCAAAGCGCTGGCAACGATATCGTAACGCTGACGTAAGGGGCACTGAATTGAAATGGCCTTTTGATGCGACTTGGGGAGCACTTTCTACAATAGAAGGAGAGGGCAGGACGGAAGGGGCAGGCGATCCGATACTATGCGATACAATACGATCCCCTCACGTAACACTCGCTGCCGCCGAGTGGCGCGGTCAGGGGTTGCACTTCCTAGATGACCAACCGGCCGACCGCCGCACACGGATGCAATTGAGCGGGATCAAACCGAGCAATCAGAAATAAAAATCGGATACTTTGCGACTAAATTGAATTTGATGGCGGCAATAAAACTTCATGAGAGCGTCAAGTGGCAGTTGAAAAATCAGGGATATATCAACAAGATTGATGCTGGTGAAAAAGCAGTTGGGAATTATAACCTACAAAGGAAGTACTTGTTGTGGTGTTTAAAGCATACTAAAGAAGGACCTGTGCATTTTTCTGAGTGTAATTTAAGGGGCCTACCCAAATGAGATCACCAGTAATGGGATTGGAATCGGAACAGTCTCAACTTGGCTTGGCTTGGCATACATATTCATGTGGCCATCGACTTGGGCGATCGTCACCGGCCGGCACCGATATCAACGCCCCTCCGATCTTCCGATCTCAGGTGGACGGACGGCCCAGCATCATTGTCATCGAAGTCTTTCGTGCGAAGCGTAGATTTATAGGTTCCATTTCCTAGAAACGATCGATAGCTGGTTTTCACTTCGGCCAAGCCGCATATACTATATACATATGGCGAGTGAAAGAGAGGTCGAGGTCTGGCCCCCCGTCACTCTTTTTTTCGGATTTTTTTTCTTGCTTTCCATATAGCTGAAGCTGACTGAAAATCGTACGATTGTGCGGCGAGCTGATGGCACAAATTATTGCATCATGACAA